ATATGCAGAAAATATTAACAAATATATATTAAGGAACCACAGAAAGAGGGAGAAGGAAGTTGATTTTTGAAATGTTAAAATGATTGTAAAATTATTGAAATGTATAAAACTGAAAATAATAAATAAAATAATATTTTTTAAAAAAACAGAAAATAAAAAATCTGATTCTTCATCTGTCCACTATATAAAAACAATATTCACTTCATCGAATCCAATATAACACCCTACAAAGCAACAAACAAACAATATCTTCAATCCTCAAATCCAAATATCATTATTTCTGTTTTTTTCACACAAAAAGGCTGTGATAGGTTTCCAATCTTTAACAAATGTTAACAATGACTTTTCTCTGATTAAACATGTCAATTTCACTATCTCAGCTAAGTCCATTAGTTTTGACAGCCGTTCTTCCATTGTTGATAAAAGTGGGTCCTTCCATCTTTGTGCATATAAAAGTCTTGCAGCCATACAGTGGTACCATGGGTTAACCTGAGGTACCACTGTAATTATATATTGTAACAAAATTCCATAATCCTTTTCTAACTGTATACAGTGGTACCTCAGGTTAAGTACTTAATTCGTTCCAGAGGTCTGTTCTTAACCTGAAACTGTTCTTAACCTGAAGCACCACTTTAGCTAATGGGGCCTCCTGCTGCCGCTGCGCCACCGGAGCACGATTTCTGTTCTCATTCTGAAGGAAAGTTCTTAACCTGAAGCACTATTTCAGGGTTAGCGGAGTCTGTAACCTGAAGCGTATGTAACCCGAGGTACCACTATATCAATAAGTCCCACCAGGAAGAGTTCTGGCTTCAGTTGAAAATCAATCTTCAAAATTCTCTGTATCAAAGTATGTATTTGTATCCAATATTTTTTGGCTTTTTTACATGTCCCCCGAGCATGATAAATTGTCCCTGCATGTTCTTTACATTTCCAGCGTGTATTTGGAATATTTTTTTTTACATTCTAAATAATTTCTTAGGAGTTAAGAACCACAGTGTATATTTTAACCCTTTAGTTCACATATCTTTCCACTGTGCCATCTGTATATTATCACCAAAAATTATTGCCCATTTAATCATGCAAACTTTGACTTGCTCTTCTTTCATTTCACAATTCAGCAGTAATTTGTTCATTTTTTGCAACATATTCAACATATGCATAGCTGTACTTCAAAATGTCTCTTTTTTTTCTATACCACAAGTCTTTTTATCCAACTTAAATCTCTCAAATCAATTGCAAATGAGCACACCATTGAAGACTGTAACCTTCTCTTATTAATTGTTCCCATGTTTTAATTTTACAGTCTCTTTGGTCCCACTTAGTTAACCATTTCTCATTACCTATCATCTCTCTTCTATAGAATGCCTCTTGCGTTGAAATCCATAAAGGTATCTTCATATAAAACTGAGATTGGATCTATTACAGACTTTCAATATAGAACGTCTAACAAAAAGATTTTTGAAGTCCACATTAACTTCAACCCTGTCACATCACATAAATCCATAACATCCAAACTTTAAATCATGACCCGCTACTTCCAAAATGCTCTTGTTTTTTAGAGTCATCCAGCCTAAACAACAAGCGGCAAAGTAAAATTTCAAATCAGGCAGTCCCAGTCCTCCCCTGTCTTTCACATCTTGCAGTACTTTCATTTTAACTTGTGTTTAAATCTCTTTGATAAATCTCTTTGCCATTCTTTAAATGGTAGATCATTATTCACAATAGGTATTCTTTGAAATAGAAAGATCGTTCTATGCAAAACATTCATTTTTATCACTGAAATTCTGCCAAGCAATGACAGTTTTAACTTCACCCATTTGACATATCTTTTTTAACTTCAGCCCATGTTTTGACCTAATTATTTTGAAATGATGCACAATTCATATTTGTCATGGTTATACCCAAGTACTTTTTTCCAGTTTGAAACCCTGTTTTCTCCATCAAAGCCTTCTGGTCTTCTTTGTTAACATTTTCATTTTCTGATGGTTAATCTTAAAACCTGCTAATAAACCAAACTCTTCTAATTTATCCATAAGAACTCCTAGTCCCTGCAGCGGGTTTTCTAAAGTTAACATCAAATAATCAGCAAATGCTCTTGATTTATACATTTCTTTTAAAATCTTTATTCCCATAACTCTCTCATTTTGTCAAATGTTTCTAAGCAAGACTTGTAAGACCAAGATGAAAAGTTAATGGGGATAATGGGCATCCTTGCCTTGTCCCCTTCTGCATATCACAAGGTTTAGTCAAATCTCCATTAACTAGTATCTGTGCTGTCTGTTGTGTATAAATTGATTTTACTCATTTAATAAAATTATTTCCAAAGTTCATTTCTTGCAAAACTTAAAAAAAAACCACCCAATTCAGATTGACAAAGGCCTTTTCTGCACCCCAAAAAATCAAGCAACTTGCTTTTCATTATGATAATTCAAATATTCCAAAATGCCTAATGCATTTCTTATATTGTCTCTTAGCTGTCTTTTAGACAAAAATAAACATTGATCATAGTGAATAAGGTCCTGTAGAATCTTTTCAAATCTTTCCACCAATATCAATGTAAATAGTTTATAGTCATTATTCAGCAAGGAGAAAAATCAATATTTTTTCACCAATATTTTTTCACTTTTCACAAAAGCTATAATTTTATGGACAAGTGTCAAGCTTATGTAAGTGCCCATGTGAAACAGTGGGAAAAACCTTTCTGGGCATATTACCTGTGGCCAGCATTGTTGTGAAGAATGGGGTGATTAAAAACAATCAATTCTCCTGTCAGATTGAAAATATCCCCTCAGTCATGAAATTTAGGATATTCCACCATTCTTCATGAGAGTTTCTTTTCTTTCAGCAAAGTCAGCGGCTCACGTATATGCCAACAAAACTTTAATAATAAAGAAAATTGTAATGCAATAGCATACTATCTGAGAGAAACTAAAACAACATCAAGCAAGTATGACAGTTGGTGTCACTATCTGAACCTAACTGAACACCTGAAGGGAGGGGCTGATTCTGGAGCACAACACAAAAGCCCCGCCCACCAGATGCCAGACATTCTACTGTTCAAATTAGGCCCCAGTGTTTTTCTAACAAGCATAACGTGTCACAATTTGTTGACAGGCCCCCACAAATAAATACTTCCAGTGCAACACTCTGTATATATGAATTCTTACTATGCATTAAGGAATTGCAAGTTAGTATGACGTCCATGTGGAAAGTTGTAATGCCCACAGGAAACTACAGTTGGCAACCTAATGATTTATGTATTTTCAGCTCAGCATTTAATTTGCAGAAAAGATAAATGTCATGGAAGTCCTTTTTTAAGAAGAGGATTTCATGTTAATTGATATGATAATGCATCACCTGGTCAACAAATTTCCTTTTCAATTTCCCTGTCTTAAAATCAACAATCAACAATAACAAATATTACCAGCCAGTACTTCAATAGGCTGTTTCTGCTTATGTGCTTTCTTTCAAGGTAATTGCTTTCCTTCGGGGGCACGATTACCTCTGTTTCTGGTGTTTATCTCAAATTATGCGAAATCGTTTATATTTTGTGTTAAAGACTACCTTAAACCTTTTACAGCAGGGATGAGGAACTTCCTTTCCACAGGCCAAACTTTGCCTGATATGGCCTCATTTGGCCCACAAGACTATTTGAGGGAAGCCATGCCCAGCTGCCCTATACCTGATACCTTACATGTTGTTGGAGGTGGGACAAAGTAAGGGTGAGACAAAGGACCTTATGTCCAAGGTTGAGAGGATCAGCACAGAGCAGGCTTTGCAAGCCTTCCTGCACTCCCTCTGTTTCTGCCGGCAGGAGGGATGAATGGGCCAAAGCAGCTTCTAACTGTCTTTCATTCCCCACCCTCACCTCACCACGGTCGCCTCTGTTGCTGTAGGGAAAAGAGACTGCATATTTCCTCCTCTCCCTTTCCCCCTGTGAAAGCACCAGTGTGAAGTGTGAGAATGAATGGGACAAATAAGCTTATTTCCTGCCTCGTTCCCCGCTCCCCTACTGCCACTGCTGCTGTGTGAAGGAGAGGAAATCCTACATTTTATAGGGTAAATGTCTTTCTTGCCATTTCTACAGGAACAGTGCAAGGAATTTTGACAGGTGGGCAGAAGCAACCCATCTGCCAGTTATATGACATCAAAATGATGTCACACAATTGGCAGATGGGCAGTCCCACTGGCCTTTCAAATTTGGCCCACAAAGCTTATGCTGATAATGATCTAGCCTGTGGAGCGTAAAAGGTTCCCCACCCCTGTTAAACCAGGTTGTAATGTTTTGTGAGGCAAGGCAAGAGAACTTCAGCGCCTGAGACAATTTTTAGATGAGCCCACCTGTTAAGCCTAGCTAGGGAGAGCCAGTCAGGGTGGACCTGCCTTCTTAAAACATCTGGGCAGAAGCTGACAGAAGCTTCTACAATATTCACAAAAAAGAGTTGGGGGGGTCTAGGAGAGCAATATCAATTCTACTCTTTTCTAAATTACACCCAGTTTGAAGTTAGTGATAATTAATCTAAAAACGTTATCTAATTACTAATTATATTGATATATGATTATATTTTCTTTCTTTTACAAAAAGCTTTGATGTATGTCCACACTCTTCTTGTCTGACTTGTCTCTCAGATTTGTAAGCTGCTTGAAGGCAGAGACCTGCCTCCTTATATAAAACTTTGTAAAATGCCCTACATTGATAGTGTAGCACAAATAATGCCTTAATAATTACTAAATTCTCAGGGAACAAATTCCTACCAGTACTGTGTCTCAGTACTGGTAAAAATGTGCCTGGTATAACAAGACGGTCAGGCGATTGAGCATATGACAGAGGTTGCTCTTTGGGATTCAATTCCTGTCATCATTCTCTTCCTCCTTTAGCTATCTCCCTCCTCCACCTCCCCTCTGCCTGAAGCACACACACTGGTTTATGATTTTGCTCTCCCACATGACAGCTTTTCCATGTCAGCCCTATTTCCTTCACCCCTTCTGGTCTAATGCCTATTGGCTGCCGTGCCAACACAGAGGAGGGACAGGCCTTAGATCCTCTATAATAACGGCCCTTTCCTTTTTTGAAACTTTTCATCAAACTCTTATGAGGGCATACATCACAGCTGAGCCGCATCTTCATCACATCAGTTTTGGGAAGTGGCTGGATCCAAACTCCTCTGATTTCCAAAACCACCCAGCTCACTTTGTTGGATAACTCTCCTTGGTGAAAGGGATCCTTGGTGTGAATGCAACCAACACAGAGGGCTTCCTCCTTCAAAAGGACTGGAAGGTAACTGAATATTGTCAGGGCAGACAATTATCCCAGGGTTGTTATGCCTGCAGGATATTCTTTTTTAACAGGCTGTATATATTTTAAGTGTCCTATCCTTTACAAATATCTAATATTGTGGCTTGGGATGGAGGAGAAATATGATTCAATTTGCACTTAAAGGTGAACCTTTCCCAAACAATACATGGACTGAAACACTACCATCCTTCAAAATTTGCACTTCTCTGAATTTTGCAGTGCAGTTATCCAGCCAAGTAATGTGTACCAAGATGGTAAAGTTTTCATTAAAATATATATAGTCATGAAAGTACTCAAATTAGCGAAACTGCTTTGCAATAATAACAATATTAGGTTAAATGAGGAGAAATTTGCACCCAAATGCTGATGAATTTTCATGAGGACTTGTATGAACAAATTCACAAACTATACGGCAATGCGGAGAAGAAAAAATGTGGGATGGGAAACTGAAATTGATACATTCTCCAGTCCTAATTATGGATGGAGTTTGACAGTGTGTCTATTCAGGTGGCTGAACAAAACAATCTGTAATTGGGGGGGGGTTAAAAAAAGAGCTTTTCGAAACAAAGGCCTACTGCCAATATGCTTTAAAAATGAATGGGGGTTCTGTGTGAATTGGGAATGGTGGAGAAATTGGTTCAGTTCTCATTTTAATGCAAGCTTTCCAATTTTTCACTTTCCAGTATAAAATGCAAACTGCAGCATAGCTATCCTTCAAAATATATACTCCTCCAATTTTTGTGGTGCAATTATCTCACAAAAGAAAATGTGTGCAAGGAGTGTGTGAGGGAGAGGGGATGAGGGAGAGAGAGAGAAATTCAAAACCATGTTATATTCTATATATGTATGTATGTATGTATGTATGTTGTGGAAATGCAGCAAATCATACTGTGCTGAATATTAGAAAATTAAAAGACTAAGAGAAACAAAAATTGGCAGATTTGTACATTCCTAGCAGCACTTTTGTAGGAAAAATATGGTATGCATCCCTGTTTAATGTATATATACAAACATACATACATACATACATACATACATGGCAAGGAGCAGTAACTCACAGTATGAGCAGCACCGCAGGTTCAGTCCCAAGCATCAGTGATCCTGTCAACAGGGAGGACCATAGTTCAGTAGCAGAGCATCTGCTTTGCATGCAGAAGGTCCCCAGTGCCTTTAAGTAGGGCTTGGGAATGTTCTCAGCTTGGAACCATGGAGAGATGCTGCCTGCCTGTATGGGCAATGCCTAGATCATGGGTAGGCAAACTAAGGCCCGGGGGCCAGATCTAGCCTAATTGCCTTCTAAATCCGGCCCACAGACGGTCTGGGATTCAGCGTGTTTTTACATGAGTAGAATGTGTCCTTTTATTTAAAATGCATCTCTGGGTTATTTGTGGGGCATAGGAATTCGTTAATATTTTTTTTCCTCCAAAATATAATCTGGCCCCCCACAAGGTCTGTGGGACAGTGGACCGGCCCCACTGAAAAAGTTTGCCAACCCCTGGCCTAGATGGACTGAATATTAATAAATAAATAAAAAGCTGGTCACTGGTTGTCCAACAGACATTTTAACTGAACTTTGATTTCATAGTTTTAGCACACTTTTCTTTCCAATGAGCTTCTTATACACCACTTAGAGATGATTGCAATTAAGTGGTTTATAAAATATTTAAATAAATAAATTACAGGCAGTTTCAGTGAACTGAAAATTACCCTTGTAGATTTATGCAGATGCACAGTCTCTTCTATGCCAAAGACACCTGAAACTTCAGTTAAGTCATAGATAGATAGATAGATAGATAGACAGACAGACCTCTTTTTCTTTTTTGCTTTTTCGGGTTGTGTCTCTCATTTTCATGGTAGCTAAAAAAAGGAGACAGAATTTTTGTCTCTTCCAGTTCCCTAAGTCTTTTTCACACCCTAAAGCAGGGATGGGGAACATATGACTCTCTGAGGTTTGGTTGGGCTACAACTCCCATCACTCCTGACCATCAGCCATACTGACTGGGGCTGATGGCACTTGGAGTCAAACGGTGATGAATAAATAAATAAATGCTCAGATGATAGAGCATGAGACTCTTAATCTTAGAGTCATGGGTTTGAATGCCACATTGGGTGGAAGATTCCTGCATTGCAGGGGGTTGGACTAGTTGAACCTCTTGGTTCCTTCCAGCTCTACAATTCTATTATTTTATGAACATCTGGAAGGACACAGCCCTATATGAACAATAATATGATCTCTATCCCAGTCGTATATGAACAGTAGTCAGTCCCAGGGAAATTCATGCAGAGTAACTGTTCAATATCACTGTTTCTCTCCTCTTCTGTAACTCAGAGAACTCATCCTTATCTTCCTTCCACAGGCAAGATCAGGGAAGATCTTTAGCTCCGGGTCCCACCAACAGACTCAAAACTTTGGCTGAGCTTTAAGGTTTCCATCACAATGGGCAGGTTTTCTACTTTACCTGTTCTGGCCTATTGCCTGGCCTGCCTCATCCTGAGAGTCTCCAGTCAGACAGCCGTGAGCTTCAGGAATACCCCCATCCCCTTTGAGGTTCTGGATCAAGATAAAGCTTACAGTCTCATTCAGCCTGGAATATTTACAAACTCCAGAGCCACCGCCAACCATTCAGGCAACCTTATTGGAGATGCCATCACAGAGGGCCCACAACTGTCAGTCATGTGTGCTAAGCCGACAGAAATCCGACAGGCCTTCAAGTACATTAACACGTTTGTGTCTTGCACTATCTTCATTGTGGGCATCATTGGGAATTCCACCCTCCTGAGGATCATCTACAAGAACAAATGCATGAGGAATGGGCCTAACGTCCTCATTGCTAGCCTGGCTCTTGGGGATCTGCTCTACATTCTCATTGCCTTGCCCATCAATGTATATAAGGTAAGGCCTCTCTTGGCCAGGGTTGGGAAAGAGGAAGAAAACACCCAAGTTTGGATGAGTTTATTACATCACTGCAATGCAGTGCCTGGGGAATCAAGACTCTTCAGCAATAAACAGTGACTACGAGTTAGGTGACTGCCATATATACTAGGTTGAAGATGGGACCTGTCCAGACATTCCAATCCCTTGTGCAAGGAGGGTGAGTGGGAGATGAGGCCCATCATTCCCATTCTTGTTAGCCTCCACAACTTGGAATAATAATAATAATAATAATAATAATAATAATAATAATTCATTACTTATACCCCACCCATCAGGCCAGGCCTCCCCAGCCACTCTGGGTGGATATTAAAAATACAATAAAACATCAAACACTAAAAACTTCCCTAAATAGGGCTGCCTTCAGATGTGTTCTAAAAGTCATATAGTTGTTTATTTCCTTGACATCTGGTGGGAGGGCATTCCACAGGGCGGGCGCCACTACTGAGAAGGCCCTTTGCTTGGTTCCCTGTAACCCTTCTTGCAGTGAGGGAACCGCCAGAAGGCCCTTGGCGCTGGACCTCAGTGTCCAGGCTGAACGATGGGGGTGGAGACACTCCTTCAGGTATACAGGACCGAGGCCATTTAGGGCTTTAAAGGTCAACACCAACACTTTGAATTGTGCTCGGAAACGTACTGGGAATCAATGTAGGTCTTTCAGGACTGGTGTAATATGGTCTCGGCAGCTACTCCCACTTGCCAGTCTAGCTGCCGCATTCTGGATTAATTGTAGTTTCCGGGTCACCTTAAAAGGTAGCCCCATGTAGAGAGGATAACTTCTGATACAGGAAGACTTTTCTGTTCCTGAGGGTCACCCTGCAGATTCGAAAACCTGGATCTCATGGTGTTCTAGGTTGCACAAGGAAATCCTCCATGAGCAGAACAGGTTGTTTGCTATATATGTTTGCCTCCCTGATCATGAATCACAGTTGGTGCAAGGGCCAGAGCAAGCACACTCATCCCCACTCTATGTGACCTAATTGTGAGGGTTATTAGAACACCATATTAGGGGTAGCATGCAACACTAAAAAGATGCTTCTCTTTTGGGTAACATGAGGGATAGGGAAGAAATCTGATTTGGCTCACTTTTTAAGGTGAACCTACCTAATTAACACTTTCTGAAACTGTAACACAGGCATCCTTAGGAATGCTCCAAATTTAGCAGTGCAGTTCTCCAGTCCAACAGTGTGTCTAAGAATGCATATACTAGAATAAAGCATGCATGAAAAAGCACATGTTGTGCAAAATAACATTTTTTTAAAAAAAAAATATTTGAGGACATTGTAAAAAATGTGTATGCTAATCAAAACTGTGTATATATGAGCAGAAATTTGCACTGAAATGCTGATGAATTTTCATGACTCCCCCCCCCCCCAATAACAAACTTATGTGGAAATTTGGAGAACTGCAGATACGATTGGAAAAACAAACTGAGAGAAACCAAAATTGGAAGATATGCCCATCTGTACCCTCATATTATGTAAATTTGTGTCCTCTTTTCTTATGAGCTATAAGTGCTTGCCGCAAGTTGGGGAAGACACAAGCACAGCAGTTTTTTTTCTGTTTTGAGAGTAATTTATTTGGGGGAACATTTAGACACTGGATAACTCCCCTTTTCTCTGAAATGGTATAGAGTGACCATTAACAGATAAGTGAAGTCATGTACACATTGCCATTTAAAGAGGACTTTCCTTGCCCCACCCCTTAATATGACTAATAAGTCCAGAGCAGGGCTTCTCAAACTTGGGTCTCCAGCTGTTTTTGGACTACAATTCCCATCATCCCTGGCTACTCATCCTGCTGGCTAGGGATGGTGGGAATTGTAGTCCACAAACAGCTAGAGACACAAGTTTAGGAAACCCCAGTCCAGAATCCAAAATTCCCTACTGCACCATGGTGCAGAGATGGGCGGTTCAGAAGCATTTAGGAAAGCTTGGTGTTTATTTCCAAGCAGAAGCATCCCTCTTTGAACTCCTTTCTTAGCCCGGCAGCTGAGGACACAATCAAGCTACTGTTTTGCATCTGAGAGCCAGAAGTTGGTCAGATGTCAGAGAAGCAGCAAAACTCAGCTTTCGCATGAACTCAGCTGGGAAGCCTCCAGTGCAAAATATTTCTGTGAGATGTAACTGTTTGTGCAGGCTGACTTGGATATTTCAAGTTGTTTTGGATGTTAGCCAAGGCACCTCCTGATTACAATTAATCAGGAGGTGCCTTGGTGAGGAGCCAAAACAGTTGTGGACACATGGGATGTGAGTGTAGGGTCTCCTTCATGGGGACTTTGTTTTGAAAGGGCTGCTACTCCTGCTTGCCTTCTCTGAAATTGGTACAGCAGCAACGGCATATACAATCTGACCTTTGGTTCATCTTGCTTAGTATTGTCTACAATGACTGGCAGGATCCTTCCAGGGGTTCAGGCAGGAGTCTCTCCCAACCCTGCCTGAACATGTCAGGGGTTGAACCTGCGGCCTTCTGCTTGCAAGGCGGATGCTGTAACCACTAAGCTATGGGCCTTCCCAAGAACTGCCCTCCTCTCTATTTCTAGATGCAAAGGTCTTTGTACATACCTTGACTGACAGAGAGAAGGAACAGAAAGTTGAACAAAATCTTCCCTACGTTAAGAAGAAAGGAGTGGTTTTATGAAAGAGAAAAGATGAGATTAAGTTAGATCTTTAATTTCTCTGCCAATTTCCCATGAAGGAGATGGAAGCAGTTCACAATACAGTGGTACCTCGGGTTAAGAACTTAATTCGTTCCAGAGGTCCGTTCTTAACATGAAACTTTTCTTAACCTGAGGTATCACTTTAGCTAATGGGGCTTCCCGCTGCCGCCGCGCCGCTGCCCCACGATTTCTGTTCTCATCCTGAAGCAAAGTTCTTAACCCGAGGTACTATTTCTGGGTTAGCAGAGTCTGTAACCTGAAGCATCTGTAACCTGAAGCGTCTGTAACCCCAGTTACCACTGTATACAAAATAGAAGCAGCAATCATGAATGCAATTGTAGATTGAATTAACTGAAGCATAGCGTCCAGATCACAGGAAGTAAGAGTTCAGACTTAGTTCTGCATTTTTTATGCAGCCTAGGGATAAGTAAATCTTTTTCACTTTCTCTCTGTTTCTTACTTTTTCAGTTTTCCAGTCTTAAATTCAGTTCAGATGAATTTCTTCATCAGTCTGCAATTTATTTATTTTTAAAAGAACAATCTTCAAGGAAATTCATCAGCGGTTCTCCTAAAATACACCCCCCCCCAAAAAAAAACCCATAATGCATTTTTGTATGCTATTTTCACTAACAATCAATTCTATTGTTTTTATGGATCACTGTTGTGATGCCATGATGCCAAAAGTTTTTTATGCCCCCCAGGCCTGGCCCCATTTTATTTATTTTTTATTTTTCACTTTTTAAAATAGTGTTTTTTAGAGGCTGCTTCCATAGGCCCCCTGCTGTGATACTGTGCTGCCACAGGGGTTTTGTGCCATGTGTCCATTTTTAAAATAAAAATAGCAATTAAAAAAATTCAAAATTATTTTTAATTAATTATTTTTTTAAATATGCATTTACTGCCCACTCTGAGAAGTAGCCCGCTGTGATGATGCAAGGTCTTTGTGCCCTCAAACCAGCCCTAATTTTTCTCCATTTGAAAATAACGGTGATGGTCATGGTCATAATTTTACTGACCACTCCCATAGATCCTCCTGAGATTCAGTGGTGCCAAGTGTGCTATGTGACCCCTCCAAGATGAGCATTAGCTCTCTGAAATATACTCGGAGTTGAGAGTGGATTTCATGCACTTTATTCAGCTTATAGTGGTGAGGAGGAATGGAAGTTCCCCCAGAATGTCTGCTTTATATACATTATTTGCACAATGAGCCCCACGTGATCGGCTAATTCTGGGATTCTCCTGTAGGCCAATCAGGTTGCGGATTCACTTCCACCTGGAGCGTGACCTTGGGTGGCTCCTGTGGACCAAGCAGACTGCTGCATTCTGGATCCTATTGTTCAAGGACCAATCAGACTGCTGCATTCTGGATCCTATTGTTCTAGGACCAATCAGACTGCTGTGTTTTGGATCCTATTCAACTCAGTACATAACACTCTCCATGGTTTCAGATGGGAAATGGACATATTTCAGTAGCAGAGCATCTGCTCTGCATGCAGAAGTCTCCAGGTACAATCCTTAGCTTTTGCACGTAGCGCTGGGAGAGACTCCATCCCAAAACCCTGGAGTACTGACAGTCAGTGTAGACAATACTGAACTGGATGGGCTAACTGCCTGACTTGGTATAAGGCAGCTTACTCTATTTTAGGTGGGAGTCTTTTCCAGCTTTGCTAGGAGATAATGGAGACTGAAGTTAATGCCTTCTTCGTGCAAAGCATGCACCCTGCCCCTAAGCTCCTGCTGCTACTCAAAGCCCCTGTCTTGCAAGCAACCAGAGTCTGCCTCCTTTCCGTACACCCATGTACACCCATGTACAGCCTGCATGGGCTGGGTGTCGGGAGCACCTTCTCTGACCTTCCGATCACAGGAACGTAGGAACATCAACACAGCATTCCCAAGGAATAGGTCCTGGTGCAGTGGACTCACATTTGATCACGTGAGCACCTGAAACGCAGCAGAATAACGGAAGCAAAGCTGTGGAGATATTGTTGCATACCTAATTTATTTCTTCTAATTAAACAAAGAAAAGAACATAACAAACATGTACGAGAGAAACAGCTCTCTCATTCTGCCATCTTGTCTCTAGACAGGTCAAAGAAAAAGACACACAGTGTAGGGATGGAAGTCTGGAAGAATAGCTTCCTCCCCCTCCTTTAGACAGAAAGTAAAACAAACATGATCTGGTGATCCTTGCAATGGGAGGGATGAAAACGCTGACACCTCCTCCCTGTACCTGGAAGATAAGCAAATGAATTTTTTGTTTTTCTAGCCCAAGCAATTTTTTCCTGGAGCAGTCTAAGGGCTAAAGCAATTCATGACTGCTACCATTTCTATCTTTAAGGGGTGAAATAAGCAATGAATGGGTGGGAATGAATGTTTGAAAGCTTTCCGAAGTGCTATGCACACCAAAAACTAACATCTCAAGGATAAAGATCAGCAGATCCCTTTCCCTGCCTTGACATACTAGCTTTCCATATGCAGGAAGGGTTTTGTTATGCACTGAAGTTCTCACCCTGGGCCAGCAGGGGGATACTGTAGATAGTTTTCACTCAGATCCACATATGCAAATAAGGAATTGAAAGTGACGTTCAGTGATTGGATAGTTACAGAAAGTTGTTACTGTTGCTTTCTAGTGGAGCTCTATATAAGCAGGTTGGCTGAACCCTTCAGTCCAGTTCTGTTCTGGCCTGTGAATAAACAAGAGCTGTTTGAAGAATTGCTGTGTTGTCTGATATGTTCACCCACAACTTAACAGGTTTATTATTATTATTATTATTCTGGTCCCATCTGCACTAAACATATAAAGCAGCATCATGCAACTTTAAACAGCCATAGCTTCCCTCCAAAGCATCCTGGGAAGTGTAGTGCTGAGAGCTGTTGGGAGAACCCATTCTCTGCAAAAGCCTGCAGTTCCCAGAGTGCCCTAGAGAACAGGATTGATTGTTAAACCACTGGGAATTGTTGTTCTGGGAGGGGAACAGGGGGTCCTGTAACAGCTCTCTTTGCCCTTAATAAACTACAATTCCCAGGATGCTTGGGGGGGGGGGGGAACAATGACTGCTGAAATAGTATCTTAGCCCTTTAAATGTATGGTGCAGATGGAGCCTGTCATACCCATTAGACCCATTGAAATGGACTGAGGACCATTTATTTCAGTGGGTCTACTCTATGACTAATGTTGGCTATCACCTATGGTCCGAGAATGGCTAATTTTAACTGTTTCCCATGGCTTAGAACTTCAAGCTGAGTTACTCATGGAAGTTCATTCCTGCACCAAAGCTCAAAGTCTTAATAGGTTGTGTATGACAACTGTTCTATAAACTGGACAAGTTGTTCAGGACCTAACACAAAGAGGAAATCTCATTCTGGTTGTTGAATGGAATATCCTAACTGTTACGCAATTTATTTCATTAATCCATATTTTATTATTTGTCGTATCCGTGTAATCCAATATTTAGCGTGAACTGAAACAAAACTTCCCAGTCTAATTCAAAGTAAACCAGTCTGGTAATCAAATTTCCAAGACAGCTGATTCACTGATTTAAGAGCTTTTTAAAAAAGGAAAGAGGAACTTCCTCAGCCAGCAAATCATTTCTGAACATGTAAGGAGAGCTTTCATAAATTCTTCTAACAGTTTTCAAAACTGAGATGTTTTACCTTTATAACTATTTTGTTTCCAAAGTTCATTCATCTAATGATCAGAAATTATTTTCTGCTTTTCAGCTGACATTCTTCAAAATACAGCTGACTGATATTTTACATATTTTTTACATGAGCAGAACACTTGCATTTCATACAAGAACTTGCAGATTTATTTTTTTCTAGGGAAGAGACTACACATAGCCAGAATGGTATTGTTGGACTCATAGGGACTCATAGGGATGCGGGTGGCGCTGTGGTCTAAACCACTGAGCCTCTTGGACATGTTGATTGGAAGGTCGGCGGTTTGAATCCCCACAGCGGAGTGAACTCCCGTTGCTCTTTCCCAGCTCCTGCCAACCTAGCAGTTTGAAAGCATGCCAGTGCAAGTAGATAAATAGGTACCTCTGTGGCGGGAAGGTAAATGGCATGTCCATGCGCTCTGGCTTCCGTCACGGTGTCCCGTTGCACCAGAAGTGGTTTAGTCATGCTGGCCACATGACCTAGAAAGCTGTCTGTGGACAAACACCGGCTCCCTCGGCCTGAAAGCGAGATGAGCGCTGCAACCCCATAGTCACCTTTGCCTGGACTTAACCGTCCAGGGGTCCTTTACCTTTTATCCATCCTTAGTTGGACTCAGTAGTGACTGATGCCCATTGTGACTGGTCCTCCACAGTCCCTCCCCCCATTCACTACTGCCTGTGGCACTTCAGATGTGATTGGGCTCTGACTCTCATCAGCCAGAGCTACAGCAGCCAATGGTAAGGCACACTAGAAGCTGCAATGAAGAAATATCTAGAGGGCCACAGATTCCCCGTCTGTAAACTAGATAAACCAATTGTCTGACTCTGTATGAGGCCTTTTTATATGTTCATTAAAGTGATCTTGTACAGAGCAGTTGCTGCACCACTGAGGCCCCCATGTTTGCTACTAGGGCGAGGGGAAGTTTAGCATTTTTGTGTAGCATTTTGTTGTTGGCTAGCTTTGAATGGATGGGCATCAATTCAGCCTAGAACACCTACACAACAGAAAAAGGTGATACAATGGTGAAAGTGAAGAATGGGACTGTAGACTACAACCAAGGAACATTTTTGAATATTAAAAAGTACTCCGGGCAACCAGAAAGCCGGGGGTGGGCACCAAATTGTCAAAGGCTGATGCCCCTACACATGCAAAGAAATGAGTACAAAGTTATAAGAATCCAGTTCTCCACTGAGATGGCATGCTGATGATGTGCTTCCTCTCTTTCAGCTGCTTGCAGAAGACTGGCCTTTTGGTGTGCAGGTGTGCAAATTGGTGCCTTTCATTCAGAAGGCCTCCGTTGGCATCACAGTCCTCAGCCTCTGTGCTCTCAGCATAGACAGGTAACAGACCACCTTTGTTGCCTCCTGTCAAGCCATTCACTTAGCCAGCCCTACCTATGCAATTCATTGACCCTCTTCAGTCTTCCCTGAAGACTGTGGTGGATAATCTTTTCCGCCCAGTGGAGCTACACTGTCTTTAGAGGAGGAATGTGGTCCTGCAGATGTTGCTGGGCTGAAACTTCCACCTTCAACTCCCCTGCTGTATTTTCTCCATGCAGTGTGTGGGAGTTTTCAGATGTGAGCAAAAGATTCCTGTGCAGCAGGGAGGTTGGACTAGATGACTCTTGTGGTCCCTCCCAACTCTACAGTTCTATGATTCCATGATTCCATTTGCTTTTTCTTGGGCTGCTCATGGCAGGTATAGAGCTGTGGCCTCTTGGAGCCGTATTCAAGGGATTGGCATCCCCATGTGGAAGGCTGTTGAGGTGACCCTAATCTGGGCAGTGGCGATCATCCTAGCTGTCCCTGAAGCCATTGCTTTTGACTTGGTGGAACTGAATTACCGTGAACAGACGCACTGGGTCTGCATGCTGGCCGCTGAACAGAAATCCAGCTTCATGACGGTATGTTCTCTCTTGTTCAGCCAGATGATTTGAACAACCAAGGGAAGGGATGGACCAGTCTGTCAATTACAGCTTCTCATTTCCCCTATTTTAAATTCAGCTCCCCACATTTCTGCATCAGCCTGTGAATTCTTATTTTTTAAAACAGTTCTCATAGAAATTCACCAGCTTTTTTTTGGTGCAATTTCCCCCTTGTTTACACATTTTTATATGCAATTTTCCCTAATACAAATATTGTTGCATATCAGGGGGATTGAGGTTGGATTAGATTACCCTTGTGGGCCCTCCCAACTCTACAACCCTATGATTCCATGATTGTGGTTTGGTTTTTTCCTGGGCTGGTCATGGCAGGTACCAAGCTGCATTTTTTGTATGCTATTTTCACAAATGTGTACATTTACACACACACTTTAGTTTATGAATTTATTTATTATTTTACACATTATTTGGATGGAGAACTGCATTCCTAAAATTTGGACCATTGGGAATTTTGAACAATGGCTGTGTTTTGCATATTGCTTCGGAAAATGTGACTTGTGTAAATTTGCCATTAAATGCAAACTGAATCAAAGCGTGTATTCTTATGTTAAAAGTGTGCCCCAAATGCATACAATGAGATGATTCCATTTGCTTTTTCCTGGGCTGCTCATGGCAGGTATAGTGCTATGGCCTCTTTGAGTCGGATCCAAGGGAATGCATACAATGCGTACAATGAGATGGAGCAGGGCAGAATAGCATGCAGTTAACATAACATAAGAACATAAGAATAGCACTTGATTTCTTGGAGAAATCAGGCCAAAGGAGCCCCATTTGGTCCAGCCTCCTTTTCTCACAGTGGCCAGCCAAATGTGCACAAGATGCCCGAAAGCAGAACCTGAGCACAACAGCACCCTCCCCTCCTGCAGCTCCTAGCAACTAGTATTCAGAAGCATTACTGCCTCTGACATTGGAGGCAGAGTATAGTCATCATAGCTAGTACCCATTGATAGCCAATGGGATGCAATGGCACATCATGGGAGGGAAGGGGGTGGAACAGCTCAGCAACTGAATGCCAGTGAAACCAGAACATGGTGGAATCAAAGGCTCAGTCCATCTCTGGTCTTCATGTGTTCCACAGGTGGCATAGGGACAGAAGTCCCCAAGGCAATCCCACCCTCCACACAACAGCTAACAGCTCCCTTGGAGAGGCAGCTGCTTTCATACCTTCCTTCCCTTCCATCTGCAGTTCTACAAGGATGTGAAAGATTGGTGGCTTTTTGGCTTCTACTTCTGCCTGCCTCTGGCCTGCACTGGCGTCTTCTATTCCCTCATGTCATGTGAGATGCTGAGCAAGAGGAATGGCATGAGGATAGCACTCAACGACCACATGAAACGGGTGAGGTCCCCCAACCAAGGCTCAAGGGAACAAACCCTGTTCCTTAGCTTAGATGCAAGGAATGATGTCAGGCCACCAGACCACATGGCCAGGCTTTGCCTGCTCTGTCTGGCAGTGGCTTTCATAAGAAAATAAGAAGAGCTGTGGTAGATCAGGCCAAAGGCCAATCTGGTGTTGTCACATGGGTCAACCAGGTGCCTATGGAAAGCTCATAAGCAGGAACTGAGTGCAAGGTGCCCAGAAGATGTCCTGCTAACTGAAAACTCTTTCATTGCAATAGGGAGCCTGTGACTCTATGGGCGTGTTTGGGCTCCACTGCCCATCGTCTGTCCTCATTGCCTGTATCTGGGGTAGAGGGAGTTTAACAATATCTGGAGAGCCACAGCTGGAGATGCCAGGGAATGAACATCTGAATGAATAGTGGCCTGTCCTCTGAATTTTAGTAGTATGCTCTGATACAGAGGTGGGCTTTCTGGTTGGACAGCCTGTCTCCCTCATGCAACTGGTGAAATATGAACATCCTTCCCTTGATTCCATTCCTGGCATGCAGGACTCCGGGGGTGTTCTGGATATTCCCTAATACCAGGGAATTGATGGTATTTACTGATGTCTTTACCATATTATACACATGCTCAAGTCATCTTTGCCTTTTATTGCTCCTTCATTCATTAACTTCAATGACTGGACTGCTGGTATTCCAGCGCCGGGAAGTGGCCAAGACAGTGTTCTGCCTTGTGGTGATATTCGCCCTCTGCTGGCTACCTCTCCATCTCAGCAGGATCCTTAAGAAGACCATTTATAGTCAACAAGACGCTGATAGGTGTGAACTGCTTAGGTAAGCTCAATATCAGAAGCTCCTTATTTTCTTCTTGGTGGTGGAAGAGATCTCTACCCTCCCTGAAATTAAAGAGGCCATTTCCAGTGTTAGAAATACAGGGAGCCACTTCATACTGATTTGGACCACTGGTTCATCTAACTCAGTATTGTCCACATTACTCTTAACTAAAAGCAAGATGTATGGGTGGTCCATACGGTGATATGGTGTAAGGGGTGAAGGAATGCAAGAGGTATAAGGGGATCCTCCAACATATAGGGCTTTCAGACTTACTCATGAGCTGTTGATAATGCATTTTGATCACTGAGATTTCCAGGCAAGACCAGTGCCAAACATTGGCATTGCTGGGTACCTTATGCTGGCCCAGACCTCTGCTGGCAACCCACTGCCAAACTGGAGACTCCCAGGGCACAGGAAGTTGCCTTTATACCAAGTCATACTATTTGCCCATTTAATCCAGCACTGCCAACTCTGGCAGGCAGCAGCTCTACCGAGTACCAAACAGAGGTCTTTACAATTACCCGCTGATAATCTTAAGAGGAAACAACAGGGGGTTGAACCTCACACCATTGACATATGAGGCATGTGCTGTCAGCCACAGCCCTTTCTACTAAGTTTGCATGCCAGTGGCCATAAGAATTGTCAAAGGATTGAAACATGCAGCTGCCATCATGCTCCCTTCTGACAGCACTGACTCTCCATTCTCTTCTCCACTCCAGCTTCCTTCTGGTCATGGATTACTTTGGCATCAATATGGCTTCGCTCAACTCCTGCATCAACCCCGTGGCTCTCTATTTTGTCAGCCGGAAGTTTAAGAATTGCTTTCAGGTAGGATTGGGATTGTGCTTATGGAGGTACAGAGGAAATGCCCAAGTGCCCCAGCCAAGTTGTTACCGGGACAAGGAGGAGAAAACTTTATTGGGGCTAATTCTCTCTCTCTAGTGCAGATGTCATTATTGTTATTGTTATATTTTATTACTGAGCCTTCACCCTAGGGCAGGTTATGATCCAAACACATTAATATTAAAACAAAATACTGCACAATATTATGAACAGATGTTGCTGAACTACAACTGCCATCATCATAGATTTCACAGAACTGTAGAGTTGGATGGGACCCTGAAGGTCATCTTTTCCAACCCCCTGCATTGCAGGAATCCTGCCCATAACCATCTCTGGGTGAGCTCAAACCACTAAAATTCTGATGAACAGCCAGACGCACTGACCCATTGTACCACTGTCATTGACCATTGTCCCTGGGCATTGACCATGCTTGGTGGGACTGGTAGGAGTTGTAGTTCAGTTACATCTGGAGCGCAAAAGAGTTCCCACACCTGCCATCTCAATATATTCTTGTTCTTCAATACATTTGCACATGCAGAACAAGTATCATCAGAAGTAAACATTGCCCAAAGACATTTAAAGTTACCTCTTGGGATTTTTATTTGTTTGTTGCATTTATGACCTGCCTTTCCATTTAAAAAATGTCTAAGGCAATGATCAACAATAAAATCTGCAATAAAATAATATATAACCCTTTTAACAAATAAGCGCCACAATTAATCAGATGAAATATATTAAAGTGCTGTTGCAGTAGAGGCAGTGAGTGAGAGGAACCCAAAGGACTGAAACTGGCACACAGTTTTCTTATCACAATGTTAATTGAGTCCAAAGGTCAAAAAGCCAGATTTGCAATTTTTTCCAACATCCTGAAAAAAGATCTCAAGGACAGTACAGAATGCAATATTGTCTCCATCTTGGCCTGCCCTTGGTAGTGATGTCCCAGCCTCTCTCTGGGATGGGGACCTTGGCAGAGCCTTTATTTATTCATTACATTTTCAGCCCAACCTTTTCTCCTCCCAAAGAGCTCGTGCTGGCATCTATGGTTCTCCGACTCCTCATTTTATCCTCACAACAACCTTGTGAGGTAAGCTAGACTAAGGAGACAGTGACAGGCCCAAGATCACCCACTGAGCTTCATGGCTGAGTGGCTATTTGATCCTGGTCCAACACTCTAGCCACCATACCCTGCAGGTTTGTCATCTTCCTAGGGCTGTAGTGCAGGGTGGTTCTTCAGAAGCCTTAAACATCTCTGGTTTCTTTCTCATAGTCATGCCTTTGTTGCTGGTGCCAGAGACCAGCTCTTGGCATTGCACCAACAGATGACAAGGGCTCTGTTGGGAAGTGGAAAGCCAACGGGCAAGAATTGGGCCTTGATCGGAGCAGCTCCCACCTGAAGTACAGCTCTTCGTAGACGAGGGGATAAAGAAGAGGAGGGTCCACCAGGACTATGGAGATGGCCAACCTGATTTTCCTTGTGGTTCTTCAACTTCTCTGCTTTATTCTGGAAGGAACTGGCAGTTTCACCACCCAGCCCTTTGAAAAGGTCTTGCTCACCTGATGTTCCTTAGTCCCTTATTAGTTCCTTAATTAATCCACCCAATTAATGAATCTTTCTCTTTCTAAACAGCAGAATCCCTCATAAAAATAAATGGCAGGTTGGAGCAGACCATAGGCGCTTATAGTCTAGAGGTGGGGAAATTTGGGCCTCTCTGGCTGGTTGTTGATGCTCTCCCATGCTACACACCCCAATAGCCTTGCTTTGCACCCTCCTTGGCACCTTTTGCCTACTGAGAATGAGTCCCTGAATGAACTGTGATTGCGCTCCTTACCTGCCTGGAAGGAGAGAGAGATGAGTAGGGGTGAGTGTGTGAAACCTTTTAAACATGTGTTGCTGGAAAGTAGCCTACTGTACAAAGATAAGAGTCAAATTCATTGTTCTGCCCACTTTTGCTGCCCATTTGCATGTGGCCCCTGTAAGGTTGCCTACTGGCGAATGTGGCCCTTGAGCTGAAAAAGATTCTGCACCCAAAGATGCAGTTGATGTATTAGGTTCAAATTTTCCCTGGATATCAAATAAGGGCACAGTTGGAGAGAGGGAGGACATGGAGAACAGGAAAGCAGAAGGGATGTGGTTCTGGAAGGGACAGAAGGCTGGAAAGGAACTGGACAATATAGCAGATTCCCTGCTCCCTCTTGCCTAAAGCCCGGTGGGTAGATCTGTAGCTAGGGATGGGAGGGAGAGAAATCTTATTCAATTCATGTTTAAAGCCAAATCTATCAAATTCACAACATCTGAAGCAGTATGAGAACCAAAACACAGCTGTCCTTCTGAATTTGCATGTGTCCAGATTCTCCAGTCAGTTCTGCAGCCAAACAATGTTTACAAAAATGCATGTATCGGGGGGGAAGTGTGCATAAAAATTGAATATATTAGTGAAGATAACATAAAAAATGCATGTGTTAGTCAAAACTGAAGGCAAAAATGTGTTTATTAGGCACTAATACACTGAAGGAATTTCATAAGAATTCTTTTGGAAAAGATTTTTGCAAATTGCTGCATAAATGTGGGAAACTGAACTTAAGATGGGGAAAATGAGAAAGTGAAAGAACTAAAACTGAGAGTTATTTCCATCCCTATCCGTAGCAGAGCAGACTGTGTGGCTACGGATTGGGGTGAAGTGGTGGTAGATTTCCTGCTATGGTCCGTGCCTCTCCTACTTCCCCCTTTCACCCCTAGTCATTCCTACACTCCCAGGTTTCTATCTTGCACATGTGCAGGTAGGGATGAGGGAGAAATTTGATTTCATTCACATTTAAAGGCAAACTTACTTGATTCATACTTTCTGAAACAGTAGGTGAATTGAAACTCAGCCCTCCTTCACAATATTGGCAAGTCTCTAAATTTTGCAGCAGTTTTTCACCCACGTTTAATTTAACACACACCCATAAACATGATAATAGCATACAAACATGTGTTACATTAATGGGAATTGCTTTGCAAAAAAATGTGTGTATCAAGCAAGATTGCTTACAAATATGTGTATATGAGCAGAAATTCACAATGAAATGCAGAAGAATTTTCATGCAGATTTTTTTTTTAATGCTAACTGATATGTAAATAGGGAGAACTGAACTTGAGGTTAGAAAATGTGTTCTTGGACTATTGTACTGCCTTTTCAATGGAAGACAGAGTTGCATGTATGTATAGAAAACCTCTGATTCCAATATAGCTGGCTGCAATCATTATCTGTTGCTCCACCCACTTTTGTCTCTGGCCCCACCCACTCCTGGCATGTAGGCCTTGGAAGGTTAGCCAAGACGGAATGGGGTCCTAAGGCTGAAAAAGGTTCCTCACATTCTTCTTCTTCTTTGGCAATCACTTGTAGCCAAGTAGGACTGTCTTCCATAAACAAGGTTTTAACAGTGAGTCTGTAAGTGACAGGGGAGGCCAATTCTGGATCCACATGTCCTTCCACAGTGGGGGCATAGGTTTCCGGGCGGGAGTTGATCATATACACATGGACAATACCAATGCTCCACCTACTGTCACATCACTTCCAGAATATGGGTGGTATTCAAATACAGTCGTACCTTGGTTTTCTAACAGATTAGTTCTCAAATGTTTTGGCTCCCGAACACCGCAAACCAGTGATTGTTCTGGTTTGAGAACTATTTTTGGAAGCTGAACATCCGACGGGGCTTCCAATTGGCTGCAGGAGCTTCCTGCAGCCAATCAGAAGCTGCACTTCGGTTTCTGAATGTTTTGGAAGTCAAACGGACTTCTGGAACAGATTCTGTTCAACTTCAAAGGTACCACTGTATGTTTTATTCAGAGTGGCTCTATTGAAATAAACATATGTAATTTAATTATGTCCATTCATTTCAATGGATCTACTCTGAGTAAAACATAGTTGAATGCTGCTCTGCTTATGTGACATCACTTCTTGTGAGCTGAAGCCAACAAGAAAGCAAAATATGAGATTGGAATGGGAATGCCTCTCCCACTATAATGCTTTTGTGATCCACCATAGTCATTTTGTTTCATCAGCTTCTTTTCACCTCTTCTCCTGGACTACTTGGCTCTGAAGATAGCTCAGTCTTCTTTATTTTGGGTTTTGCTACCCTGCTGGTGTTTCAGTGCTTACCTATGTGAGTGTTTGTGTAGACAGTAGCTTATCTCTCATGCATGTATATATTATATATTGTACAGAAAACCATGTAAGCTTTCGGACTTCAATAAGGTAACTGTGAAACAGTTACAGAATCTATTCGATATTAAGTCTTCAGTCCTATGCTCACTTAGCATTTAACTCAGTGGGATTTGCTTCTGAGTTATATATAATGAGTTCATATAATCACAGTACAAGTAAACTCTTAAGGGCTGTATCCAGTGAGGCTGACCCATAGAAATTAATGGACACTGCTAATTTAGCTCCAGTAATTTCAGTTGGCCTACTCCAAGTAGGATTTCGTTGGATACATTCCTAAGCTTCTGCTAGACAAGATAGTGCTGTGATTTAAGAATGACAAGCAGCTGTAATTTGCTACAATATGACTGGTTTCCATTCACATCAGGTAGCTGTTCAAGGGTACCAATGAGATTTGAACCTGTTACATTTGTGAATGTGATCAACTCATGCGCTGGTGACCAGCACCACACCTGGGCCTCTTTTTCCAAGTATTTTGAAAAGGATTTCTTTGCAACAGAATGAATGCATCATAATTTTGGGTTGTGACTTTATTCTGTAGTGTATGTAGCCGTGATCTATAGTATGCTGAATTTCAATTAAAAGTTCATTGACTGTGCCTCAAACTTTTTTCTGGCTAATATGCTGACTGGAAGTTGCAAGCATTAGTAGTAATGGCAGAAGGCCTTAGCCATCCCCATCCATACTATAAGCCAACCACTTCCTAGTTGCCTGGATATAATTTATTCTATTTGTCTGTTTGTGATGGCTGGGTGCAAGGGCTTTTGCATAACTAGCTGGAAATAGCACCACCCATTCTGCAAGGAGGTACCCACAGATGTCGGGAACTCCAAGCTTTACAAAAGTACAGAATGTGAGGTTGGGGGACCTGAGGCAGGAGCACCCAAAGAACAGAGTGTTCAACACAAATAGTATACAAAGTGGCCATGGAATGCTGGCTGGTTGGGTCAGAGAACTGGGTGCTGGGTTGCACTGCCTCAGATACATCTCTTCCAAAGAGGGGGAAATACATCTGGAAGGTCGGGAGTGGAGGCTGGTCCATTAGGGAAAATAGATCACTGCCTCACAAACTCAACCTGCTTTCTTATTTGCAGCCAGTTCAGAGGGTGGCTCTGGCTGTGTGCTTCCTCCTTCTTAGCCTTGGTGTACCCCTTGCAAAGTTCAGCAGGTTGGGGAGGAAACTAGAAACTGTCAAATCTGCCTGCTGTTGGTTCTGGCTCCACCTGCTGTTGGGCTCCTTCCTTTCCACCCAACCAGATGCAATGAGCAACAGCCACCACTGGTTGGGCGATTTTGCATCCCTTCCCAGCAGTTGTGCACTCAGCCTGAAGTCATTATCCTGCATCTGTTTTGCACAAAAAAGAAAACCCTTGCAGGGAGGAAGTCACCATGCTGCAGTTCTGCCAAGTCGTTAACTTTGTCGCAGTCTTCCAAGAAGTCACTTCCTCAGCAGAAGTGAATGTGAAATACTAACTTGAAGAACTAGGAAGGAGCGATATTCAGAAATACCTGGGTCTAGCTTGCTTCCTGACCTAACATCTGCATAAGCAAAGCACACCATCAAGCCACCTCCAGGGCCATGTTGGTCAATTTGTAGGTGAAGGAACAATTGTACGGCAAATGGTGACATTCATACCCCTGTCATTCTCCCAGCTCAGTGTGAATAAAATATTTCCCTATATGAAAGATTTAGAGGGATTCTTATTAATGGTTACATGGGCCTGGGAATCTACTAAATACTTCATACTGCTATCTAATTCATCCCTCTCGTATGTGCCTCTGGAGAATGCAAACATAGTGCAGACAATCCCATGAGCCCCAGTGGCTGACATGGGAAGGAGAGAGTATGCTCAGCACGTACCATGTAATTGCTGGGCTTATCTGAACATGTTTTAAGCTGCCATACAAAGTCCAGAACATTGTCTCATGAGAAAAATCGTAAACAGATTGTGGGTTAATTTTGTTGCACAACAGACTGCATGTGCACCCTGTTGTGCAGTAAGCTTTCACTATCACAGCTGATTGGATTCCTCTTCTGTGCAACACTGACACTCGCTTACTAGCACAACAGCCATTGTGCTAGCCGACAAAGAGCACTGGATACAGCCCTTTGTTAACAATTACTGGTGAACTGTTCTGGTTCCAGGTTGTGGATACTGAGGGAGGGGGCACCATGGAGGATGAGTCAGCTTCACTGCCAGGAGCTGCAGCAACTCTCCCTCATCACTGCTCCCATCTGCTTGCTTGCCATGCAGAGAGCAAGCAGGCAGTGACATCTGCTGATCCTCTCTCTCATCACCACCACCTGGGCCAAAGTAAAAGGCAGGTGAACAACCAGCAGGTTCCAATGGTGAGGTTGAGGCTTGGCCAGAGGCCCCTGTCAGGCTATCAGCAGGTGCCTGGCCATTGGTAGTGATGTGAACAAAATCTCCTTTTTGGGTGCTCCTAGTAACGCAGACAAGTTGGCTCAACTTCCCTGTGTCATTGACCTGATCACTGACCTGATGCTTTCTTGCTACCAGATACGAAACAGTAATTTTAAAGAGAATTCTAAACAGGGAGCAAAAGCATTTAAAAACAAAAAGCCACACACACAGTAAGTTGGAATGGATTCCATCATCCAAGGTTTATTAGGGGGGAAACTTTACTCCATAAAAAACAAGACCCTTTCTTTCTCAACCCCACCCCCTCCCCACAACAAGACAATCCAATTTAAGTCACAGTGGTGCCATTATTTACTTATTTAATGAAATTTATAGACCGCTTGATTATGATGCTGCAGCATTCTGCAATAACTGCAGCTTCCAGTTCAAAAGGCACCCTCCCAATGTCAGACTCAGTCCTGAAGATAGGGTTGGAACCGCTGCCCCCAAATCACATTTGCTGGAGCCTGTCCAGGAGGATACCATGGTTAACAGCATCAAATGCCAATGAGCTAACAAAAAGCCGGAGCAAGGTCACACTCCCCGTCCCACACTCTGCAAAGGCCATTCATCAGAACAACCAAAGCACACTAAGTTCTGTGGCCAGGTCTGAACAACAGATTGGAACTCAAGACTACACTTCCTCCATAGTCACATCCTTCTGGGCATTGTACTCTTCCACACTTGCCTGCAAGGGGGAGCAAACAAAGGCCGTGGTTAAGGGATTTGTGGTCCACATTTGAGATGCAGCTGCTAGGGGGTGGATGGACCAAAGAAGCTGCACCACAACATTCTGTTACAGTCCCCTCTGTTAGCTGTAATAGGTAAATAGAACTTTTTGGCTCAGGCTGTGTGCCTCTTCATCCATCCTTCTAATTCTGATATTCAAGCTGTGACTGTCATTGCTTATGTAGTCAAATGGCACCACCCATGGACAAGAGGATGGTAATAGCAGCATTGGGGGGAACCCTGAAATATGTTCCAAGTTCAGAAGAGGAGAAAAACAAAGGGGAGAGGTTCAAAAACCATTGAGTACCAAACATGCTCAGTGTCAATAGAATGGAGGATTGGGAGGGATGGAGAGAAAATGTAACTGAATCCTGCACCCATGCACTTCACACTGTAACAGGTCCTACTCTATAATGTATATTACAAGTTCTTAGTTGCTTTTGATAACATGTTGCACCTTGCTGAGTACTCTTGGGTGACCTAGAAAAACAACTGATAATTGGTTCCTGCCCTGCTCAGAACAGAAATGATGATGCAGCCAAGGACTGCAGCTGTGGTATAGAATAGCAAAATGGTGCTCTGTTTCTGGCAGAAGGACCTCAATCCTTAAACTAAAATAAATACATTTCAAGAGGGTTGGAAAGGACAAGACCCACCTCAAATTTGCTGAGTACATGCTGGCAGACACCCCTGAGATCCTCCAGCCCCTTCTGGAACACATCGACAGCCGGTAGGCCTGCTATGAAGAAAGGGAAGCATTCAGAGTCAGGCAAGACTTAAAGAGGGTCCAGATCCTTCCTCTGCATTAATAGGTTCCTCCATTTTCAGGTGAGACATGAACTTGTGAAACAGAACTGCCTGTAGGCAAAAGACCATAATAATTGCCTCCTATAAAGTGGTACCTCTGGATGTGAACAGGATCCGTTCCAGAGCCCCGTTCACATCCAGAAGCGAACGCAACCCACATCCGCGGGTTGCAATTCGCCGCTTCTGCGCGTGATGTCATTTTGACCGCCTGCGCATGCGGCGAAACCCAGAGGTAACGCGCTCCGTTACTTCCGGGTTGCTGCAGCGCGCAACCCGAAAATACTTATCCTGAAGCTACTTCAACCCGAGGTATGACTGTATATTTTTATTAAAGATTTCTTAGTTTACAAAAAAAGTGCATTGCCCATTTTTTCAAGCTGTGCTTTCTACAGATCAGTTTAATTTGCTGCGAGACATTAGTCTCCTCCTCCCATATGTCATTCATTAACAGCAACAACAACAACAATAATAAAAACATCTGAATAGCACCCTGGAGGGAAATGTACTTTGAAGCACAAGCAGTGTTTGAAACTCCAGTAGTAATGGACGCATTCTCTGATAGAGAATTTTATTATTGCAAGCATTTCCTGAACTCTTGTCGCAGTACACTGTGCCTAAGATTTCAATTTAAATTGCCTCTGAGGGCGCTGGAGAAGAAGTCCCTCTCCACCAGCCCTATGTTAAAGAGACTGCTGAAGTGGGAATTCGAAGAGCCGTAACCTGCCTGCCCGGGGGTGGAGTGGGGAGAGCTGTGGGGCTTCAGAAAGCCCTGCCAGACCCTGTGCCGCTGTGGATGCTGCAGAGGTGCTGTTGCCTGGAGCCCCATCAATGCTGCAATTGCGGAGCTGCTTGTAGCTCCAAACAACCCTGCAAACCCGAACAACCCTCTCACTTCACAAGGCAGCAGCCGTGTTGGAGAACGGGAAGAACGGGAGGCTTCGCCTGACAGAGGGAGGGAGAATAGGAGATGTTCGTGGAAGCAGGATCGCTCCTGCTGCTGCCTTGGGAAGCAAGAGAGTTGCGGGGTGGTTTTGCACCCATACTGCCACTGAAGTGCCAAAGCTGCAGGAGCTGTTTAAGAAGTTGAAGCAGCAGAACAAGCAGCTCCGCATTTGAAGCCAAGCACCCCACTGTTCCCTGCTGCTGCCAGGAGCAGCCCTAGATGTGCCTCTTTGGGTGCTGCATGAGCCAGAGGATCTGCCGAGCACTGCAGCACAAATGCGACCAGAAACTGTGTTTCAGGTTCCAGGCACTACGTAGGGCCTTGCTTTTCTTTCCTGGTTTCAAACACTGAGCACAACATAACATAGCCAATGGTCAGTGATTATGAGAATTGTGGTCCAACAACCAGAAGACCACTGGTTTCTGTTACACAAGATAGTAATATTATCCCTTATGTTGAAGCTGGGAATAGGACGGTGCAGAGAGTGAGAGTGACTGCATAAAGCAGGGACAATATTCGGAACAGCATTTCTAACTCAGCCTCTTATTCACTAAGTTGTGCTATGTGCAAGCACCACTTCTCATAAAACCCACAACTAAATTCTGCAGGATTGCCCAAGCCTGGTGGGATATAATAATAATTTATTATGTATACCCCGCCCATCTGGCTGAGTTTCCGCAGCCACTCTGGGCGGCTTCCAATCAAGTGTTAAAAACAATACGGCATTATTATAAAGAACAGTTAACTGGCAAGCTTCCCAAAGGCAACAGAGCTCACGACAGTAGGCCTCCCTGTTTGCCAAAGATGCACATGGAATGATGCAGCTAATGACATATAGCCCAGGTAGATGTGAGGAATACACCAGCCTTGTCAAAATAGTGCAACACTATGTAAGAGGGAGCTAGACAATGTAAGGAAGGGAAGGACATCTCCACCTAGCTCAGATTGTGGCACCTTGATCAGGTACTGTAAGGAAAGACGCAGAGCTGATAGAGATGCTGTACTGCAGCTGTAAGGGACCATTTGTGCTTTAATATGCAATTTGCAGGCTAGTTCTGCTCAGAATCAGGTAGGCTACGTGTACTGTATGTTGATTCTTACTATGCGTGAGTAAAATATGTAGTTTTCACCCAAAAGTTTGTATATTGTCTATGAATCACAAAGAACAGCTGCCCTTTAGCAAAATAGACCTCCAAGAAGCAGGCCTGCACACTTCACCTTTGGTCTGAATGCGGAGGTTTATTTTTCTTTCAGAAGGATGGGTGATGCTATATCCACAGAACTCCACTTCAGGGCTATGGAGAAATGAAGAGGTTGTTACTCATGATAGAGAGTAGTTGTGCTTGGATATCACAATAAGCTGTGGTTTATAGTGATGGGAACAAAGTCTACCCTACCCCCCAGGCTTGCATGCTTCCTCTGACTTGGTTGTGGCTTGTCATTTCAATTAACCACAGTGTAGTATTAAAACTTGTGTTAAGAATTCACCTCTACACTACCTTGTTCATTACCCAGCTGAGGAACAACCACCTTTTGAATAAACCACAGAACCAAGGAAACTATTTCAAAGTCCAGCATCCAAATTTAAGGATCCAGCATTTATTATAGCTATTACAATGGGAAAGAGCTCACTCAACTCAACGTGGTAATTGAGAAGGTCTGCCCTGAAGCATTCAGAGCAAAAGCTCATAGAGTAGTTCAAACACAGCAAACATTATAAACATCTTCATATGCATCAAGAAAGGTTACAGATCATGAGAAGTAAAGAAGACATGACTCCATACTGGTATCTTCACCCCCGCATCACCTTGGAGTGGCCCCACTGTGCCCAGAACATTTGACCATTTTAGGTCTTGGCTGTCTGACATTACTCTGGCAATCTAGCCTTCAGTGAGGGAAGACCATCCTCTTCCTGGGTCTCAGATAGCTTCAAGGATAGCAGATTTACATGCTGATGCTAAAACATCATGCCATTTGTACCACTTTCAGAGGTAGGTAAGGAAATGGAATGCTGCATAGGAGAGGGCAGACTCACAAATGCAGAACACACAAAAATCAAGCCTAATACATTCTAAAAGGTTAAATACAATTAAAGTGAAACATTATTAAAATAATATACACCTGGGGTCTCCAATTCTTATATCAATCTGAACCCTATGCAGAACTTGATTTAATTACAATTTGTTGAAGCATGTCAACTTCATAAACCCCAGTATGAATTTGGCTTGCTTCAGACAAAACAGAGTTAAGGTTAACCAAGACTGTCACATTTCAACAACATGACAAATTCTAGTTAATCAAAAACAGAAGCAACAATCTTCTGCTTCTGGATGAAAAGGGAGGGGGAGTGCTAAGAGGGAGCCTAGGTTCATTCCCCTCACAATAAATCATAGTCGATCACAATGTCCAAATACAACCAAAAAAGAACACTATCAGCAATGTGTGCTTATTGGAAGTAAGTGAAGATAAAGGCAGTCTTAAAGTAAACTAGTAGTGCACTTGAACCCAAGGCGATTTGGCAAAGGGCCATGTCTCTTGCAAATGTTGATTGGTTGGGCATGTGTGGCTTTCAGGGGCAGGAAACTCACCACAACTCTTCACAATCCAACAGCCACAGTGTTAATATTGCTGCTCTTAGGGGCATTTCAGGTTAAGAAAAATACATTCTTTTTTGCAGTAGTTACCTTACCCTTACACACATACACAAAATCACATACATCCCAGGACATTCTGGGAAACCAAAAAGGCAGTGGGGAACTTAGCAGAGATTTGAAGAGCTACAGTGAGTTTTTGTTTCTTCCTCATAAATAGCTGGAATTATAACCCCCCACCCTCCCACCCCCACATTTCATAGTGAATACGCCCATGACTAGGGAAGGGTCATTCTGCTTAGCTCCAGTTCCTAATCTCAAATTTCCTATGTCCCATCTAATTGTATACCGAATTGAACTAAAATTTTCTGAATCAGCCAGATCCCACAGGTTCAGAATGGACAAAATTAACTTGCCACTGACTTAGCTGACTCCTTTAGCAGTCCCAGATACATCTGAACACACATAGGTGCTCCTCATAAGGCAATCAATGGCTAGCCCAGGCAGCCTATGTGTTGGCCTCACCTTCGGCACCCCATCACGAAGGCAATAGGACTCTTACTTACTTTTTCATGATCATGTATCGAAGGGAGTTGCCAAGGGTGTGGTCCTCATTGTGGAGCACAAATGTAAAACAGTTCTTATCTGTCCCATCTGCCCGTACCTAAAAGAGAAGTAGTGAAGATAAAGAAAATAAGGTCCCTGAAGGACAACGTAAGACGTGGCTATATACCAAGTCAGACCATTGGTCCATCTAGCACAGTACAGTAGTACCTCGGGTTAAGTACTTAATTCGTTCCAGAGGTCCATTCTTAACCTGAAACCGTTCTTAACCTGAAGCAGCACTTTAGCTAATGGGGCCTGCTGCTGCCGCCGCGCCGCCGAAGCATGATTTCTGTTCTCATCCTGAAGCAAAGTTCTTAACCCGAGGTACTATTTCTGGGTTAGCGGAGTCTGTAACCTGAAGCGTCTGTAACCCGAGGTACCACTGTACTGTCTACTTTACACTGATTGGTAGGAGCTTTCCAGACTCCTTCAGGTGAGGCTCTCCCAGTTCTACTTGGAGATGCCAGGAATTGAACATGGGACCTTCTGCATGCAAAGCATGTGCTTTACCACTCAGCTATGGCCCTCCCATCATTTCTTTTAATACCACCTTTCCACCAAAATGGTATTGGTGATATACTGATTTCACGCTTGCAGTATGTCTCCATGTGCGAAAAGCGAGACAATTATCTGGTTAAGGAGGGCACTTTTTCCTCTTGCCAGTTGTGGATGGATTTTGGCCAAGCAATAGTTTAAAAAAACATTTTTTAAAACACCACGTTTCAGCCAAGAGGGCTCCTGTGTCAGACCATCCACCTGACCTACTCCACAGGGTTGCTGAGAGGATAAAAGCAGGCAGGAGAGAAGAACTAGGCAGGCCACACTGGGTCACATATGAGGAATATAAAAGTAAATAATGGCGGCATTGCTGCTGCTACTACTGCTAATGATAATAATAATAATAATGGTGTTTTTCAGCTGGCCATGCTGTGGGGATAACGTGTTAGTCTGTTACAATAATAAAGCTAGTATAAATGCAATAGTAGTAATAACAACACTGTGGTGTTTTTCAACTCTGCACGGGCTGAGCAGGTGCCTTTCCCTTCTTCCCAGGGGATCTGTAAGCCGAGTTAATATTAATCTGTTTTAGCATTTTTACTTTTTTATGTTTTAAAGCAAGGTCGGTTTTAGTTGTTTCAATCTCTTTGTAAACCGCTTTTGAGGTTTCCCCCACTCCCCATTTACCATCAAGAGGCCTAGAAATTTTATGAAGTAAATAAAACAAATAAATATCTGTTGTCCGCGGTGGTTCTCGCCGAATAAAAACAACCCGGTTCGGATGGCCACCTTCCCCGTCCACAGCCCCGGACAGAGGAAAGCTTCACCTGTTGGATGTCAGCCTGTCGCACCCCCTGTGGAGGGGCAGCCTTAGCCTGCCCGGTCGCCCCCCCCCCCTCCCCGCCACGCGCTTCGGTCTCACCATCTGCAGCACTCGCGGCTTCTTCCCGTTCTCCTCGTCCCCCATCCTCTTCCCCGCGAGGCCGCCAAGCGCAGAGGAAGACGTGAGTCGCGGTCACGCACGTAACGCTCACACACCCCCTCACGTACGCAAAAGCCCAACCTACCAGGCATCAGCTCCCGGCAGCCACTGCGGCAGAAAGTCCAAGTACAGGAGCCCGCGCGCAAAGGGCTACTGGGAATCGTAGTTCCTTGGGGAGGGGGGTCCGGACAGGACCAATTCCTTCAGAGAGCGGGAATTCGAGGTAAAAAAAAAAAGTGAAGTGGGAGAGTCGAATGTTCACAAACCGCAATAACTTCGCCGCCGCCACAGAAAAACTGAGGAAGGAACCCGATTCTTAAGTTCGGCGGCAACGAAGGGGTTTATAGATATCAGGAGGCGGGAACTGCCATCCGCTGACCCAATCCGGAGCCGGCTCTGCTGGCGTACTTCCGATATGTGTTCCAACGGAAGGCAACAAGAACAGGGGGCGGGGTGTGCGTTTATAAATGTTTCCGCCCTCCCTCGGTGTTTGCTTTGGCTGTTGTCGGTGGCAGTAGAACTCCATTTCCCAGAATCCCGCGCGGCGGTCAGAAGCGGAAGCTCACGTGCTGTGTTTGCTTGTCCTCCGAGAGACGCGACGCGGGTACGGGGAAGAGAAACGGGGTTCCGGGTGGGTTCCCAAGCAGGTAGGGAACGGGCGGGCGCTCGGTTGTTGCCTGGTTGTTGTTGTTGCTGCTGCTGTTGTGGGGCTTGCGGGGGGTGGGGATTCACCTTCGTTTCCTCACCCCCTCCCTGCTACGAGGCCTTGGCTGTGGCTGCCGAGAGGAAAGGGAGCAGTGAGTTCCCTTCAGGGTAGAAACGCCCCCACCCCAGCTGTCGCCATGACAACGCCCCCTCAAGGAAGGGTCGGTCTGCCCCCTCCCTTTGTGTGTGTGTTGAGGGGCGCTTGCACCCCCTGCCCTCTCTCTATGGGAATAAAGGGAGGGAGTCATTGCTTCCACTGTAGCTTGAGATTGGGATATAATTCACTGGTTTTTTCTGTGTGTGTGTGTGTGTGTGTGTGTGTTTAAACATATTTATATTTTATTGTGGAAATTACAGTAAGAAAGACAACAGCAATAGCACACTTGAAATTATGATGTAATACGATATATGGGTATATAAGGTAGTACCATTATCCCAGCAAATGTAAAATTATTAACAAGTCGTTATAATTTTGTAAATGCATTCCAAATTGTCGTTCTATTTATCCACACAGAATCTTATCTAAAAGGAACCCGTTCGTATGTTGCAAGAGTTGTCATATCTTCTGTCCATTGATCAAAGGGCGTGTAGGAAATCTAGGGTGAGGATACCAGGCTGCTTAACCCACATAATCCCCAACCCCCACGAATCCTTGGGACTGTAAGTTATGCCTCAGGGAGCTATGGTTCCCAGCATCCTTAACACACTACAGTTGCTATCCTAGGATTTTTTTTGGAGAAGGGAGTAATATGCTTTAAATATACAGTGTGTGCACAGCCTAAAATAAAAAAGGAAGTGCTTTTTGTCTTATTAAGTGCTGGCTGCTAGTTGCAATGCAATAGTTAGTGGAAGTGTGTTCAGCTAAAGGTGGAGTGAGTTTTATGAAAGCGAATGTTATTTGTTGTTACAACAGTATGATGAACAGAGGCAGTGAAGTGTTTCGTGTGTCTTGACATTGTGACAGAAGCCTCCTGGATCATCATCCATCAGATAATGATTGTTATCATGACTGCTGGGGTTTTTAGTTGATGTTGATTGAATTTTTTTATTATTATTGTGATTTGCATTATATGCAAAGTTGTGTGTTTGTTATTAATGCCAAGCTGCTTTGGAAAGGCAATAGTCACAAAAGGCAGCTTAGAAATATCTGAAATAGTAAAGTGGGTTATGGACTGTGAAAGCATATACAATAATAAATGCATTGATCTCTATAGTGTCACAGAGTAACTGTTTTCGTTGTTATTGTTTTTTGTATGAGACTAATACAGGTACACTTCTGGAAATTATTATAATGATAAGCAGAAAGAAATGCTTCTCATCTCACATCCCTCACTTTTGAGGCAAGTTTAGATAGGGCCCTTCTCAATGCACATCTTATTTGACAGAGCATAAAAGGATAGGCCCCTGCAGTGACAAAATTAAAATTTCTCAAAAAGGAAAGATAGGGAGAAAGAAGACAGCATAGAATCTTGGAGGAAGATGGAGGCAGTGGTAAAAATGATCATACTATGTTTTCAGGAAATTTATTCATAATTTTCAAGTGTCTTACAAACCAGCAAGTTTTTTTTCTTTCTTGGTAAACATGGCACCTCTTATGAAGTAAAAAAAGACAAGTTCTTGTTTCAAGCAGTTTACAATTTACATTTTGCACAGTAAATGAATATAGGAAAAGAAGTGAGATTGAGTTGAGGGTAAATAGGAAGAATGAGTGTTCAGTCTAGTTATATCAACTTAAGCTTAGTTTTAGTGGTGGGGTTCAACTGAAGCTTTCGTTGAAAAGATTTTGAGGAAGGATTTAGAAATATTCTGAGGCAACATCACCGAAACAAGCACTTCCTTAATAATTTATCTGGATCCCAGATAGGTAGTAACTGCTTATTTGTGCTGAACAATGCATTCAGGAGCCTGAATTATTGCTAGTGGAAGTATCAGCTACCAAATTTCTGACAGTCACAAATCTGTTAATTTTTAAATTATATCTCACCTTTTCTCCAATGAACTCAAGGTGGTATATGTGGCCTTTATCCCTGCTGTTATATAAACAAAAAACCACTATGTGATAGGTTTGCCTGTGAGAGAATGACTAGTCCAAAGTCATTCTGTGAGCTTCATGTCTGAGTAGAATTTGAATCTGGGTACAGCCCCCAGTCCTAGTCCAGTCATTGCACCTGCCAGGGAAATAGGGAAATGTGGAGAAGTTGATAACAATTAGGTGTGATGTGTGACTGACATTCAAAGTGGGCAATTCCAGCTGAACTTCCAAGGCAAAGTCTGAAGATTCTGAGCAGCAGAAAAACTGACACTTCTCTACATTTCTGCTTTGAGACTTGTCAGTGTCCACTTTTCTGTGAAACTTCTCTTTGCAGATATGTGAAGCGCAGACTGTAATTGCAGAATGGGGTGGGTGGTGGAAATATGTAGCTTATTTTCAGTATTGTCATGGGTACTTTCCCATAGATGTCTGACTTGCACAACCATGCAGCGCATCAAATTACAATGGCCTCTGCTAAGCAGACAGAAAGAATTGCATTTTCTCAGCAACAGTATATTGCAGTCTGCTTAAATAATCATGCAACATCCTCCAAACTGAAAAACTTAATTGAAAAGGTAACATCTGCAAGCAATGAGTGGGGACTTTCAGTTGTGCTGAGTAAGGGAAAAGGACTGGAAGGAACTTTGGACTTTAATATGGGTCTAGAACACAAACAAAAGAAAACAAGTGATGTTGGCCGGGCAAAGAGAAGGCATTTAAACTGTTGGGGGAAGCATGCAAGAAAGACCCTTCTTGGCTGGATCAAGTTGAGCAACAGCTGCTGCCTTTAGCAAGATAGGGAGCTAGGAAGTGGTTGGGAGATACCACATTAAACTGTCTTATATTTGTGCGGTTTTGTGCAAGAATCAGGGTTGAATAAAACCTGGGACTTTTCGAACCTTTTCAACACAAGGTCAACAGCATGGGAAATGGATAGTAATAAAAAAGGCAAAGCTTACACTGAGCAAGTGTGGCTTTTGCCTGTTACATCTAGGAGGTGAGGAGGTGAGGAGGGTCTTCTAGATCAGATTGTGTGCCTTTTCGCCATGCCCGGGACTTCTGAGCATTCTTGAATACCAGAGCTCCTCTCCTTAAAGCTTTGGTAGAGGGCAAAAATTAATACATCACTTAAAGAGTAGTGAAGGCAGTTTGAGTGTTTCTTTGCTGTATTCAAAAATGCTTGCTTTTTCTGTCCTGGAGGCAACCTCTGAAAGCAGCTCTGCAGATTTCCAGCATGGCTTCTAGTTGGCATCTCATTCCACCTGGAGCAATCTGTATTATTATTGTTTTTAAACTGTACAGTTAATTAAGACTGACAAGACTTAACAATAACAAGGTTAGCTTACTCACCAATCCAGCATTTAACTTGTTGTTCTGTATACATTTATTGCATTAGTTGCAAAGGTACATTCACTTTGAAGGTGAAGTGCTCCTGTCCAACACTCAAAAATATGAGAAAAATAAGAAATTCTTCTAACAGTGTTCTGAAGAATAGGATGATGGTATGAATTTGGAAACAACATGCTTGAGGAGAACAGTTAAAGTAGACAGTTTAGTCTCACCAGTTTGAAGATGAGCGAGAGGAAAATGTATGCTGAATACCCACAGAGTGTGGAACGTGAGTGTAGGTGGCACAGAGAAATGTCCATGGTTTTAAGGATGGATGTAATGTGATCTGTAGTTGCAAACTAAGTTAGGTTGGTCCTGGTACAGAGGTACTCAGTGGCTCTCCTCCTCTTCCCCCCTTCTTAAAGGAACTGAATTCCAATGGAAACAAATAATGGGAATCTCTGAGCAGCGCTGGAATGTCACTTTAGGTTTGCTCTAGCTTTCAGTGGTTGGAGTTGCAAAACCTTTGGAAAGAGGAATGCTGTGATTGTTCCATGTGGAAATTTTAATGTATGCAGTATCTATAGGAAACTGAAATTTATTCACTATCTAGGGACCCACAGTTCACTGCTCCTATGACTGCGTCTTTGTTTGAGTTTTCCTTTCTGTGCCAGATGTTTGGTTCCATAAGCATCTTGAGGTGGTCAGGTGGCTAGTTGGATTGAATCATGTGCTCCTTTGCTTACCAACACACACACACACACACACACACACACACACACAAAATCACTGGAGATGACCTGGTGTTTTGTTCATGCCATGGGGAGACTGAGAACTGTTGTTTAAGCTGGAATAGCACTGCTTCATATTTGCCACTGGTAGGCATGTAATTGACATTAGTTGCAGGCTATAAATTCCTTTGTAGGCCAGTTGAAGTGTCACATATATCCACATTTTTCATAGGGAGCGTTAGAGTCAATACTTTGTGGACAACAGCCAGTATTAATTTAATCCTTAAAAAGTAGACTTTGTGGGGAAGTTGCTAGGTCAACAAATATGAGTTTGAGCAGATTAAGGCATAACATGTAAATTTGTGTCCTCCTGACTAGTGAATATGTACGATTAAGTGGTATTTACTGTACACTGAGTTGGACCTTGCACTTGCCTGTAAATATACATAATTGAGCACCTGTACCCTGAAAGTTGCAGAAAAATTCTCTACATGTCTCAAGGATGAACAATACTGAGCTAGATGGACAGACCCCTTTCTTGTTTACCTCTCCCAGGCAGGAGTTCTTGGTGTGTGTAGAGGAACCTACTAATAACCCACTACTGTGTGAAACATGGCCTCCACATAGCACCAGTAACATGTGAACAAACCTCTTAAAAGACCTGGAGAGGACTTTGTTTAGTTATACAACCTGCAATGGAATGACAATATGTGACTCTCATTTAAGGCAATATGCCATATGCATTTATGATACTCAAAACAATTCTAAAAAGGGCAGTATGCCAATCACTTTCAGATTCCCTCAAATACTTAGACGAGTTCTTGCAGAGAACTCAGAAAGTCCTTAGTCACTCCACTTGGATTGCCACATAGGCAAGGATTATCAAATAGAATGATACTCTGTGGGGTGTTGCTTTTTGTTTCCTTTCATTTTACTTGAATGGTGCCTAGCGCCAGCTCTCTTCAATAGAGGTGTCTGCAGGTCTGAGCATCTTCTTCCCCCTCCTTCCACCTGCAGCAACAATGATGTTCTCATTTTGGTCCCCCATTCCTTGTGTCCTGCAAGAACTATTAATTTCAGAATGCAAAGCTCTTAGGAGTGAATGCAAGTGATGCAGACTTTGGGTGAGGGGGAAGGGGCGGGGAAATAATTGTTGCAAGCAGCTCTTGTGATGTTGCTTATCTAAAATGTGGATTTCTGCCGATGATAGTTAAAACTGGCTGTGGTTTGCAAGATATCTGAAAAGTGCAGAACCACCAATGCTCTGTTGCTGTGTGTTTCTTTTGCTCTTGGCTGCACACTTAAGAAGATGGGGCAGCGGCTGAGGTGTGTGTGTGCTTTGCTCTGATAGGCAAAAGTTTTCTTATGCATTTTTTTTCTTTCTTTTTAGCCAGCCTACAGCCATGGCTATCCTGTTTGCAGTTGTAGCCAGGGGCTCCACGATCCTGGCCAAACACGCTTGGTGTGGAGGAAACTTCCTGGAAGTGACGGAGCAGATCCTGGCCAAAATACCCTCTGAGAACAACAAACTTACCTACTCCCATGGAAAGTGAGTCCTACTCTGCGGAGAAAGGAAGTGGCAGGGTGGGAGAAATGGATCTGTTGCAGATGAGGAAATAAAGCGGGATGGGATGGTGGTGGTTGCTCATGAAAAGGTTGGTGTGATAGTCCCAGGTGATATGCAGCTGATCTAGGAATGCTTCCCAGATCCATTCTGTTATGTTCTCCAACTAGAGCAGTGGTTAGGGGTAGGCCTCCCTTGATCAGTATATGACCATGTGTTTATCTAGCAGCACTGGAACAAATCACCTAAAGAGGAGACTCCTTTCATGAACTACTGTTCTCAGTTCTGTCTCCTGGAGTTTTGAATCTGCTTACTTTTTGTAAACACAAATGTTATTTAATCAAATCGAATTGATGCTATCAATATCTCAAGGACCACCGCTCTCCATATGAACCTACCTGCACCTTGAGATCATCCTCTGAGGCCCTTTTTCATGTGCCTCCTCCATGAGACGTCCAGAGGATGGCAGCACGAGAAGGGACCTTTTCTGCAGTAGCTCCATGTTTGTGGAATACTCTTCCCAGAGAGATTTGACTGATGCCTCTGTAATAAATGTTTAGGCGCCAGGCAGAAATGTTCCCTTTAGCCAGGCCTTTGGCTAAGTATCATCCAATACCATTTTAGTTGTGTTGTGGGAGGAGGGCTTGCTTAAAAAAAAATTGTTCTTGTTTTTAATGTGCATTTTGTGTTCTTTTATATTATAATTTTATGTTGTGAACCACCTTGAAATCTACAGATGAAAAGTGGCCTTCTACTACTATTACTATTATTACTACTACTACTACTACTACTACTACTACATTATTGCAGGGGTGGGGAATATCAGGCCTGGGGGCCAAATATAGCCCTAAGGGCTGTTCCCAGGCCATGCCTCTCACAAGCCCTGCTTCACACTCTTCTTGAGAGTTTTTGCCTGGCTGGAACAGGTCCTTCAATTCTGATAATATCTCTTGCCTACCTGAATGGAGGAGGGAGAGTAGTGTGTGTAGAAACCTACTGTATAAATGTAAAATTTACATATATTGCTCCCCACATGTTTGCCTCTGGCTGCACGCACCAATAGCATGCAATCCTGGAAGGTGGCTTGGGAGAAAATATGGCCCTTAGGCAGAAAACAGTTTCCGGGCACAAATAAAAGTGTTGGTGCTGACCTTTAAAGCCCTCTCCACCCTCATCATTCAGCCTCTGCACTAAGGTCCTTCTCCGAGGGTCTTCTGGTGCTTCCCTCACCGTGAGAAGTAAACTTACAGGAAACCAAGCAGAGAGCAAACTCGGCAGTGGCGCCCTCCCATCAGATGTCAAGGAGATAAAGAACTGCACAACTTTAGGCAGCCCTGTATAGGGAAGTTTTTTAATGTTTAATGCTTTATTGTGGTTTTAATTTTTGTTGGGAGCTGCCTAGAGTCAGTCAGATGGGCAACTTATTATTATTATTATTATTATTAATTCCCACCCCTGCATTATTGTAGAAGAGTTTGTATTCATGTGATTTAATTCAAACGCATGAGGGAAGTTGCACTATCCACAGTTCTTACAGAGAACTATAAATGGTTGGGCTTCTCATTCTGTTGAAGTCTTCTCATGATCTCCTAGCTTCCCAACTACCAGTTTACTGATTGAGTCCAGGGAATGCTTTGGGGTAAAACAACACTGTTCCATGATTGATGCCAAGTAGGTGTGCCCCACCTCAGGATGGGAGTTCTAACTTCTGTGTGAAATGAAAATGTGCTAGCAATAGCTTTGCCTGCTTGGATCCATGTTGGAAAGGTGGCTATGTTTGATGTTTCTGCTTTGTGTTTTGTGCTATTCAGTAATGGCTTTTGCACCATGTGAATATAGCTTTGTTTTCAGGTAATTTTGTTGTCAAGTTTTCTCCATGTTTTGAGGAATTGGTTGGCTGTCTTGTCTTTGAGACATTGAATTAATGGGGTCTGGTTGCCAGCAGAAGAAAATTTTTAATGTACAGATTTAGTGCAAACTTAGACCTGTGTGCTTGAAATGCCATTGAGTGTATGGCAACATATGGCCTAGTAGCTGTTATGTCAAAATCTATACCCACCTACTTCTTTAAACATGGTTCTGGTATCTTGTCTTCCTCTAGCTATCTGTTTCACTACATCTGCCAGGACCGGATTATATACCTCTGCATCACTGATGATGTAAGTATGTAGGACAAAAAATGTATTTCTGTGCTCTTTGAAGGTGATTGCTGGAAATGCCCACTGGGGCCCAAATACTGTAGAGTTGCTATATATCTTCATTATGTAGAGCAAGGTCTAGACCAGCAGTGGCTATCCTATGGCCTTCCACATGTTGTTGGACTACAACTCTTGGCATCACTGACTCTTAGCCATGGTAGCTGGGGCTGGTGGGAAATGAAGTCCATCAGCATCTGGAAGGCCACAGGTTAGTCACCTGGATTTTATTTTACACACTGAATATGTGCAGCAACACCGCCCCCGCAGTGCAATCCAGGCCTTGTAGTTAAGGTTTAAGAAGTGTGCATACTTGGCTGCATGAAAAAATATTGGCCCTTTTTCCACCAGCAGCTTCTTCCCCTCCAGCTCTCATCTCTATCTAGGTCTTTGCAGGCTTACTTGCTTGTGTCTTGTTTGCATCGAAGACTCTAGTGTGGCTAGTGAGAGAATTTGCTTTTGCTTTGTACCCTCATCTTTCTGCTTTAAATAGCTTTCTGGCAATTTTTGCTGTGACAGTGTTCTGAGGTTATTTTGTTTGGAGAACAAAAGTTATTGTGGGCCCCATCTTCCAGCAGTGCCCAACCAGGTGCCCCTGTGGTTTGTCCCCAGCACCTCCTGTTTAGATATACCTTGGTTTATGAACTTAATCCGTTCCAGAAGTCCCTTCTTAAACCAAAGCATTCTTAAACCGAGGCGCACTTTCCCATAGCAGCGGGAGACTCAATTTACAAATGGAACATACTCAACAGGAAGCAAAACATGTTCTGCTTCCATGGCAAAGTTCACAAACCAAAACACCTACTTCCGAGTTTGCAGCGTTCTTAATCCAAGTTGTTCATAAACTAAGCTGTTCTTAAACCAAGGTACCACTGTACTGCCCATGTACACTGAGTTTCCGTTTTGCAGTCACAGTTCATAACTGTTAATGCACCTATCCTAAGTGCATTTGTTGCTCTGATGAATTTTTTCTGCTTTTAGGACTTTGAGCGTTCCAGAGCTTTCACGTTCCTGAATGAAATCAAGAAGCGGTTTCAGACCACCTATGGCTCCCGTGCACAAACAGCTCTGCCATATGCCATGAACAGCGAGTTTTCCAGTGTTCTGGCTGCACAGCTGGTGAGGTTCATTGATGTCAGTCTGCTGGACACAGCATTCAACTATAGAGCACCTGATGTTGGGGAATAGGTCTGTGCTTGGCTAATTATCCTGTAGGTAGATCAGGGCCTCCCCAGGCTTCTAATACTAGTGATACACTTCTTTTATTTAAAATTGGCAGTGATTTTTTATTCAACCTCAAAAGAAAGCTTCTTTGCATGCATTATAGTAAAAGGGGGTAAACTCTGCTCTTAAAAGAACCTGCATCGTTGTGTTTCTGAGGAAGAGTCTTGGATTCTGCCTTTCCACCTCCAGAACTGAGGTGCTCAAGGTAGTTTAACATAATGAATTATTAAAAACAATACAACAATCTTTTAGATCAAGAATTACAGGCAAACCCATAAAAAGTGAAAAAGCAGTAACTGACCTAAAGTTAACACTGAAAAGAACTGAGACGAAAACAAGGAGAATCCTATGCAGCAGACAAATTGAAAGCATGCAGCAAAAGAAGCCATTCAAGGCGATGGCAGAACTCTGAAGTAGGAACCTCATGAAACTATCTTGGAGCTCATATGGTTTCATTGTTTGTGTAGTTATTTAAGTGTGGTAGCTTAAACTATTAAGGACAATGACTGACTCATTGAATTGCACCTATAAATGAACAGGTAGATAGCATGATTAGTACAGTTTGGGAATAGCATGCTCCCCAAACCTGACAACAGTCAGAACACTTGCAGAGCATTTTGGACTAGTTGATGATCTTCATGGGCAACCCCATAGAGGGTATGTTAACATTAGATCAGCCCAGCTGTAACAAAGGCATGTGTGACTTTCACAAGCTCCATGATCTTCAGGGTTAGGCACAGCCGGCACAACATTCAAATCTGAGCAAAAGTATTCTGGCTGCTGTCATTGCTTGGACATCAGGAGCACTCCCAACCTGATATTTCAGTGGAAATCCAATCCAAAACAGGCAGTCACCCTGTCATTGGGTTGGTTGGACCTCAGATGGAGAGCATTTCTATTTTGTCCTGATTGCAGTAACTTGTGCAGCAATGCTTTAAGCAGATTCTTCTGTTGGCTGGTATTCCGGACTTATGGTGCTGGTCTGCCCTGAAACGTAGCTTAGGAATTTTGGGGCTAAATGCTGAGCAGATAAATCTCAGATCAGCCAGTAGAGGGAAACCTTCTTTAAGTTACAGTACTGGGAAGCACAGAGATGAATTGTTCTGAGGGCTGAAGAAGCAGCTAAAGTGGAGCTGAGGGTCACCCTGCCCAGCTCTTAATGCTGAGGATAGTTAAAAGGAACTATGAGAGGATCCTGTTGGACTTTTCAGATTGCTCTACAGAGACATTACTTTCTCTTGCTTCATCAAATTAAGCAAGAACCAGAAATTCGTTACATCTGCTCTTCCTTTCATGCAGAAGTACCACTCAGAGAACAAGGGCCCTGACCAAGTGGCAGAGACACAGGCCCAGGTGGACGAGCTGAAAGGGATCATGGTCCGCAACATAGGTATTGTAGCGCTCATTGGCATAAAGATGGTGCAAGGTCCTGCATGTGTACTGAAGATGAGACGGCTTGGGTGTGATGAGAGTCCCTTTCTTGCAGTAGCATAGCTGTGCTTCTGCCTGGACCTTGCTTTGTTGTGGGAAAGATCAATATGGGAAAGGAGGGATGGCTCTCTGTGTTGGCTGTCACACTCTTGCACAGCTCTTGTACAGCTGGCTCACCTGGCAAAAAGGTTGCATAGGACAAAATACAAGCTGCTTGTTCTACTTGCAGTCTGCCATCGCCCTGAACCTGGCATGGAGCTGACCCTTATGCTGCTAGCCCCTTTGCCTTGTGCTCTGCTGTTGCAGATCTTGCTCTGAGGTAGGGTAAAACCCACCACATACCTGCCCCAGAGATCAAGAGTACAATGCCCATGCAGTCGGCCACTGTTTGCGGTCTTGAGGGTAAGCCGCCTGTTTAGCTAACAGCAGGAAAGGAGGTGTTTCCTCCCCATTGGATTCTCACTGTAGCCTTTCTTCATCCCAGATCTGGTGGCCCAAAGGGGAGAAAAGCTGGAGTTGCTGATAGACAAAACTGAAAATCTTGTGGATTCGGTAAGTTCTGGAATTGGCGGGGGAATTGGTTGGGTTTTTAGGGTACGTATAACACGCATGCAAAAAAAGGCAGGATTAAAAGGGAAGACTTCCCAGCTCTCAGGCTTTTGCTGTGTTTCCATCTTAAGAAAATGCTTTGAAAGAAGTAGCATACAGATGTGGGGCTGGGAGGTGAGCAAATCGGGTGATGCTTTTTCTCAGAGCAGCCACTCCTTAGAACATACGTTGCATGTTCTCAGGTCAAACAAGACCTTCTAACCTAGGTGTTCAGAACAAAATTAGTTAATGTTTGATAGGATGCTGTTTAACCTAGCAGAACTTTAGCTTGGCAGACCAAAACAGCAGAGTGGAGGTTGCCAGCTGCTGTCCTTGGATAGCTAGACCCTTCATAGTCCAAGTGTAAATTAGAAATGTGTGTTCGGAAATAAAACTAAGAGAAGTGAAGAGTGGGTGCATTTTGAGGATTTCTCTAAAGCCCAGTCTAGAGAAGCTTCCAGACCAATGACCCTCCTCATGCCAGAATTTATCGTGGTGCTAGGCTGTTTTTTTGTCCTATGTGAAAAGCAAGTTGAGGGTGAGAAAGCCATTGCATGGTGCACAGTAGGAAGAGATTGAGAACATTATCTGTTCAGGGCATAGGAAATTATCACAAGGATCAGAAAAGAAGAACCAGACTAATGAACAGGATCATATTTTGCTGTAATTTGTGAATGGATTATAGATTCCCAAGTGGAGTTCAAATTCTCCAGTGTGCAAAACAGGGCCCAATCAATGGTTCTGACCCTGAGACCAGGTGCTTCTAATGGTTGAGGCATCTTTCTGGGGGGAGTGATCCTTGCGGAAGGGTTGCTTATTCTAGGGGAGAGTAATGACAACTAGACCCGCTTAAATGTTCATTTGAGTGTATTGGAAGCAAATTAAAACTTGCCTATTCTTATATGTTGAGGCTGAATTGCAAAACCAAGTAATAGCTGGGCAAGCTTTGCAGGGGATGCAGTGTTCAAAACTCACATTGTTATAGGCACATTTAGTGGCTGAATTTCATTAGCATTAGCAGTTTGAGCTCTGGGTGTGGTACTGCACCTAAGATTTCAGATTAAAACTGCAGAGTGGAAGGAAAGGAGGAGCTTTTCTGTCTCCCCACTTCCAGCTACTCTCTGAAGACTGGAGAAGAGACCCTCTTGAGAATATTAGGGGGGTGGGCAGGGGAAGGACTAGACCATGGGAACAATGAACATAATATTTTAGCTGTATGTAGTTTATTCAGTTTAGCTTTGTATTCTTGTTATAAAAAAGCATGCCTAGACATTCCGTTGTTGCACCCATAACCTAGGATTAAGGTGCCATTTAGCTCCTAGCTTTCATATCTCAGTTTCTAACACTGGGGGGATGGCTAGGGAGAAACTGGGATGGACTTTCACAAAAGGCTAAGATGGTGTTGGATGTCTGATAGCATGCATCTCGTCTGTGCTTTTCCCATAGTCCGTCACTTTCAAAACAACCAGCAGAAACCTGGCTAGAGCGATGTGCATGAAGAACCTCAAGCTCACCATCATAATCACCATAGTATCCATTGTAAGCTGTTGTTCACATCAGACATTGGGGGGGGGGGGGCTTTACACTTGAGTCTAGATGTATTTCAGTGTAAAATGAAATAAACTGATGTTTACCTCTGTCCTGCACTGCAAAGGTGAATTCTTGGGGTATTCTGTGTAGTCCTTTACAGTACCTTTCCCTCCTTGTGGCTGGTGCCCTTTATCTCTCTCCTATGCCCCCGTTCTTTCCAGGCCTTTTGGAAGGAACATTATAGCTAGGGTGAATTAAGCAATAGGTCTGTATAATTCTGAGTGCCTTTGGTACCCTTAAACTCCTGGATTCCAGTATTTTACTTTTTGTCCAGAAGAGACAAATAGGCCTTTGAACAGCCACCCCCCAAGCAAGAGGGAAACTTAAGGCAACCTTGGTTGAAATGTAGAGTAGCGCTCTTTACAACTATTGGGCAGTGTGCATATTTTATCATGCACACTAAAGTGATTGTATCTTCTCCACAGGTCATAATTTACATCATTGTGTCAGCTGCTTGTGGTGGGCTCTCGTGGCCAAATTGTGTCCACAAGTAGCTGTTGGAACACGTCTACATGAGAGCACACGTGAGCAAGAATTTCTGAAGGAACGACCCTCATAAAACAAACATGGACCTCCTTGCTCTTCATCCTTCCAGGACGCTCAGGTCTTTTTGCCTTATCACCCAAAAGGGCCTGTGTGGGACCCCAAGCCAGAGGGAGGCATCTTTCTTTTAAACCTACCTACTTGAAGGGAGTTTTGTCTTTTAATTGCAAGGCTTCCCAAGAGGTAAGGAAAGTGGTTGACATTGGGAGGGTCTAAACATACTTCTGTATTACCATGCTTTGCACTTTACTGTCCTGATTCCTGGGAGGAGGGGAGAGCTGATGGTCATTTGTCCTGTTCATCCTTTGGCCCTTGAGGGGGCAATGTGGGTGGGACCACCGAAGCCAATGGGTTCCTGTTTACATACCGTAGCCCAGATGCATGTGATCAGCTCCTCCCACAATTGCTTTCCCAGTGGTGCCTTTCCTAAACTCATGTCAGGCTGTGACTTGTCCTTGGAGGAGCCTCCTGTGGCCACCTGATGTGCACACTGGTGGGCTCTGCTTTGTGACTTGGGTGATTGCCAAGTGTGTAATGTTTCGATGTTGCTGTAATGTATCTGCTCTGTAGTGTTAAGTGTTTTTTCTCCTGCCTGGTTTGGAATGTTTTCAGTCTGGAAAAAGTGCTCGGCTCAGGCTCCACCTGCAGGGTCAGTGAGAAAGGGCTAAAATATTGCTCCAGTGAACAAAGCCCTGTAACAGAGCACTTGCACAATGCACAACATAGGCTATTAGTCAACTTGATTCTGAATGGGGTGGGGTGGGGAGGGGAGGGTTCTTAACAGGCAATGAGTAAAGTCAGATGACGGGCCAGAAAACACAGAGATCCTCATCTGCTGATCTGGGGGAGGGGCAGGGGGGAGGCTGAAAAGAACTGCTTAAGGCTTACTCAAAATTCCCATGGAATCGACCCATCAAGTACTTTCTCTCCCCCTCGCCCCCCCCCCCACTCCTGTCATGCATTGCCCTAATTGCATACAGGAGTTTCACATCATTGTCAGCTGCTGGTAGATTGCGCAAATGCAATTGGATGCCATTTCAAAGCTTGTATGCATGCTGAGTGCACTCCTGGACACTTTGGAGTGATTTTTGTGGCAGACTCTACCTGGGAGCTAAAGCTTCTATGGGATCTTGCACTAAAAATAACGGGCTGCTGTTTGAAATGTTGGTGGGCAAGGCAAGATTGCAGTCCCAATGGGATACTCTACATATGCTGCCCCAAGACCTCAAACTGACAAGATACTTTGGCTGTCTTCATCCTTGTGTGTTGGGAGTATAGGACAAGAACAAATTATATAGGAAATGAACACTGATTTGTGCTGGTTACAGCAGCCATAGGACATTTAAACGTTCCTCCTCCCCAGGTTTATATGCTACTGAAGAACTGAGGCAACTCCCTAAAGTAGGGTGGCACTTTGCCACTCCCTCTGTGCTGTTCTTTTACTAATGCTTTTTTTCTGTAATGAGGTAATTTTCAACAGCAACATAGGTGAGTGTTGCTTTATGCCCTATCCACTGTGCTGCAGAAGTTGGGCTATCCTGGGCATGTCCTCACTTGCCAGGGCCTGCTATCTGAGAAGGGCTCCCCTAATATTTTTTCCAGGCACATGTCAATGTTCACTTAATTGTGCATGTTTCAGAATTAGTTGGTAGCAGTTAATTTTCTTATTTTTGTTGCCTTTATGTAAAACCTTTAAGAGAAACAGCTTCTTCCTGTTTTAAAATTACACTGATGCATTGTAAAATAAAGTTAATCTGTTTGAATAAACCTGTTGTACAAATAATTGATGTGAACCTTTGCGGGGGAGCTTACTGTTTTTCTTGAATGACATTAAAAATCTTAGAAACGTAATATGGGATCATCTCAGCTGTAGGTAGTGCATTGAGAAAGGGAATGTGTATGGTAGATATATGTGGAAGTCACACAGTATGTTAAAACGCTTCTGAGGAACTTTCACTGTATTCTGTATCTTTCTGGCTTGAGACTTCATGAAAGGCAGAATATAAATAACATACTGCGCAAGCTGGTAGTGTTGTAAAACTATATTGTAGACCCACTTCTGCAATTGGAATGTGCATCTGTGATGTTGCACCTCACCCTCAGATGTCTGGATTGAGGGTATATTAAGCTTAGTCTAGATCTTGCTTTTTGGCAATGCAATAGCTGAAAACAGCTTTATTTTTGTAAATGGGCAGTCACTAGTACTTGAGTTGGCATGCTCTTCTACCTTTGAGCATTGTTTAGTATGAATACAGCCTCTTTTGTTATTTTTGTTATGTTAGGTTAAGTCCAGCTTTATTCACAAGCATGACTGTCCACTCCACTCTTCTGCTTATTAGTTAACTCTTAGCTGCAAGTTACTGTTAATTACTAGTTCAGGTTTATTACTAACAAGCCCATCCCACTTAAATGCTAAATTTAAATAGTGAGTTCAGCTGCTGCCATTTCAGTGACATCATTAATATACAAGTACTGAAGTAAAAGCTTTCATTATTTGAGGGCAAGATTCCTCCCGCAGAATACCTACATATAATTAACTTTCCCAGAGACTTACACCAAATGCAGGTCTTTTCATGGGAATTCACATTATCCTCAAGGCAAGACAGTGCCATAGGGAAGGGGCTTTTTGCTTTTACAAAAGAAACCATACAGCCCCACTCTGTGCACATACCCCTTTGAAATAATAATAATTTATTATTTATACCTCGCACATCTGGCTGGGTTTCCCCAGCCACTCTGGGTGGCTTCCAACAAAACACTAAAATACAATAACCTATTAAACATTAAAAGCTCCTCTAAAGACAGAACTTTAGTATTAAATAGAAGGTAGGTATTAACTACAATATCAAGTCACATTGGTGGCAGGAACTAGGAGCGGCAGGCCAGTTTGCATTCCCAGGTATGATTGTGTTGTATTTATAGCAAGCACCAGCAGGCACTGATTTAGCTGAAAATTCAATTTCTTTCATTAAAAACAGTAAAATATAACGAGTTGTACAAAAAGCAGAAAAGGAGGATTTTAGTATCTGAGATTACCAGTTGAGAAACATCAAGCACTTGTTCTGCTTTCAGATGCAGTACTACCTACACTAGATTACTGCAGCACATTATGTGGGACTGCCTCTGAAGAGAGTTAAGAAACTTCAGCTGGTGCAGAATTCGGTGGCAAGGTGGCTTGAGCATATTACACCAATCCTGGCCCGACTGCACTGGCTGCCAATTAGTTTCCATGTTCATTTCAAACTGCTGGGTTTGTCCTAGAAAGTTTTGGACCACCTCTTCCCATACACTCCAACCCAGACTCTGCAATTATCGTCAGAGGTCCTTCTTTGTGTGTTCCCTCCACAAGAGTTCCAGAGGGTGGCAACATGAAAACAGGCATTTTCTGCAGTGGTTTCCCACTTGTGGAATGCTTTCTCCAGAGTCCTATCTAGCACCTTCATTACATATCTTTAGGTGCCACGCAAAAACCCTTTTCTAGAACCAGGACTTAGGCTGAGTAAATATTCTGTGGCCTTTTAAATGGGTTTGGGGGTTATTGGTTTGTTTTTATGTATTTTGTGTTCTCATTTTGTACTTCTCCCTGTGACCTTCAGATGAAGGGTGGCATACAAATTTCATAAATAATAAAATTATAATAATACACCAAAGACCGTCATTACTCAGGTAAAATACAAGGAAAAGAGCACATAGGTACACATGAATTCACTGCAGGGTACACAGCAGCCCTTCAAGAAACCACATAAGAGTCTTGGTGTTTTGATATATTTATTTGGGAGTGTGTACTATCAATGATCAAAAACCAGCTTCAACCACTACTATAATCAAAGTAACTGAGATACCCAGACTTGGGATAATTAGAAAACCTCTGAAAAGTTCCTAGAAAAGTTAAGATACCCCATATGACACTGTAATTTCTAATTATTTCTACTTCTCTAGATGCTTTTTGGGAGGGAACCCCCCCCCCCAAAAAAATAGCCATAGGGGCACTATCCTGTGCTCGTCTCCTCCCCCCCTTGGGGGGAATGTTCAAACAAATGTTCAAGTGTAATCAGGAAGCTTTCTATATTCCCAAGTACAAAGCAATAAGAATATAACAGCTAAAGCAAAATAAAGGCAGTCAATTTCTACCACTGAAATAAAACAAAGGCAAAGAGGTGGCATGAATTCAGAAAAATATCCCTGTTGCTCAGGTGCACTGATGCTAAAGATGAGTAGACTTTTAAGATCCTCTCCTGCCCAGCCAGCTGGGCTCTTGGTCCAACTGCAGTATTTCCCAAACCAACCAGTCACTGTTTATCAGTACAGTCGTACCTAGGGTTAAGAAATTAATTCGTTCTGGAGGTCTGTTCTTAACCTGAAACTGTTCTTAACCTGAGGTACCACTTTAGCTAATGGGGCCTCCCGCTGCCACCGCAGCACAATTTCTGTCCTCATCCTGAAGCAAAGTTCTTAACCTGAGGTACTATTTCTGGGTTAGCGGTGTCTGTAACCTGAAACGAATGTAACCCGAGGTACCACTGTAACTTCACATTGGCTCAGAAGCACCCTTCTTTCCAAGAGTCATCAGCAGAAACACTGGCCTTCGGAAATCTGTTGGGATACAAAAAATTAAGTACTTTAGAGGAGTAGCCACATGCTACTGTAATAGAGTAAGAGCCAACATACATGATTAGCACTTATGCGCTGTATCTGTTGCTAAAGTAATGTTTGAATGCTCTGCTGTATTAAAAAACTCCAAGCACAAAGAAAACTAGCTTTCTCCCCAAATGTGCTCAGGACGTCTGTTTTCTACACAGCTGCAAGAACAACAGGTGTTAATGTGTTTTACTGCATGTGCATGTGTTGGGAAATTATAATGAAAGGTTGGTTCCAGAAAACTGATATGCAGCAAAATAGATGTAACACAACTTTCCCTACTACAATGTATACTGCTTCTCTTATATCCACCAAAGAGAAACATTAGGTATTGAGCAGTACTCTTATTTGTTCAATTAAAAATGCAGTCTTTTCATAGGGGGTGATTTTTTCCCGGGCATGTTGCACAAACATGGAACCTTGATTGTCACATAGGAAATCCAAGGTGATACAGTGGTTACCATATCAGAGAGCTCTACAGCTGAAATAAATGTCATCAAAGCAAAAGTACATTGGTTGGCTTTTAAAACATGCATGCTTCTCAACATCCCTGTAGCTATCCAAGAACCAGGATTCTTCCCTGTGCACTAGCATCAATTCTATACCAAACACAAGGCCAACCTCAAAATAGATGGTTTAAGCACCATATATTTCACATATACCAAGCAATCTTCCTTTACTACAGCCACTTACTGCTTGTTGAGGACAGAATTATGCAGACAGCACTTCACCCAATAAGTCAGTTCAGAATTAGCAAAAGTAACAGCAACTCACGACTATAATGACTCCCTAATCTCTTGCTGCAAGCACCTGCCCTCACATCCACCTCCATGCTTATATTTCCCGTTTTAAAAAAAACAAAAGCATTTATTCAAAAGTTACAATACAGCTTTGTCCACTGCCATAATATCATAGAATGATCAATCCTCAATCCCACATCATGTTTGCCTTTTTACATTTCATGGTTGAAGCAAAGAAACTTAACACACTGCCCCTAAACCTGACCACTCAGAAGGAAGTTCCACTGAATTCTGATAGAGCTTCTGTGTTTTCCTCTAAAGTTGAAGGAAATTATCACAATTGGTCGACAAATTTTGGTTGGCCTTGGTGAGCCAAAAAAATTGTGGATGCCAGGATCATATAACCACAAATCAAGCATTGCCTCTGATTTTGCACTGTGTCCCTGAGATGTCATGAAGTTGGAAACAAACTTCCATCTTGAAAGTGGACGGCAGGCAGAAGCTTGCTTTGCGCCCGTGCTTGCCAGATGCTCCAAGCACCTGGCCATGTAGCAACAACAAAAAAAGTTACAGTTTTCTTCCAATTTTTCAGCTGAGGAGGTAGGGATCATTCTGCCCCACACTGCATCTCCAGAACTAGGAGAATGCCTTTGGACTCTTGCCCAAGGGTGATGGGTGTTTTGCTGTGGTGAGCAAAACTGTGGAGTCCTGACTCCAATGCAAATAATATTAGAAGCCAATATTGCTATCCCAACCAAGCCAACAGCACAGATACTTCTTAATTCTCAGGGCACAAGCCCAGAGCATCCTTTTTTTACTTTGCACTTAAAGCTTTTAGCTCTTACCTCTTGGCTGGCTGTGCCAGCTTGCTCTTCAGGGAGGATGCTCCCCCAATGGACGTTCTACTTTTTGGAAGGGCGTGTTTTGCTCCTGTGGCCATACTATTGCTTCTAGCCACCAAACTGCCACCACCAGCAGAATTTGGATGCTGTGTGGAAGCCTGTAGCTTTCGAACTCTGCCAACAGTACTGGCAAAACCAGCAGCTCTAACGGACTGCTGTGGTGTTATGGGACTACTGGCACAAGAACCTGCTTTCATTGGCTGTCGGACTATTAAGGGTGGCTTCCCAGCACCCGAGGAATAGCGGAGCTTACTTGGAGCCAGACCTTGAAGTGGGGTGGGAGAAAAGGCACAAGTGAGACCACAAAAAGATTTACAAAGTTTATATCCTGTCTCCTCAGGATTACAAAATTTAAAATAAAACAAAAAAACCAGGACACCCCCTCCCCCAAACAACCCCAAGAATAGCCATTAGAGTTCATTCCTGAAGACTTCCCACTGAAAGAGAATCTTCAATGCCATCCTAAAAGCAGACCACGAGGGAGTCAGATGCACCTCTCTTGGGAGGTAGTTCCACAGACTGAGTGACACAATAGAAAAGGCCCTGTTTTCATTCCTAATTATCAATGCAGCGACAGAAAGAAGTGCTTCGGAAGTGAAGTGGAATTCTCAAGAAATGCTTTATGGAAGAAGGCGATTGTTGAGATAACCTGTTCCAGGCTGTTTAGGACCCAAGCATGAATTGATCCTAGACACAAAATTGGTAGCCAAACAAGTTGGTAAAAATTAGGATGGCATGTTCCACCTCCTGGCTCTAGACAAAACCTTAGCAGCTGTATTCTGGACAGCAGCTGTATTCTGCCGCTGCATATAGAGCACATTACAATAATCAAACCAGGAGATGACAATGCCATGAATGAACTTCGGTCCAACACCCTCGGGAAAATGTACAACTAGTTTGCAGAGATGGATCCAACAGCATCTCCAAGCTGTGAACCAGCTACTTCTCAGAAAGTGTAACCCCATCCAGAACAGGCTGCATGTCTATTGCAAGATTATCATAACCCCCAACCTACCAGTACCTCTGTCTTATCTGTTTTTAAGATAAGTAACCAACATTCACAGAAAGAAAAGCTAACTTACCAGCCGATGGCTGATTGATTCTGGAGAGTCGACTACCGGGAACCTGCAGATCTGACTCCAAGCTGCGGCTGTTCTTTATAGACTCCAAGGAACGCCGACCTGTTCTGGCCAGGTTAGGCATGCTGTGCCTTAGCTCTTCTATAAGGGAAATGCAAAGACAATGAGAAATCCAACTGCTTTAATGTATTCACTTACACAACCACTGCAGGCACGTGATCTTCTCAAACATGATTGGATTCAACAAGAGAATCACATACCTTCATTCCCAGAATATTTCAGCCTTTCCGGAATGGAATTCTGCACTGCTCTCCGGGAGGTGTGAATCCGGGTGCCTGTTGCCCTGCCAAAGTCTGTGTTTGTGGATGGGGACTGGCACCGTGGTGAGTTCAGTGGGGATGGTGAGTATCTGTGGCTACTATGATAGGAAAAGGAACAGCCATCATCCTCATCCTCCAGACTGTATGTGTCAAAGTCTTGGTCACTGTAGGTGCCTTTGCGCAATGAATGCAAAGAAGCACTGGAACTACGACGGGAAACAGAGGCTGAGCTGGAGGCATAATCCTGGCGAAGACCTAAAGTATGGCCAACAACAAAGGATACAGTTATTGATCATTGTTTTTTCCCAGAGTTCTTGCCTGACATATCTTTGCTGAAGTTTCTACGATATGACCCACCACTGAACTACTAAACCAGACAGAAAGCAAAGACATAATACACTGCTTGTCACAATCACAGTGGTGCAATCAGAAATATTGTTCCAAACCCTAGAGATGGAAGATAATCATTCAGCATGATATATTCCCATCAGGTGCTCACATTTTATGCTACTTTTAAAACCTAGTTACAAACTGTACAAACAGTACTAGCACTGTGTACACAATGCTATATTTCTAGATTGGTGCCAGAACTCACCATGAATGCCTACCATGTTCTCTTATAATGGCAATGACACCCACCTGAGAGGTGCCAGAACTGCGTTGCTATGTATTCCGGCTGGGGGAAAAGCCCTGACTACACATATAGTTTTACAGCGATGTGTGTGGTTATTTAAAATGAATCGCTTGAATTTTAAATTGCAGGAAGGTTAACAAGACATTTGTTGAAACAACAACAAAAAGCATTTACACACACACACTGCATCCATCATTTTGTTATGGATCTTTGCTTCCCCACTATTCGACTGGATTGTCTTCCAGTGGGATAATACTGTTAACAAGCAGCCACCCAGCCCATTTGCTCCTGTTTAAGTTCTCTTAATAGGATAATTCAAGTTACCGTATTTTTCGCTCTATAACACACACCCGACCATAACACGCACGTAGTTTTTAGAGGAGGAAAATCCGTAGGCATGCCACCCGTAGGCATTCCCTCCATAACACGCACAGACATTTCCCCTTACTTTCTAGGAGGAAAAAAGTGAGTGTTATGGTGCAAAAAATACGGTACTTTGTTTCCATTTTAAATCCCACCTAAGCAAAAACATCTGCAGACTAACACAACAGCTAACACAACAGCTCAACTGAAGATCCCAATATATAAGATGGACACATTTTTGCACCAAAAAACACTAATTTATGCCACAGCTTTTGATGCCTCTAACCCCATGTCTTCTCAGTAACTTCAGAACATTGAAATTGCAGTTGTGAAAGCTAGACACCCTGCAAAGCAGCTGCTTACAGGTCATGACACCCACATTCAGGGCATAACAAAATCCATGGAGATTTCAACGAGTTTTTTAGCTGTGAAGTGCATATATGTATGAGAAACCAAATGCTCCATATGTGTTTCATACACTGCAGATAGTAAAAGACTTATTTAGTTTAAAGAAGCTGGCGGAATTTTGCTGCACTTTTCACAAAGATACTGTTTCCAGACCAAGGTCCCAGGACTAGATATGCTATTCCAACCTGTTCTCCTGTTCAGCAAACGCTAAGTTTGCTGTCAAACTTATTTTTCCCCCAAATCAGCCTGTACACCTGACCATCACCTAAACTGAAAAGGTGCTCTTGATCCAGAAGCAACTGCAATGAGTCTGAAAGGTTTTACATTCATCAGAGCAACAGTAGTCCTTACACATATACTGTTCACAACATTTACTAGTATCAATATAATTTATTCAGCAGGGCTACTCAATTACCCAATCTAAGTGGAGAATTTGTGTTACTGTGTTACATATAATGCGAGAAAACAAAATTAAAATGTTACATATAGGGAGAAAACACAAAAGTAAAATGTTATTTAGCCTCTATTTGGGCAGTTTTTTAAAACCTCTTGTTGTAGGCGATACTGTCCTAATGTAGAGGAAAATAAATTGCTTTCACATACTTTCTTCCTGTAGACGGGCCATAACCAGCACATCTGTCAAGTCTTGCAGTTTGTATCCCATCGTAATAGAGTCATCTGAGGTACTGAGTTCACTGTCAACGGAAGACTGAGAGCTCAATGCTGAATGCATGCCCACATAACCTTTCAGAAGTGGTGGAGGAGAGAGAAAAGTCAAAATGAGGACTAGAAAGTATTCTTTAAAACTCACTAGTAGTAGCATACTAGGTACACAGCCTTGTTTGAGTCTAGTACAGTGGTGTCTCGCAAGACGAAATTAATCCGTTCCGTGAGTCTCTTCGTCTTGCAGTTTTTTCGTCTTGCGAAGCACGGCTGTTAGCGGCTTAGCGGCTATTAGCGGCTTTAAGAAAAAGGAAACAAACTCGCAAGAACTCGCAAGACGTTTCGTCTTGCGAAGCAAGCCCATAGGAAAATTCGTCTTGCGGAACGACTCAAAAAACGCAAAACCCTTTCGTCTAGCGAGTTTTTCGTCTTGCGAGGCATTCGTCTTGCGGGGCACCACTGTAATGAGTACAGTGACACTTCCTTATAAAGCATTCATGTTTACCATTAAGATTAATTAGCAATTACTTATGAGTAAGAGAACTTCCTTATGTAACTAAATTACAGAGAAGGCCCACAAATACAGAGTTTGCATTTAACATAGTTTTCATCTAGGGACACGGGTGGTGCTGTGGTCTAAACCACCAAACTTCTTGGGCTTGCTGATCAAGAAGTGGTGGTTCGAATCCCCATGACAGGATGAGCTCCCATTGCTCTGTCCCAGCTCCTGCCAACCTAGCAGTTTGAAAGCATGCCAGTGTGAGTAGATAAATAGGTACTGCTGCAGCGGGAAGGTAAACAGTGTTTCCATGCACTCTGGCACTCGTCACGGTGTCCTATCACACTAGAAGCGGTTTAGTCATACTGGCCAGCTCCCTCAGCCTGAAGCGAAATGAGCACCACACCCCATGGTCCCCTTTGACCGGACTTCACCATCCAGGGGTCATTTACCTTTACCTTTTTACCTATTATTGTTAACATCCTGCCCTTCACTTTGGGAAGGTCATAATAATTTAATGGCCCAATGGCATATAGTATCTAAGCAGGGGTGTAGGGGAGCAGGGAACGGTCTAGGGCCCTTGAAAGAATTTTGGTGGAGCTACAGCTAGGCCTATGATGACCTAGTGACTCTCTTAACTGCCATCATTCCCCATTTCCCAAATAAGAAAACAGGCACTGTACGTCAAAGGGAGATGTCTTTTAGAATGAAATGTGTTCATACAATATTTGTAGACATGTTCTTTTTAAAATAAAAGGTACCCCTTCTTCTGGCTATGGCGAAAACAAATAAACCAAATCAGATCACCAAATCTTCATGCATCAAAGCCTCCTAGATTGCAACAATCAAAACCTTTCTTGTCCTCTTGCTGGAGGTAGATTTAGGAGTCCTCCATATTATCCCTTCCTCCTCGATTCAGACACTGTGGATTTAGGCTGAGTCCCAAGTTTCCTATAAGACACTTTCAGAGAGGGGAACACTTTTTGCCTGAAAACATCATAAATGATTGACTATTTAAAAAATTTAAAAGCCCAATACAAAAACTGGGCAAGAGAGAAGAACAGCCCCTTTTCTGTCCAAACCCACTGCGAGTCCCCACAAAGGTTTGCTTGTTTGTAGAGAAGGGCTGTCAAATATTTGCTTTGCATGCAGAAGGTCTTGAGTTCAAACCCTGGCATCTTCAGGTAGGACAGAGAAAGCCTCCTAGTCTCTGAAACCCTGGAAAGCCATTGTCAGTGTAGATAATATTGAGCTAGATGTACCACCTCAGTATAAGGCAGCTTTCATTTATCATGTTTTTTTCTAACCCATCTTCTAGTTCATTTGTGACCTAAAAGGAAACAACCTACAGTCCAATATTTGTCAAGTTTCTTTGGTTGATTGCCGAAAGATATTCTTACTCATCATAGATAACCAGGTAAATGGCTACTAACCAAGCCCTAGGACACCTTAAGGAAAATACAGGCTTACTCACAGACCAAGAACCTAAGCTAATTATATTACATGGTTCATATGTATTTAGGCAGGATGTGCATTCAAGTCTAACCGCAGCAATCTTAATTCCCTCAGACTCTTAGACATGATGACAGCTATGATCAGGTACAGTGGCACCTTGGTTTACAAACGCTTCGGGTTACAAATGTTTCAGGTTACAAACTCCGCTAACCCGGAAGTAGTTGCTCCGGGTTGTGAACTTTGCCCCAGGATGAGAACGAAATCGTGTGGTGGTGGCATGGCGGCAGCGGGAGGCCCCATTAGCGAAAGAGCGCCTCGGGTTAAGAACAGTTTCGGGTTAAGAACGGACCTCCGGAACAAATTAAGTTCGTAACCCAAGGTACCACTGTATTCAGAGGCATGAATTTGTCTGTTGCTGAGTACCAACAGCAGGAAAGGGCTATTGCTATCATGCCTTGCTTGTGGGCTTTCCATAGGCATCTGATTGGCCTCTAGTTATGTGGTCTGGTTATGCTGTTGTCACCTGTGCATACTGGTCACACTACTCTTTGGAAAACACTTTGACCAATTGAAGTTTTTCCCAAGTCTAAGCAGAGAAACTCACATGCCCATTTATATACAGTCCTTTGACTTCAAATGTCAAGCTAATCCTCCCCCAATACAGAAGGAATTTTACACATGCAAGTTAAACAACAAGTCTTCATACAAACCATGAAGTGGCAAAGCAGCAGAGGGAAGTCCTGTAACAGGAGGCTTCATCAGGGCTTTATTTTAAAGACCAATCAAATGCCCCAGAAATGAAATGCTCAGTTGTACTGGGAGGTGGACTTTTCTCTCAAGAAATCAAACTTTTTAAATTCCCCAGAATTATCACAAACAAGCAAAGAGGTCTAAACAATCAGCATTAGACAAAGGCAAGAAAAAGAATTAGGCAATCACGTTAAGCCTGAAGATACCAAGCCAGTCTCACCTCTTCCTCCCCCACTCCCTCATGCATCTCCCACCTCCAGTCCTCTGAAACTGTCCCCAATGCCATGCCGTACCTGAGCTGCCACAAGTTAGTAGCGGTTTGTTAGTTGATTTGCAGTACCCGGGTATGTTTAGTGCATTGCTACAGGACCCTGTGTCTGTATTCAAGTTATGCACACTTGAAGATGCCAGTGGACCGCAATACATGGATTTCCACCTACTGGCTAAAGGAAAATACAAGAAAGCCATGTAACTTTACCAAGTTAAATAAAGATATGTGCAGAAGGAGTGACAGACTACATTTGCATGCATTACATGCCAGACACACTCACCCTGAACACAATACAAACAAATCATTTGATTACCAACAGTTTAAAGTGTCTGGAATATAGAAAAAAATTAAGACAGTTCTCAGTTCTGCATACAGGGTTCTCTCCTTGGCTTAATACTGCATGCCTGCAAATGTAAAGACAAACAATACAATTGCTTCTGCCTCAGCTTATAATGCTCTCCCCATATATACCTGAGACAGCATCAAAAATATCAGACAGAAGGAGAGTGCTTCATGCATTATACTGAAATACTAATAGTGCTTCCTCTTTCCATGCTTCCCAGATAATATATAGACAGGGTAGATGGGATAGCTCCCCTATGTGGGAAGACAAGATAATTTTGACCTCTAAGTCATCCTGAAAGTGAGGATTTAAATAGTTCACAAATATCGTTTTGTGCCAGTCCTGAGGAGCAAAGCTAGCCTCAGTCTAGTGCAATTAACATTTATGCTGGTAAAGTAGCTGGCCTACCCCAAGCAGGGACAAGAAGCTTTGTTTCACATCACCCAATGTGGTACAGGATAATAATATACAATATACATCGTGCATTCTAGAAATCAAACATCCAAGAGTAATCAGTGTGAATCAGCTATCCTGCTGATCCAGATACAGGCAGAGTAGTCCCATGAAGCAGCCATCTGTGGACTCACGGGAATGAGGGAAAATAATGTTGTCCTTCTCTTCTCAATGCTCTCTTAAAGCACTTTCATTTAAAGTGTATTAAGAAGTTTTGAAAGACATGCTGCAAATAACAGCTATAAAAACCCTGCATGAATAGTCCACAGGTACTTGGCATACAGACATTTAAAATCAAAGACAGATTTCCCATCATTAGTTGCAGCTAGGATCTAAAACAAGTTAATGTTGAGAGTTCAAAAAGGAGTGGTGTTATTAGTGCAGAGAACAATCAAGCCTTATTCTGAACCATCTTGTCCTTGAAATCCCTCAACTCAGAATGGTACCTCATGATACAATGGACATTTAGATTCTTTGAAAGCTAACTGAATGCCTTCTAGAGAGACCAACTCAGCCATAAAATGGAAATGGGTAGAAGCCTGAACAATATTTCAGACCATTTCCAGGTGGTCTGAATACATTTCCAGGGTGTGAATATAGGCTTGTTTAATAGTTCAAGACAAAATGATTACAGTGTTCACCTTACACATATTAAGAGCCATTTTGAAAATAGTAAGATTAATATTTGGCCACCCAGTAGCAGGCAATTATACTGTGTTTCTGCCTCCCTGAGCAGGCTGATAGATGCCAAGTGACAAAACTGGGCTTTGGAGGGATGTGTCTCTCTCCACTCTACCAGTCATCAGAGCCTTGTCAGTTTTCTGTTGCTGGCTGTATGTAGGCTAACAAAATCCTGGTGCCTTGGTGCAAGAGGAGATCTGTGGAAAACAGAAGTCTGAAGGGCTCATTTAAAAAAGAGGGTGGGAATTCTTTACTCCCCTATAACCAAGGCAATGGAGCAAATGGGACTTTTATGACTTTTTTTCACAGTAAGCACAACCCTTCTGAAAGCATTTTAAAAACATATTGCTACCACAGCTAATACATATGGATGCAACTTTTATATTCAAGATCAAAGCTAGTAAAATTAGCAATTATAACATGGCTACCAACTTGACTTAATTGCTGAACAAGCAATCTTAAGAGTATTGCAGAGTACATACAAAACATATTTTCAGTATTTGAAGCAGAAATGCAATCAAGAGAAGGATTCTGCCAAGCAGATTGCCACTGCAACATACAATTATCTATGTAGAACACATCCTCTGAATCTTCTTGCTTCTCACTTGCCTCAGACCTCTATTTTCTGCATTATGAAGCAAATGATCAATGTTTGAACATTTTCACACACCAATGAGCAAACTGAAATGTGTGAAAAGTGTTGAGATGCTTGTTAAAATACATGCAAATCTTCCAGAATAAGTAACTACAAATCTTTCAGATACTGATTCCGAGTAAAAGGACAGATTTTTATTTGCATTCTACCCCATCCCGATATTTATTTTAAAATAGCATAATTTAGTCAAGAATGTAATTCTTTTAAACTTGTAACTTAAAAAAACTTTTGCACCTGCAGTTTTTATATTGACGTATTTATTATTATTTTGTTCCATGATGCCTACAAGTTTTAACAGAAAGTTGGCATATAAAGTTTATACTTCTCATAAGGAGGCTAATCATCCATCTACTATTACTTGCTATGAATGATAGGAAATTGAAGTCTTCAATATTATTATATGGTGTGTAGACAGTTAACACGAAATCTAATGGTCTAAAAGAATTTACATTTGATTAGACATGGATAGAATTAGAATCCACAGGAGTTTCATTTTTCAGAGCTTTCTAAAAAAACACTCTCCTGTTTGTGAATAAGAATTATGAGGTTTGCATGATGATTTTAAGTATAGATCATAAAGCCTTACTTTTGTTTACTACAATATTGATGGCTTTAACATTAACGATTGTTAGCAGTCCTGGGCTAACTGAGTCAGATATGATAATAAGTATAAATTTTCCATATTGTTCCCCTACGTTGAAAAAAATAAACAAAGATTAATTGGGGTACAGGAGCTTTCAGCTCCATCCATAGCACTGGTCACATCTAGAACAGTTATTATTATAACAGACATGTATACTTTTAAACAACTAATACATCACACAGTGATTATGTTATGATTAATTATCTTTATTCTGAAAAACTGTTTGAAGCAAATACAGTATCAAAAATTCAAGAAAATGTTTATTTATGGTTAAAAGTGATTCTCTATTTGACATGAAGTTACCAAAGCTGTATACTTAGTATTATCATCTACTGATGAAGCCACCTCAGCCCAAGTATCATGTACACCACCTTGCCTCTGGCAAGCTTAGAAAGATTATCTCCATGGCACCCTGCCCAGCCATTAGTGCTAATGCAATGTGGTTTAAGCTCTGGCAAGAAAATGCTAAAGAGCAAAACAAGAGATCAAGGTATCAAAGCTCTTTGAACTAAATTCAATTGCAAAATTCCAAATACTACCTATGGAAGGAGCAGAATTGTCCAATCAAATTTAACTTTGCAGGTGCTTTGAGAACCTTCATGGTTTATCTGCTTGGTAATTCTTGTGACAACCAAGGCCTCAATCCTACACTCACCTTCCAGGGAATAAGTCATATTGAACTCAATTGCACTTTCTTTTGGGCAGACATGGACAGGATCACACTGACAATAATAATTTTGACCCTTCTGTTTTTTTTCGCAGCAGCCATACAACACAAAATATTAAAACACCCTTTCAAACACATTCAGCTCACCTACCTTGGTCAAGTCTGCTAATTAGGGTACGGCAGGCTGCCTCTGTCTCAGGACTAGGATTGTCTAACACATGCCTACACCACTTCAGGGGAGACTCCTTTTCATCTGCTGGTATTTTTCTTGAAGACACATATAGCCTTAAGCAGAGGGAGAAAGTTTAACATGCTGATTCAGTAAATAATTATATCAGTTTGTCCATCTTTACAGCCAGGGTAAGCTGCTGAAATAAGCAACATGAACTATATACAGTATGCATGCCCACCCCAAATAGATAACTACATTTATTACAAATATGCAAATAGGGAGTCAGTGTGCTTTCAAGGTCAGTTAATAATTTTTGTATTTTATTTTTTCTAATGATACTTGGTGAATTAGGTGGTTCTGGTAGAGTCCAACAAGCAATGGTGCCACAGCAAAAGAAGCTATCCAGCAGCAGCTTTTACTAATTTGAACTGCTTGTGGTTAGAGCAGATAATTTTTGCCGAATACATTTTTAATAAAGTACTCAAAGAGACCCCTTTTAATAGTTTTAAAAGAGAGTTCCAAACTGGGAAGATTTTGAGTTACTCATTCATACAGCTTAAGAGAAAAAAACTGACACTACATCAAGAAGGATGGGAAAAGAAAGTGTTGGGAATTTACAAATTTCATTGTTTAACTTCTAAACAAGACTGGTTCTTTAGCCAAAGAAAGGAAAAAATCATGGTTAACTAAAAGGGAAAAGTCCTAGCACAAAACAAAAACAAGCCCCTACTTTAAGAGCTGAGGAAGTCTTCCATTTTATTCCAAATAGAAAAAAAATACTAATATTTTTCTTACATTTTATAACATCTTGTTCTGAAGCAGAGTACTACAGTATAAACACATAATGCACTTTTATTTCTGTATTCCAATCCATTTTCTATCAAAAAGCTATATTATGCTAGGATATCCACGACAAGATATGGGTACACCGCAGAAAGCAGGTATGCCACAGTGTTTTAAGTAATCTCTAGATACCAACTTCAACTGCAGAAATGCAGAAATGATGCCTCTACCTCCGTTTCTCATTGGTAAGTCTGCCACACTTCACTCACAAAGGCTTGTTAGTGAAAAACAGAATGAACAATTAAGATGGAACTTCCTAGCACTTATCTTTAAAACAGGCATTTATTGGAATGCAGCAGGTGTGACATTCCTTCAGAGAATTAGCAAGACCCATGGCTATATGAAATATAAGTCCTGCCACAAATTATTAGGTAACTATCTATGATATTGACATATGAGCAATAACTACAACCAGTATCATGACTCACTTCCTGAGAAGTAGTCACATACAGCTTTAGATAAATGAAGTTCTCTATTCTCACAAAAATTCAAGGTGTATACAACATTCAATTCCCACATACCTTTCCACAAAAATTATAAATGCACAAGCCTCCACAGCAAGCATATTCCAGCCAGGAAAAAAATGACTATACATAATTTCTTTCTAATGAATAGCTGGATTCATGCAAAAAAAAAAATAATGAGGTTGATATTTTAATTGTTGTATGTTGTATATTACTATTTTTGTAAGCTGCTTTGAGGCCTAGATGGTGAAAAGCAGGATACAGGTTTTTAAAGTAAGTAAATAACTGTCACAAGCAGTAGTGGCTCAGGGCCTCTACACGTTTTATTATGTCTATATATAATTTATGTACCAAACACGTGTTGTATGAGGAACAAGAACTGGCAATAACACCCCACCACATTCGGCAAAATCAAATGTGAGTAGTAGTGGAAATGCATCCTACACTACAGAGGCAAACACTCCTTAATATCTTCCAGCTCAGTTTATGGCTGTCTCTTGAACTGATCAGGGCAGGGCCCAAAATAAACAACCACCCGCCTCACTCACAACTACAATGTGAGGAGTGATGCACCTGTAATGCAACATTTTGCACTGCTGTGTTAACTAATAGCTCTAGGGGCCAGTAGCAGTTACACTTTTTGTGGACTTTTTTGGGCTGCTTCCCTTAGAACCTGTCCACTTCCAGAGTATGTGTGGATAGTGGCTGCCCAAATGTCCATTTTTTTCTTTGACTTTACACTTAGGAAAAGTTGCTGACAAAACCAAGGAGTCCTGGTTTAATTCCTCTGAACACAGATGAAGGCCTCATTTCTTTTATCTCAATTCAAAACAACAAAACAAAATAGAAACTGCTCCAGAAATTTGGTCCAGTTCCCTCCTCCCTTGATAGGCATAATTTTGAGTGACTTACCAGGTGTCCTCTTCATCGTCAGCATTCTCAAGTTCTAACAGCTCCACTTCATCCAGAGTTGTCTCATTAAAGAGGTGTTCTACTTCTGCATCCCCTTCGCTCTTTCTCAGTGCTGGCTCAATACCTGTGATGAAGTCTTCTACTAGCACTGTGCTGCCACCATTCCAACTAGACAAGTCATTGGTATTAGCATCACTGTTCTGCATTTCTGTATTGCTCACAAACTTTGGGTTAGGAGGCTGTTCCCCACAACCACCGGTACAGTTGTTCTGTTCTGTGGCCTCTACATCCTTTTGCAAGATGTCATCAGTCTCCTCTGCTTCTGAACTCATTTTACTCAGTGCAGAGTGTAAGTCTGCCACTATCTGCAATTCCTGTTTATCCATCAGAGTGTTGATGCTATTATTCATTTCCATCCCATTGAGCCTGGAATTGCAATTATCCACTCTAGCGCCAGCTTGGCTCAGCAGTTTTGCCTCTGGCACACTTTGAAGGCTTCTAGTTCTCAACTGCTCATTCTGGAGCTCAAGTCTCCTCACAAGTTCTTGCAATTTCCGCACCTCTTCCAGCTCAGGGCCCACTTGATCATCCACTGGTTCAGTATCGGGACCCATCACAGAGTTCTCTGCTGAGCCCCGGCTGAGTTCAGTTCCAAGACTATGGTCTGGCTGAATTATAGGGGCACTCCCAGGGACAACCATCTTCATGGAACCCCTGAGGAGACTTGATAGAAAAAGATACTATAGAAGATACCTGTTAAAAAAATAAAGTAAACATACCAGTTCTTTTAACAATTGAATGTCTTCAGGGTAATGGTGCAGAGCCAAGCCTTAATAAAATCTGAAGGCACTTATCCGCAAGGGTAGTGCATGTTACTTACAATGGACATGTTGACATGAACTAAATTTGCCCAGCAGCAACCATAATCACTACCATGGGAAAGGCAACTCATTGTTGTTCATGGTGTAAGCAGATATCCATAATGAACACATACAAAATAAGTAGAGTGCTCTATAATCTTCCCAACTTCACATGGAGCTGCCAAGGCAAATGTGGTTTCAGGAAGACAGCTTTAGATCTGTAAGGTCAATTTGGAAAGGACATGACCAACTCAAACTTGCAAAATTCTTCTGAGCTAGCAAAAAAGAACCACATACAACATTTACCTAAGTCTGTGCCAAATGATAGATTCGGAGACAAACTACCATGGAATTGATATTTCAAGTATAACTTGAATTACTGCCAGCCAGCATTAAATTTCAAGTGTTTAGGATTTTTGTAACCCAGCTTTTTCAATGGGGAGAAAAAAGACTGAATGATATGGAAAGTCTTGTTAAATATCTGAAACACTGATATTAGAGGGAAGTTTCTATATTGTGAAGCTGCATTACCATGTTCAGTAGATAAATTCTGCAATTAACTGACAGCTTGGTTACATACATTGTGTATGCACAAACATAGGAAAATTACTTATTGAAGGCAAGAAACAAAGCAAGCCAGTAGCTAATATCGGATCATGAAAATGCAGGAGAAGAAATTGCTTCTTTCCCAATTGTTTACATTGGAACAGTAAACCATAAACTTATTTCTGCAGGTTTTGGTAACAAGTGATCATACAGTGAAAGAGAATGAAGGACACTAGCAGTTTACTTAAAACTAGATGCATGGCACTGCCCATAAGCGACTTTTTACTATACTTTCCCCACTCCAGCAATTTGGCCTGACAAAAGCCAGTGAACTTGGGCTTCTGTTTACATAGTATGTATGTTTTTAGAAAAACAATTATACACACATACACCTTTTTTGGCTCAGTACTTTACTTCAAACTGAGTGGTTATGTTGACACATGGAAGGGTGTGTACAGAACCACCTTTGTCAATTAACTTTAAAGTGCACGAGACACACATAAAAGTACAGAGTGATGCCAATAAGTATGCACTAAGTCTTTCATTTAAGTCCTACCCAATTACAGATGAGCACAAAAAGGAAGCAATGAAAAAACTCAAGGTGACAGCTCAAGACTCTCTGGGCTCTATTATTAATGTGGTACATGGGACTTATTAGTAAGGGTGTTATAGAAACCTATCAAGTCTTAAAGTGAACAGGTTTCTCTGCTCACATTTACAACTCTTGGGGAGCAAAACAGATGTCAAAGCCCCTAAAGCAGGGGTCAGCAAACTTTTTCAGCAGGGGGCTGGTTCACTGTCCCTCAGACCTTGTGGGAGGCCAGACTATATTTTGAAGGGGAAAAATGAACAAATTCCTATGCCCCACAAATAACCCAGAGATGCACTTTAATTTAAAAGGACACATTCTACTTATGTAAAAACGTGCTGATTCCTGGATCATCCGCAGGCCAGATTTAGAAGGCGATTGGGCCGGATCTGGCCCCCGGGCCTTAGTTTGCCTACCCATGCCCTAAAGGAACCATCATATAAAAACTGTGTAATTTCCAATTAAATACTTTATCTGTAGGGGAGAAATATCTGCCCCAATTCTGAGCCTAAAACACCCTCCCATAAAATTGAATTTACTATAAAGCCAGCTAACTGGCCTATAATTTTCTGAATTCCTCCCGAATCCCTTTTTTAAAAATAATATTATACTAATCACTTTCCAGTCCTCAGGTATGGAAGCTGATCTTGGGGACATACTACATATATTTGATAGAATATCAGCAATTTCACATTTGAGTTCTTTAAGAAGTCTGAGGTGGATGCAATCTGAACTCAAGTCAGTTTTTGTTTTGTCAATAAGACCTAGAATTTTGTCTCTTGTATCCACCATTTGCTTCAGTTCCTCAATTTTTTCCTGTGAAACTTAGTTCAGATATAGGAATCTGCCCTAAATCTTCTACAATCCACAGTGAAGGCAGGTGGAAATAATTCATTCAGCTTCTGTGCAATCTTTCTTTGTTTAGCATACTTGCGACTCCAACTGCCTCTCCAGTCAGCTTGCTTTTACAAATGTATTTAAAGATTTGCTTTTAATCTTTGTGTATTCTGCAATGAGCATTTCAAATTCTTTTTTATCATCCCTTATCATCTGCTTGTGTTTCTTTTCCCAAAGCTTGTGTTCATTTTTATTGTCTTCTATGGACAGTTCCATTTTCTAAAGAAAGCCTTTTTACCCATAATATATTCCTTGATTTTGCTCTTTAACCACACTGGAATCCTCTTGGCCTCAGTCCTACCTTCCCTAATCTGCAGTATATATTCTTCTCATGTTTCTATTACTGTGGTTTTGAATAACTCCCAAGCATTCTGGGGAGACCTGACTTTCTTTATTTTCTCATTCAAATCATCTTTCCCTCTTATATTTGTGTCCAGTCTTAGACCAGAAATGAGCCTACTGTATATCATACAAAACTGAATGAAAGCCACATGTAGTGATGTTACATTTTCTTTTTTAAAAAAGAATTCTGTTAAAGTATAATTATCAATGTTTCCCAGCCACTATTTTTAGCCCTATTTCAAGCAGGCTGCTGCAATTAAGCAGAAAGTGGCAACCATTATCTCTAAACTACCCATGAGATCAACTGAAGCTCCAAGTATCCATCTCCCTCTCTCTCTTTTTTCCAGGAGAACAGTCAATTCGTTACCAGCGTAAGTGTCAGAGCAAAGCAGAGCAAAAGCATCACCCTGGTCGGGATAGATGATCTTACAGACTGACAGAGGCGTTGCATGAAGCCCTGAGGAGTGAAAGATACACACAACCAGGAAAAGAAAGAACAAATCAATTGCCAGAAGAAGCAGGATCTGGGTCAAACAACAGAAGCACTTAATGTCTAAGGAGGGCCTCTCCACTTGTGAATGGAGGCTGGTGCCCCCTGCCCTAAAAATGGGGTTCCTTTCTAAGAGAACAGGAGGGGCAGATAGATGAACAAAAACCTAATTTCTCCAAGCCCTTAAAAAAAGAAAGGTGTGACTCTCCTCAGGAGAAAGAATTGGGGCAAAAAAGCTGTGTGAGGGGGGGTTCCCCTTTTCCCATAACGCCATGAAGGCAGCCACCACCAGAAGAGACAGATAGGTGGGTGCCTTCCCCCTCCAGTTTTTTAAATAAAATTATTATTATTATTATTATTATTATTATTATTATTATTATTATTATTTCATTTACTTAAAGGATGACCGGGAAGGGTGGGCGGGGAGAGCAGCAGTTGCTGAGCAGGCAGGGAAGGTTTTGTATTAGTAGCAGCAGGAGCAGCAGGAGCAGCAGCAACACCACACACAATATGCACATCCTTCACACACGGAAATTTAACCAAAGATGAAGAGGAGAGAGAGAGAGGGAGGGAACCTGCTATGGGACTTAAACACTCCTCCCCACACATTTCCGCAGGCAATCGAGTCAGGTCTCCCCCCCCCCGCCCCTTCCATACCTGCTCCTCACCGGAGAAGACCCTCCGATACCTGCTCCTCACCGGATCGTCCGCTCAAGGGAGAGGGATCCGAGGGGATCGTCCGCTCAAGGGAGATGTTGTAGGTGGGAGGGAAGGGACGGAGGGCAGGAGGGATGGAGGCGCCGGGGACCCAAACTGAGCCACGAAGGATGCAGGAAAGAGAGCGAGGAGGCAGAGCGAGAGAGGCCCGGCTCCTCTGCCCATCGCTTCAGGGGAAATGAAGGCGGGGGTGGGGGGGTCTGCCGACCAACCGTTGCCTTATCATCTGCCGACCAACCGTTGCCTTATCATCGCCGCCGCCTCCTCCACCATCCGCCACCCGCCACATCCCCGAGAGCGCGCTCATTACCTGCCACACACACACCACGCGCGCGCGCCTCTTCTCTCTCCTTCCAGCGGCGACCGTTTGCCGCCGCTGCTACTGCTTTATGTTTTTTCCCTTTTTTTTCTCTCGTTTCGTCCTCCTGTGGCTGATTGGCTACGTTCGCAGCCTCATTTGCATATCTACGGCACGGCTGGCCGAGCGAAAGCGAATCAGGGGGGAGGGAAGCGGAGTTAGGGGCGGGATGGAAGCGTTGTGTGTGAGAGAGAGAGATAGAGACAAGGGACAGCGCTCAGAGAAAGTCCCGCCCACCTCCGGCTTTTTGAAGCCTCCTGACGGCGCGGCGCGCGTGTCCTAAAGGTGTATATCTTCTTTTACGCCTGCGCGTTGATAGCTGCAGGGAGATCTAGGGGCAAAGAAGGGTGGCTTAGTTAAGGCAAGGCAAGGAGTTTGCTTTGCTGGGCAGGAGGTGCTAGGTAGATTGTGGTTGATGCGTTAGAGGTGAACGCGGGGTCGGGGGACGACGACGGGGAGCTGCCCTGCCAATAGCGGTGTGCCCTCGAAGCCTCATGCCGCATCTGCGCTACACATTTAATTATTTTATTATTACTACTGTTTATTAGGATGAGAGGAAGCGGAGTTGCGCAAAAGGTGTTGAAAAACAAACTTTTTGGAATTTCTGGTCCATAGTCTCTCCTCCTGGCTTTGGAGGCGCTAATACATCTCTTTGCCAAGTGTGCAAGGGAGCCAAGGTACCGCTCTGTATCCCACAATGCTCAAAGTGGCACTACATTAGGGATGCTCTGAGAAATTTAAATGGTGGCTGGATTCAGCCTTCTTGTGGCCCGTGGCAGGCATCAGCAGTTTGCTCTACCAGGACACTTGTCGCTACCATGGACATAGCCAGGATTTTTGTTGCGGGGGGGGGGGCAGAACCAACATGATTGGTCAGTTAAGTATTTCTATTGTTTTATTTGATTTGGGGGGGGGCAGGCAGCTGTGCCCATGGTAACTAACCAAGGATGCCAGGTGGTTAGGCCTGCTCCGTGGTAGAGCATCTGCTTTGCATGTAGAAGACTCCAGGTTCAAACCCCAGCATCTCTAGGGAGGGCTCAAAGAGACCCATCTGAAATCTTGTGAAGTGATACTGGCAATACTGAGCTAGATGCAGTTCTGCCTGTGCTAACTGTTTTCATTATTCCAAAGTTTTATTCCGTTTGCCATCAAGATGCATGCCACTTGAATCAGTTGCTCTTTTGCATGACATAGCAGGGTGGGTTGGAAAGGAGAAGACTCACAGATGAGCTAGTCTGCACTGAAAAAGAGGTGACACAATCTCTCCCTAAAAGAGCACATAGAATCATTGAGTTGGAAGATACACCGAGGGTAATCTAGTCCACCCCCCTTGCAATGCAGGCATCTCAACTAAAGTGTCCCTGACAGATGACCATTCCCCCTTTGCTTAAAGACCTATAAGGAAAGAGAGCATGGGCACAGCCAGTTGGGGGGGCAGGACTTTCGCTAGGGGGGTAGAACCAATGTGATTGGTCAGTTAGTTAAGTATTTCTATTGTTTTACTTGATGGGGGGCAGCTGCCCCCTTGCCCCCCCCTGCTACATCCATGAAAGAGAGTCCACTACCTCCTGAGGGAGACCGTTCCACTGTCTAAACAGCTGTTACTGTCAGAAAGTTCTTCCTGATCTTGAGTTGGAATCTCCTTTCTTGTAAACTGAAGCCATTGGTTTGAGTCCTAATCTCCACTGCAGCAAAAAACAAGCTTGGTCCATTTTCCGTGTGACAGCCCTTAAGATATTTGAAGACGGCTCAGTATAAAGCAGTATAATATTGACTCAGTATAAGACAGTTTCCTGTGTTCCTATGCTGGCCAGCCTTTTGAGTGCCGGCTTTAAAAGGGGATAAGGCAAAATCCTGGAGAATAAAGTTATCAGTAGTTACTAGCCATGACAGATATATGATACTTCTAAGTTGCTGGAGGTCACAAGCAGGAGAGGGCTACTGCAGCTGTTTCCCTCCTACCATTAGGGTCCAGACCAGGATTTTCATACCAGGAAGCTGACTATCCTTGCAATCTATTCATAAGTAGACTAAAAGTATCGTAGTTAATAGGTTAAGCTGTCCAGTTTTAAATCCACAGTGCTCTGATTTATTGCGTACTGTATTCTATTTTGCCCTTTTGCTTGCTTTCCCCCTACTTTTTAAGAGACCAGCACATCCTTCTGAGATCTGGGAAGAGACTTGAGGTGTGTGGGCTGCTGCCTTTACTCAACTTATAAGAGAACCATCTGGGAAAAACAGGATGTGTTGGTCTCAATCCCTGGGTTTTCGGATGTTTGGAAGAATGCAAGCTCCTTTGATCTCCAAGTGGGATAAAACAGCTGGAAACTACCCCTGCCTGCCCCCAAGCAGTTTGTGTGTAGGTTGAACCAAAGTGTACAGGGTGAACTCCTCAGCAATTTGTTAAATTAATTGATTTGGTGCATCCCCAGTCCCCCCCCCCCTTTGGTTCTGGGGCTGTAGGTGACCAAAAGAAAAAGCGGGTGGCAACATCTACCAGAGTAAGATTCAACTGACAGTATTGCAGGCTGTTGTGTTGCAGCTGGGCAAGTAAGTGCCAGCCAGTTTAGCCAGTGGTCAGGCATGTTGCAGGTAGTAGTCCAAAACATCTGGAGGGTACCAACTTGGCTCCTCCTAGTCTGGATTTACTGGCAGTGGAAACTGCAGGAGGGTAGAAAGCTGTTGCACTCGTGTCCTGCTTATGGGCTTTTCAAAGGTATCTGGTGTTGACTGCTGTGAGAACAGGTTGTTAGACTAGATGGGCCTTTGGTCTGATCCAGCAGGCTTTGTGTTATTATGCTCTGCGGGGTTCCAGGGATGAGTCTTTCCCAGCCCTGCTTGGAGATGCCAGGGACTAAACCTGGGACTTCTTGCATGCAAGCCAGGTGCTCTGCCACCTGGGGAACTATGCCTTGTTCCCCATCTCGTTGCCTAAGTGAATCATGTATTGTGCAAAGGATTCCCCCCATTCCTAAATCTAGTACTAATTAATTTAATGGCAAAGGGAGGTAGAGATAGAGACAATGGTGTGAGACATAAATCTACCCACTTTCTCCATTTTGTGCAGTTTTGCAAATTTCCCTTAGCTGCCACATCTTTAAAATAACACATTGCCACAGTTCTCAGGAGCCACAAGAATGAGAAATGTGCTTTTCCTCTGGAAACCAATAGTCTCCTCTGTGCCACAATGTGAACTTTTTAGATCAGTGCACTTCAATCTTGGGTCTCAGTCCAGATGTTGTAACTCCTATCAGTCTCAGCCAGCTTAGCCAAAAGTAATGGGTGGTGGGAGTTATAGACCAACAAAATCTGGGGACCAAAGGTTGATGATGAATGCTGTGTAGAACCTTTTTGGCTCTGGAACACCAGGAAATACATCACACAGACAATTAAGAACTCAAGTCAGCTTTCTGCACATAATATTTATTAGAAGAACTGTTATGTAGAGATTAAACTTTTGGTTCAAAGAAAATAGGTTAGCAAGGACAATGAAGCAAAACATCAATATGACCTATATCTCCCTTCCCAAAGCAGCTTGCAGCGGTACGTGTCATTGAGGAAATAAAGCAATCAGTTAAACAGCTTCTGAAATCTTACTTGTTGCTTGATAAAAATGTGTGCTCTAAAGCCTGCAGAAAAAGAAGTCAGCCTAGAAGTTAAATATTGACCATGGACTTCTAACAAAAGATCTTGCCCAAGTCACAAGGTTTTATTGCATGCTTGTGTACTAAGAATTGGTAATTTTCAGGAGCAGCAGGTATTTTAACTGGAGGCATATCTTTAAAACATATGAGGGGCATGTAAAGGAAAAATCTAATATCTCGAAACTTGAACATGAGAGGTTTGATGAATACAGCAATTCACCATGCAAAGGTTTGCTGAAAACTCTGCAAGAGTTTTGCCTTAAATTTCTGCAAGAGTTAAGTAGCTATAGCCTGAGGCTCAAAATCAGAGGAAAAAAGTAGTTTAGGAGAAAAGGTCGTAAACATTTACCTGTGCTCCACGCTTTCTGGACACAGGTCTGGGTTTTCCAGGTCTGTGTCAAAGCAGTTATGTTTTCGTTTTGTCCCAATGCTTTCCCCAGGAAAATGTGTGTTTTACTACTGAATTAGAGCAAACAGCAATCTGGAAAATCTGATTGCCAGGTTTTCCTGGGGAAAGTGCCGGGAGGGAATAAATAACCTGGACCTGGAGATACCAGACCTGTGCCTAGAAATGAAGCACAAAAGGGAGTGTGGATGAGCCCCAGCATATTTGCTTCATAATGTTGTAATGAGCCAGCCAAAACACCCTGGTGCTCGGCAGTACTTTTGGGCAGAGGTAGAGGGTCTCACTCAGCAGGGAAAATGACCAACCACTCTCTGAAGTGAAGGAATAGACATTACCATCTAAAAAGCCCCCCATGAGAAGACTATTATGTCTAGAGTCTAAAACGGTCGCCACTATTTTTAGGTGGTATAGTAAGTTTAATATCTTGAGTTAAGATGGTGATCTTATTAATTAGCAGCCACAACAAACACTAATATTCTACTGGAGCTCTCTCAACCAGGCAGGCACACACCCCTCACACTATTCTCCAGTGATCATCTCTAAACTCCTACCCCAATGTCTCTTGTAAAAAAAAAAATAAAAAAAAAATCCACATTACTATATGGATTTTTTTTTAGTAACTGCCATGAATGACACCCATTCTGGTCAGTTTATCCCCAAATATCAACACTCTTCTTACTCCTTCCTTCAATTCTATGTACTTTCAGAGAGAGAGAGAAAGACAACCACCCGCACTACTTCATGATGATGGAAGCAGCGAGTGGGGGACCTTAAGAGTCTTTGTGGGCCCAGGTGAATCAAAGGTACTTTCACATCCAAAGATGACACTTCGGTGACCCTGGTCTAAAATTACCTAACTATACCACTGCATCTCCCAATATTTCACAAGTCAAATGAGGACACTCATGTGGACACAACCCTATTCTCACACCAAGAATGATGACACAAGGGAACACCTTTCATGCAGTCACTATTATGCACTATTGTGTAGGCCTGCCAGCTGTACATCTGTATGCATTTACCCTGTGAATAACCTGTTGAGCAGTTTGTATTTAAAAAAGAAGAAAAATCTTAAGAATATTCAAACCCACAACAGAACTGAGGGCATTTACAGATTAGCTACAATGCAACTCAAACACATTCAGCAACATTTCATTTCCAGACAAGCAATTTTGGTGGAATGGAAGGAAAGCTACTGGATATATGAAGCTGTACTATAATGAATGGGGACATGGGTCCTCTTAGCTCAGTAAATATCTGTGTTGCATGACAGTATTTGTCCAGGATCTTGGGATATGTTATCAATCACCTGCTGTTCTTGATCCTTTAAAAACAAAACACCTGGAAATGGCAGAGTTCAACGTTATGCATATAAGGCATGTTTGAACTGAGCTACGCCCATTCTGTATGTGCCAAGGGTGGCTAGTTCCACATAGCTCCAAAAGAGGAAATGCATCATATGTGCACAAAAAGAACAGGTCACAGATTTGCATACAATTTGCACATGCTCATTTGTATGTCTAGCTACAAATTTAGAAAGAATTAATATAATAGAAATATTATAGCCTATTGGGGTAGACGGTGTGACCTGTGCCTGCTCAGTTCTGCTGTCAAGGTGCTGTTGATGGACTACTTCAAGGTTTCTGCAGATCTGCCTTCTTATAGTACTTTTCCTTTAAGCTTGGATCAGACAGTCCTTCAAACAGAAAGTTGCATTCTAGGACATATGGCCACCCTCCCAGGTGTGCACGTTTCCATGTTGATTTTGTTTAAAAGCACCCCAAAATCAAAACAGGATGTTTTCAGGCTGTCACTATTTTCAGGTGGAATTCAGTGACATATCAGCAAATTCAGGCGGCACAATTAAATATGATTCAGCTCTCTCGTGCAACAAACCTGCTTCCTACCCTCCACCCCCCCCAAAAAATAACCTGGTCCCCCCCCCCCCCAGTACTGATGGGAAAATGCATTGGAACATGCAGAATGACAATTGCCTGGTGTAACATTGTATAACTTAGTCACCAGAGACAGGATTTTTAAAGAGATTAATACCAGAAAATAAGAGCCGTCTCTGGAAGATAGGGACAATGTCTCCCCCTCTGCATCTCATTCAGTTTAGCACTTGGACAAGTTTATCAGAATGAAATGTGTCCCAACAAATCTTCTCAAAGACAAATGATCTGGAGGTGCTCAGCAGTTTATAATTTCCCAACACTCTTTTCTCTGTCTGGTGACACTGGCTTTTTGTTCCTATTTTGGACCTGCCTGCCTGTTACTGGGTAGTAAAGTTAAATGAGTGAGTGTGAATTGCTTTCCCTAGGAAAAGGTGGCTAAAGAAGAGTAACATAAGAGCAGAGGAAGAACAGATGTTCGCTGGTCAGAAGGCAGTCAAATCATCCTGGCCCATGTGGGCTACGGTCTTCTCTTGGGTTAGGCTCTTCTGGCCGATGGAAATCTAAGAGAAAATTGGAGAATGAATGGACGTTAATGAACTGGTTAGGCAATGAACACAGCAAAGCAGTGGCACTCTGCAGAAGAAGAAGAAGAAGAAGAAGGAGAAGAAGAAGAAGAAGAAGAAGAAGAAGAAGAAGAAGAAGAAGAAGAAGGAGAAGCAGCAGCAGCAGCAAGTGGTGCAAAACAGCATAGTGGCAATATACCACCGCATATAGGCAACTACTGCAAAATTGAGCTGCTGCCGCTGCTGCCAGTCAATAGCCAAAGATGGGGGGAGGCTGACAACCAGATTGGCTGCTACAGCAGAGCAGCCATAGGAATGTAGGAAGCTTACTTATCCTGAGTTAGACAGTTAGTCCATCTAACTCAGGCCCCATCCACACTTCCTCTTCTCCCACTGCTTTCCCCAGGGGAAAACAGCTCTTTAGCATTTAGCTGGATCAAATTCATGTTTCCTCCGCATTGACGTTTACTCTGATTCAGCACTACAGAGTGAGTTTTCCCTGGGGAAGGAGTAGGGCAATGCTTTTTCAGGCATGAGCTCTGAGTATTGTCCCCCTTGGCTAGCAATGGCTCTCCAAGGTTTCAGGCAGGGAGACATTCCCAGCCCTACCTAGAGATGCTGGGGATTGAACCTGGACCTTCTAACTGCAAAGTGAGCTACCAGTAAGCTATGGCCCTACCTCCTGGAGGGAGGAGATATTAGAAGGGCAGACAAAGACTGGCAAGACCAGGGTTCAAACCCTTCCACTCAGCCATGGAGCTTACTGGGTGACTATGGCACAGTTACATACACTCAGCCTAATTCACCTCACCTGAGGATAAAATGGGCAAGAGAGAAAAGGATCACGTATACTATCCTGATTTCCCTGGAGGAAAGGAACTAGTAATAAGTAGTTTACGTGATCCAGATGCAGCTACATTATGCATCGCAGCCACACTGTGCCTGCATCATCGGTGCCAAGCATATTATTAGTATATAATTACAGCAGTTACAGTGACAATGACAAAACATATCATTAGCATTCCTAGAATGCCTTAACAGTGTTGAAAGTATCCCACATTCCTTACCTGTAACATCCGACAATGCAGGACATTATTATCCATATGTTGCTGATGTCAGGGACTGGGAATGTATCCAATGTTAATCATACTAAGAGTAGGCCCATTGAAATGAATGGCTATGACTGACTTAGGTCCATTAACTTCACAAAGCCATTCCCAAGTAAAACAACCCACTGAATTTAAAGTTAAGCTGAGGTGAAAAGAAAGAAGAAAAGAAAAGAAAATTCCCATTCCCACACCCACCTCACAAAAAAATTAATATTCTGCCATTTTACTCCATTTTTTAAAGTGTGTGTGTGTGTGTGTTTTGGCTGCCATTTAACTCCCACAATGTTTCAAAATGCAGCTAAGGCCAGGGCACTGTGAAGGGCGCAAAATGGTGACCTGACTGCCAATACAGTTGATCCTGCCGCTGCTAAGCCATGGATGTGTGTTTGCAGGAGGGAGAAGCTGTGCTATTGCTACCACTTACAGTAAGGTCTGCTCTGTAAGAAACTGTTGGAGAATTTACTGTATCCTGGGGGGTGATTGGTTTTTGCAGAGTGATTGCAGGGTGGGATGTATCCTCCCTGCAAATTTCAAAAAAACTTTGAATAAAAAGGAGAAGGGAAAGAAACCGTTGGACAATTTTTCCTTCCCCTAATGAAATTCAGTGAAATGTCCCCTAAATTACTCAGCCTATAGATAGGGTGAAAAATTCCTATATAGACCACGTGTGTACAGCACTAGTTAAAAGTTATAGATAGGTAGATATAATCAGCAATATTTCTGTTTCGGTATTTAGCCTCTGCCTCAGTGTTTTTTCAACCATGGGTCTCATTCCAGATGCTGCAACTCCTATCGGCCCCAGCCAGATTAGCCAATGGAAAGGATGATGGGAGTTATAGTCCAACGTTGTCAAGGGAACCAAGGTTGAAGATCAATGCTGTATACTATACTACTGTATTTCCCTCCTCCTGTCCTCTACCTCTCCATCCCATTTTAATGCTTCAGAGAGAAGGCCCCACTCACTTAGAAGAGCCTCTCGTAGCACTTATCACAGTGGACAATGTCCCGGTGAATGAAGATTTTATCCAGGAGATCTCCCATTGGCTTGTGACAAATCCCACACTGTGGAGAGAGAAAGAAGAAATAGCTGCAATTGAAATATGCCCCCCAAAAAAGAAGGATCTATACAGAAGAATCCCACACTGGTAGGGTGGCAGCATACAAAAGAAGATATTTATTCACACATCTTGGTTGGACAGGCAGAAAGCTTATTAATATTTTCAAATATTGCACATCAGTTATACAGCCACACAAAGAACAGGTGCTTGTGAAGATTCTGAAACACACCGAATGCTAAATTTCCTTGAATTATCATCTGCAGGAGGGATGGTGGAGACAGCTGGAAGATCTGCTTCCCCATCTTACACAGGAAGGTCCTCCCTTCTCTCTCCTCCACCCCGGTTGCCGAGCTTTCAGCTTTCAGCTGCTCTTTCTCCTTCCTCGTCCTTCTCTTCTGTCTGGGGCTGCCAAACTGTACCAGATACTGACAGAGCCCAGGGACCCATAGCAGATAATTAATTGTGTAACCAATACCCTACTTTTGTGCCTGGTCTTGGTGTGGTGAAATAAGACATCTTGATATTTGTATACTATTGTTTTCAAAGGTTTCCAATTAATAAGTGTGAGGTGGTTCCCATATGATATAACCTCCCCATTTATTCCCTTGCCATATAGATCCATACGCATGTCTTGTGGCAAAAAGAGGGACCTACCCGGAAGCAGTACTCATGGCAGCAGATTCTGAGGTTCTCAATGGTTATCTTAGCACAGTTGCGGATCTCACGGCCACAATAAGTGCAGATGTCTTCAGTTGGCCTGAAGTAAAGGAGGAGGAGGACTAAGGAATGCATATAAGGGGAATGGGTTAACCACCACCAACTTGCCCATCAAGTGTCACTGCTCTTGACTGAAGCCTTCCTCTTGACTGATTTAAGTGAACAAAAACAAACATCAGGAGATCTGATCCTCAGTTGTCCACAATGCTGTATTTTTCTTGCCTTCCCTACACAAGGCCATGGAACTCATAGCCTCTACTTCTAAACAACATCTTTCATTTCCCCAGATTTCCTCCTTTTCCAATTTTGTGCAAAAGTTTTTTTAAAATCTAAATCTAGTGCAAGAAAGAAGAAAAAAATGCATGAGAAAAAAGAGGAAAATAACTTTGTGTGAGCAACCCAATAGGCTCCTTATATAAAAACCTTTTTTAAAAATTGCCCCTTAGTTCCAAAGTATGTAATGTCCCTTTGTAGGAATTATCACTTGGACATTGTAATTATTTGTTATAATGAAGCTTTCCAGGTTGACAAACGGTCCTACCTTTTCGGGGGGCTGCTATTCAGAAAGCTAGCACTGCTATAGCTTGTCCTCTCCAGTTCAGACAAATCAGCCAGGCTGCGACTGGGGGATGAAGGTAAGAATAGAACATTACATGTACAACTTAAGGGTTAATTATTTTAGTGTTAAAGTCATCTAGCCAAGAAGGGGACAGGTGGAGGTGTCACTTAGCAAGTCGGCAGAATGGCATGATATTTGCTGAGGTAGCACATGCCCTGATTGGCTGTGTAGTTCTGAGGGAGCTTTTCCTCTGTAGGCTTGGTTGAATGTCTCCCTGCTATGTACAAACCTCTCTGTTCTTTTATCCTTAAACTATAGCCTGTTTTCGTTCAGTTTTCCTCATTGAAGTGTGATCAGGATTTTCTCTCTCTCTGGACCCTATCTGTGTTATTCAAGTGACTTTGCAATCAAATATTGCATAGGAGGAGGATCATTTAAATACACAAATATTTATAGATTGCAAGGAGCAACACTGAGAGATTATGGCAGACTGAGAGAGGTTGCTTTTATGCTGGAGTACCCAATGTCCTGGAGGCTTTTCCATTTTGAATTAAAATGGATATCCCACACAACCTTTATTACAATGCTATTCTATAATGTTTACTCACAAATATAGCCACCTTCAGTGAAAGGTCCTCTAACATTAATAAAAAGGTTTCCTGTTGGAAACTCTGTTGACCACAGCAGAAAGATTACTAACTGCCTCATGCAATAGCCTTTCTTAATTCTTCAGTGTCCTACTATTTTACTAAATAGAAAAGAAAAGGGAACAAGAGTGGAAATCATTATTTAAAGCTGTCACCCTGTAGGACAGGACACTGAGCCAATTAAGACAAGCTTTTCAAGGGTAATTCATTTCTAGTCTCCCAGCCAGGATCAATAGGATAAAGAGTGGCAAACCGGGAACCTTTAATTAAAGGCAAAGGAGCCCCCTAAAGCCTCAATAGCAACTTTTCCTGTTGACACTGGCTGCGTTAGTGCAATAAGATTTGCATCTTATTGCACCCAAACATAAAATGTCATAAATCAGAACTGAAAAAGCACTGGTGAACAATACAGAAAGCACTGGTCTGCAATGGCCTAACACTGATATTGTCTAGATGCTCTGCTAAAAGTGAGTGAACAAAGGATGGTAATTCCAAGGCAGGCTCTAATTTGGAAACATCCAGGGGAAGTCAGAGATATTTCTGATTTCCCACATAGATGGTAGCTCTCCAAAGCAACTCTTTGCTTCATCCCCTCCTATATCCATGCCTTTTCTCATCTACTACACCATCAAATTTGGGTGAGCTATCTGAGGCATCTTCTGCATGTGTGGGACCATTTTTTGGGTCATCAGAGCCAAAGTAGCCAAAGGCAAACTAACAAAACATTTTGCACACAGATTTAGCCATACATAAAAATGGTATATGTTTACATGCTGCAGAGGCAATCTTAGATGCACCCATCCACTCCATATTTCATTCCCTTACCTATTGTAACGTGGTGAGGATGACAACTCCGTACTGTTGACTGATTGCTTCACGAAGAGAAGGCCTTTGCTAAAAATGGCAAGAAACAGATTTTGAACAGGTTGTTTTATACATCTGTCTATCTATCATTTGTCTATCTATGCATGCCTGGCATGCTCTGGTTCATGGGGTCACGAAGCATCGGACACGACTAAACAACAATATCTATCATCTATCTATATCTATCTATCTAATCTATCATCTATCTATATCTATCTATCTATGATCTGTCTATCATCTATCTATATCATATTATTTCTATCCATTTTTAATTGTTTTTAATGATATTTTTTCTATGTTTTAGCAGGGGGGCAGGTTCCATCTGTAAACCACCTCAAGGTGGAAGTGGAGTATAAATATTTGTAGAAGTAGAATAACAAAGTTTACTTCAGATAAGACAGTCTAAGAGTCTGTGATATACAGTGTTTAGAGCAGGCATGTCCAAAGTCCATTTTGGGGGCCTAATCTAGCCTGCCGGTTGGTTTAATCCGGTTCAATCCAAAAAAAAGGTTGGCCCTTTGGTCGGCCCCCATGGCCCTTCACTTCATCAAATCTGACCCTCTTTGAAAAAAGTTTGGACACCACTGGTTTAGAGAGTGCCAGACAGGGAGCAGGAACAGCCACATTCAGATCCCTAGCTAAGCCATGAAGGTCACTAGAGAGATGTTCCAATGAATCCCCTCATGGTCTGAAAGCATGTGTAAAGGGCACATGAGGTTGCAATGAATAACCCTTGCCTGCCCTTGCTGATGATGCATGCAGCAGCCTTGCTGTATGTTTGGTGGCAGTGCAAAGGAGCCATATATGGCTACCGATGAATACTACTACTACTACTACTACTATTATTATTATTATTTTAAGAATAATTTTTTATTAACCGACCAATCACATCAAATCAAACCAAATTACATAAATTCCAAATTACACAGCCGAATTTTAAATTTTTGTTGGGGGTACCCATATTTCAAGTTCCGAAGGGATCCAATCAACTTCTTGCTTCTTACTGCTGGTTTAATGTCCACAAATCTAACTTTATGATGTTCACAGTACTATCCAGTCCTTTCTTATTATTTTTCCACATCTCTTGTTGTTATTTTCATATATTTTTCCTTTCTCTTTGTGACCTCTGATAGTCTCCGCAATCTGGTTAGAACAGTTTGTAATCCTGCGTGGATGTTAATTTTTTTATCCAGTAGCCATATCCAGACATTTTCCATATAACATCACTTCCATACATCAAAACAGTCTTAGCGTCATTAATCTTCACCAATCTGCCTCCTTTCTCAAAACCTCTGAGGAGATTCACTAGGAATACAGTCTGAAAACAAATCCGTTCTTCCTCCCGGCTATAAATCCTTTGGCAAGATGGCGACTTCGAATTAATTGCTGCGCCATTCCCAAAAGCTCTTATTGCTTCTCGGTCTCCATAAAGCATACTTTTGGTCAAAGTTTATCTCCACACAGACCATAATCATCCTGCTTGGGTCAGTTCAACCGACGGTTCTAATGAGGAGGGGTTCTTGTAAATCACATAGAAGGAAAGTAAAAAAGGTTCCCCCCCCCATTCAGCCCCATTGTCAATATACCCCGCCTTTGGTGTATCTTCATCGTAAAATATTCCTGTTTCTCCAGCCCGTCGTCTTCTTTCGCAGAGGTCACTTAAATTAGCAAACTTCACTCCCCTTCTTCACTTGAAATATGTGCATTTGCTTCTTTTGTAATTAATTATTCCAAATAGCTGCAACTAGTGCGCGATCAGAGACAGCATCCAGGAGAGCCGATGTCCACACGGGGGCATTCTGCCTAGGGCCCTCACCCCCTTCTTTCGAATTAGGGGTGATTTATGGGCACAGCAGGCAAGGGCAGTGTTCCCCATTTCCTTGGGGCAACAAGGGAGGCTGCCTACTCCCATAACAGCCTCTTAATTACCCCGTGTGGGTCGGAGAGATGGTATTGTCGGCCATCTTCCAATGCGCCCCCTTGTGGCCCCTATTATTATTATTATTATTATTATTATTATTATTATTATCATCATTGCTGTTGTTAAACCTATAGCTTGCCTCTCCTCCAAGGAACTCAAGGTGGCATACATGTTTCCCCCCATTTTATCCGCACAACAACCCTGTGAGGTAGGTTAGGTTGAGAGGATGTGGCTGGCTGAGGTCCACCCAGTGAGTTTCAAGGGTGAGTAGGGATTTGAACCCCTATCTCCCAGATCTCAGTCCAGTACTCTAACCTCTGCACCACATAGACTCATGCATGCTGGACTCCTTCACAGTGCCATATTATGGCTGGTGGAGGGCTGTTTGAAGGGTGAAGCTAGCCAGTGCAACCTCCTCATGAGCCCTTCTCAGGTGACTCTGGGCTAGCCATGACCTCTCTCAGGCTGGATCTAGACACATCAAAAAAGTGATTCAGTTAAACACATTGTAGACTTCATACAGGGAAATCCCGTAGGTGAAAAACGGGACTCCACAGCGCTTTATCTTTACCAAAGTAGCTGAGTCCTCAGTCTAATCTACCTGACAGAGTTGTAGTGCCAAATCAGTTTAGGAGAAAGGGGAACTTGTATAATATCCTGATCTCCTTAGAACATAGAGATGAAGGCAAGATTCTGGAAGTGCAGAAATGAAGGCCACATTCTGGGAACCACTAAGCAGTTCTGTCACTGTATTAATGTCACAGGCAGTGTACAATGACTTGTGGGAGTGTGTAGCCATGAAAACTAGCTTCCTCTTGACCTCCGCTTTTTACCTTGATGTGGTGGGGTCTGAGTCATAACCAGAGGCTGAAGGATTCTTAAGCCGAGAGGAAGCTGCCGCAGCCCTCTCATCTGAATTCCTGTCAAGGGAAAGGAAATTAGATAAGCAGCACATCTAATTAGATGTCAGCTCAGGGGCATGTGTTAGACATTCAGAGTTGCATCCCTGCTGTATCCCCTCATTGCCTGAGCAGCCATCAATGAATGTTTGGTACAAGGGCTAGGTGTAGAGAGTCCAAGAAACATCAGCACCAGTCACCTCCACAACATAAATGTAAAGCACATGGCTTCCCACAAAGAATCCTCGGAACTGTAGATACAGGGAACCTCATGGAGATACAGTTCCCAACACTATGAACAAACTAGGGCCAAATATCTGTGCCAGCAACCATATATTTAAAGCTTTGGCAGGTCGTTATGGGTGAATAACAACCTGTTTAACCACCTCATCTTTACCTTCTGATATCTGTGTCACAGATGTCCTTATAGAAAGGCACCCTGTGGCTCCTTGGGGAGCCAATTATTGGGCCATCTCTGAAGGGGTAGTAGGACATACTGGGAAGAAACAGATATATCAGTGTTAGCAAAACAGCAAGAAATGTAAGAACAAATGAGATGACGCCTTTTATGGGTTGTTTCTAAATAACCAAAGAGAGCTATCAAAGTACATGTGCATTATTAAAAACACCCATTCCTACATTTTAAAGAAATTAAGACCCTTGTTTTGATCCATACATATACATTTTTATTCATTATGCAGATGCCCCTGTTCCTTTTGGATTAACCTTTAGTTGTTCCAGTAAAATATGCTTTGCCTTTTGCTTTGTGCTTCTAAAGCACATTAAGCTCAGTTCGTGAACATGTTTCTCTGATAATAGTCACCACCAACAAAATATGGCACTGCATAATGCTCCTGGAAGCCAGCCATGTCCTTTTCCAGGACACTGCTTCCCACCCCCACAATTTCCCGTTCTTTTCCCCTAACAAACCAGCCAGTATTCCATGATCACTGAACATGCTAAGTCCCCATTTGCCCATTTTGGATTACCTCACCCCTACGTTAGAGGATTTATTGTACTTCTATAAACCTTGATGTTCCCTCAAGCCTAGAACTAACTATGATGGCTATTATCTGCTTCCACTGTCAAAAGGCAATGTGTTTCTGAATTCCCGTTTCTGGAAACCGCAGGAGAGGAAAGGGCTACTGCCCTCAGGCCTTGCTTGTGGGCTTCCCACGGACATCTGATGCGCCAGTGTAAGACCAGAGTGGACTAGATGGGCCATTGGCTTCACCCAGCTGAGCTATTCTTACGTTCTCCGTCTTGTACGCAGACTGTACCATTTTGGATGGACAAAGATGGATACTTGAAGAATGAGTTTGCTATTAGTGCATAGAATTCTGGCATGAGAAGTAACTACGTCAGCCACATATTTCAAAATGTTCTGCAGGACAAGCATGCTGCAGGGATAAGAAGAAGTTCAGCTAAACCACTGTTTTGCTCGCAGAGGGTTGAACAGGATTGCACACAAGCATGGGATCAGCAAGGTTAGGATAATGGTGATGCCTATTGCAATAATGCTATCCATGGCAACTGAGCTGATTTTTCCTCCCTACTATTCTGAAGCCATCACCACTGGTGTTCTTGCATATCCTGCCTCTATCATGTTATCTGGTTGTGATGATTCATAAGTTACTGCTTCCACTGACTTCTGAAGACTCTTTTTACTATACAGACCAGAATCCAACTGATCTGAGCCAGGTTATAAGATTCTCAGGTCCAATTCCCACACAGCTTTCACTCTACTGTTCTCTATGGATTTCTTACTTAGGCCTTTTGGACTGTTCAAAGCCTCTTTACCTTCCACTGTTGAATGCTTGGTTGTTCAGGTATGATGTTATCTCATGACTGATCTCCAACTTTCTGGCATTGGATGGCTGGTTGCTCAGATATGATGACATCCCATGCCTAGTCTCTGATCTGATGGTATTGTTGGGTTGGCAATCCAGATATGACGATCTCCTGTGACCTCTCTCCAACACACTGGGGCTGTCCATATAGGTTGGCATCCTATGACTTGTCTCTGACATGCCCAAAGTAACCCCCCTGGAGAGACTGAAAGAAATCCTAATTGTCATCATAGCAAGATCTCTCAGAGGATGACTCTGTTGTCTATCTGCCATGATTAACTATTGGAGTAGTTCATCCATAAAACATGGAGAATCTCAGCACCATGTTTGATTTACAAGAAAGAATGTTGTCTCCTCTGTCCAAAGCTGAGGGGACAGCAAGATGGTTTGCAAGTCCTGGCATGTAACGGTGGATAAATTTATCCAGATGGAAAGCAGCTGGAGGAAAAGGAAGCCCACAACATCTGGTGGTGCTAACAATGTGAAATAGTTTGCAAAATTGCAAACTATTTTAATGCTGAGGAGGAGGAGGAAGAGTCAAGAACAAAGAAGGCAGCAATCCAAAGCAGAAATCAATAGATCTCACATCCAAGTGATAAAGAAGGAAGTTTTAACCAGTCTGAAAAATAAGGGAAAGTGCCAGAAAGATAAGCTGCACCACCTTTTTTTTTAAGCTACCAGATCAGCTAAATCCTATAGAAAAAATAGAACAAGTTAGTCCCAACGAATCCCCCTTGCTTTTAATGGAACTGTTGGAACTAACTTTAGCTGGATTTGGAGCTAAAGAATAATGAAAGCTTAATGAGAAAAAAAACAAATAGCCAAAATATCAAATCTAATGAAGTTTGTTCAGTAGACATGTTTTGGTTTTTTTCTAAACCAGATTGCTATTCTGGAATATTTGGCTATTTGAAATAAATTCAGATCAGCAGGATGCAAAGGTATACCCATGAATGCTGAAAGAACTAGATGAGGAACTTTCAGAGTTACCAGCATCTATTTGGAGAACTCAGTGGAAGATGGATGAAAAGACTGTAGAAAGGTAAATAATGCCCCATGAACATGATATTTCACATTCTAAATAAAGGCCTTGGCACAGTCCTACACAACATATGAAGAATTTAATATCCTTCTCTCATTCTGACTGAAAATCTGACCTGTGTTTTGGTTTCTATCAGATTAACAAAACACACAATATGCTTATTGCCGGTCTGAGATTAAGTGATGTTCCGATTTCCCATTAACCTCTTCTGTCAGCGTGTTTGTCAAATTAGCTAGTGCCACAAAACTGAGAAGGACTGTAAACAATAAGAATAATAGGATTAGGTTTAAAAACGATTGGCAGCAAAGCAGTAATATAAAATGAGAAGACCCAACTATGTAAATATGCCAGAAGAAAATAACGCAACAAGAGAAACTTCATCTCAGGAAGCACTAGAGTTCAGATAGCACAATTCCACAGGACAAGCAAGTTGAAAAATACGAATACTACACCCAGTTTTGATTGTTGCTTTAAGAAAGGTGTAAAATTTATAATGCAAACAAATTTAAATGGATTCACAAGACAGGAACAAATGAGATCAACTGCCAGAATGTTTGGGAAGGGACTCAATACCTCAAGATGCTGAATCTAGAAAGATGAAGATTAATGATTTGCAACTTTCATATAACAAGGAAAGAAAGTGGAGCAACTGCTTTCTCTCTTGCCAAACATGGAAAAGATAAGAGGCAACTGAACCGAAGTCATAGCAGGTGAATATTTATTTCACTGTCCTAACCATCATGACATAGGTTGGTATCATGACCTTGCCCATACACTAAGATCTGCATTGAAGGCCCTACTTGTGTGCCTACTGGAATGGCTGATTAGGCTGATGTGTGCAACAGAGCGTCACGGAACTCCCTTCTGAATGACTTATGCATGCCCCCCTTTGGCACAGGCTTTCAAGAAGGCCCTGAAAACATCTCTTTTCACTGCTAGAGTGGTGGAACCTTCTGCATGCAAAGCAGATGCTCTACTACCTCTTCCTGTTGCTTATACTCAGCATGTGGCATTTCCCTGTTTGTGGTGAAATAAACCATCAAATTTAACATGTCGTCAGCATAAACCACAATTTTGCATGCTGACGTAACTCTTGAGAGGGTGTGCACTGAGCACGCAATTCCTGCTTGCCGTCTTCTGTGGACGCGCAGCTAGGGAAGTGTTGTGGGCTAAGTTATAAAATGTATTCATCCTCTTAAGTGGAGAGATAAAATCTATCAGAAGCTTGCAGCAGCAGCAGCAGCAACCCATTATGTACATTTACTAACTAACTGAGACTCTCACATTACCTGCCATTGCTTGGCCCCTGCCCTACTCCTGTCCATTTCACAGCAGCCTCAGACATAGAAATCAAGTAGGTGCATGTGGAACAATAAAACAATGGAGAAAGAGTGTTGTTTTCTTTGTTTTCTCATGGCAGGATGCTCTTAAAGAACAGGATAAGAGGCAGGGAGGTGGAAATGGCAACCCTACAGTGTACTAGTGGGGGTGGGAAATGATATTTTTACAACAGGGATGGGGAACCTGTGGCTCTCCGAGTGTTGCTGGATTCCAACTTCCATCAGCCCCAGTCAGCATGGCCAATGACCAGGGGTGATGGGAACTGTAACCTAACAACAACTAGAGGGTCATAGGTTCCCTGCTGTAAGTCCTGCTGTAGTAGAAATGTAAATAATACTCAATGGTTTTAAAATAGGTTAAGATTATTTATACCTGCTGGCCACAATGGTGATGTTCTCCCTCCACTGCTCCTCTGAATACCAGTTGCTGGGAAGCTCAGGTGGGCAGAGTGCTGTTGCACTCATATCCCACTTGCAGAATTCCCACAGGCATCTGGTTGGCCACTGTAAGAACTAGACTAGATGGGCCTTTGGCCTGATCTAACAGGGCTCACCTTGAATGCTTATTCCCTGTGTTGCAGATGTGGATGCCAAGGTTGAAAGAGAAAGAGAGTAGCTTGCTGAAGGCCACCTAAGTCAGTTTATGGTAGACACAAGATTTCAACCTGGGACTCTCTATGTTTCTGTTGGGAGCTGGAGTCCACTGACATCTGGAGAGCTACAGGCTCTCTGGTAATGCAGCATCTTCCCAGGCCACAGCTCAAGCATGAAACTATGAGATCAGTGAGGAATGGCAACTCTGCAGACACTGCAGCCTTCCATGTTTCCTTACCCTGATGTGTCCGAATCTGTCCCATGCTCTCCTTGTTGGCTTTCCGGAGTGGCAACGCCACTCTCTGTAGAGAGAGAACTGGACCTGCCAGGGAAATAAGAGGGGATATAAACATATGTATGTGTGCGCAAACCATGCTTTCCAACTTTCCATTGCTGTGAGCATTTGGGCAGAGATGGCCAGAAAAACAATCCCTGCTCAAATCCTTGTGAGAAAGCTGGAGAGAAGTGGGACCTTGCATATAGAATACAGTGGTACTTTAGTTTTCAAACGCCTTGAACTCAAACAACTTGGAACCCAACACTGCAAACCAGGAAGTAAGTGTTCCAGTTTGCGAACTTTTTTTGGAAGCCAAATGTGCTCCATTTTGAGTGTTACACTGAGGTCTATTTTTGCTATTTATTTTGCATTTTTGTTTTTGTGGCTCTTTTTGTTTTGTTTTTGTGACTGCGTGGAACCCAGTTCAGCTACTGATGGATTGATTGTGTGACTGCAATACATTGCTTATTGCTTTCATTTTATGGATCAATGGTCTCGTTAGATAGTAAATTTCATGATAAATTGCTGTTTTAGGGGTTGTTTTTAAAAGTCTGGAATGGATTAATCCATTTTGCATTACTTTCTATGGGAAAGCGCGCCTTGGTTTTGGAACGGACTTCCAGAACGGATTAAGTTTGAGAACCAAGGTGCCACTGTATTGTTCACTTCAAAAATGCAAGCAGTGCCACAGCTTTCTCCCTTCTAAGACAGGATAAATGTGTCCATTTCCGTTTCTCTCCATTTCTGTTTTTTCCAAATATTAAATTCAGTTTGGCACATTTCTGCAAACATTTGTGCATTATTTATTTCTACAGTCTGCATGAAAATTCATAATTATTGTGTGCGCCTCCTCTGATATGCACAATTTTGGTATGCAATTTTGCCTAGTATATGCATTTTTGCAAGCAATTTCCCCCAAACAGAATGCATCTATGTACATTGTTTTCACAAGCATATGCATCCCTCCATGCACTTTTTATTCATATACACTTTTGTGTACGGGTTCTTGGGTGGGATAATTGCATCACACAATTCAGAGAAGTGCAAAGTTTTGAAGGATAGTTTGGCTTTTGTTTGTGTATTGATTTGGGAAGTGTGAATTTTGCAAGTTCACATTTAATTACAAAGGGGGGAAAGATTTCCATTATACCTCCTTCCTTTCCCTGCCTGAAAGACCCATTTATTTCCCCTGCAACAGAGGAAATATGCAGGCAGTGGTGGAGACTCCAGAAGACCCAGTGAAGTTTGCTCCTGATAAGACACTGATGCTACTTGCCTGAGTCCTCAGGGAGAGGACCCTCCGAGAGCATTCTGTAAGCAAGGCATGTCCTTTTCACAGAGTGAGACTCCATTGCAGCAAGAACAGCTCTTGAACCCTGCACTCACCTTGCACTTTCCAGCTCTGACTCATCCCTTTTGGCAGCTCTCGGGAGTTCGCCTTGGATGCCGGAACTAAGGCTGTTTTCACTGGACCATGAACCAGATCTGACCGACGAAAGACAGTAACATTTGCAAATCTTGTCCATTAAAAAAAGAATACAGACGCAATATACCTCTCATACCAGTTGTTGGGAATCACAGGTGGGGTGAGCTCTGGCCTTGTTTGCAAGCTTCCCATAGGACTGCCACACTAGTTTATCTCTGCTGGTTGTGTGACAGCTTGTATATTTTCCTGCCTGCTTTGTTTTAATGTGTATTTGATTTTAATGTAAATCTGGCAATGAAGACTGGAAAAGGAATATCTGAAATAAATGGGAGAACAATCCAGCCCCCTGAACTGCCATGAGCCATGCCATCACCTGATCTGGGTTTGGTTTGCTTTTCAATCCTACGTTCTCGTGCAGCAAAGGGGCTTCCTTCCTCTTTCCCTCCACCACACCTTCTGCTCTGCCTAGTGTGTGGCAGGGCTGTGGCTGTACCACTCCATCAAGCCCTGCTATTGTTTGCCAGGGATTAGGGCTGTAGCCTATTCATAAATAAATAATGGAAACTGAGCATGCTCAGTAAGCATGGAATAATGATTGTCAGTTTTGGAGAAAAAACTGCAAAATAAAGTGGGAGAGGAAATGGAACGTTGTGGTTCGAACTCTGGAGACAAACACTCCACACAGCAACATAGTGCTGCAGGGACCCACTTATATATAGATTACAGAATCAAGAACAAAGGCACAGGTGAAAAATGCCATTGGTATCCTAGAGACAGTGGAGCTGCAAAATATCTTCAACAAAGGGAAGGTTTGACAGGGTCCTCCTCTCACTGCTTCTGTGAAAAGTTTTAAAGAAAGCAGCTCATCTGACTTTTGCCCCGACCATATCAAGTAGCGAAGGTAGAACCTTCTGTTGTCTGCCTTCTTACTTTGCCAGATGAGCTTCCACCTTTTTGTATTCTGTGTCACTTGGACTCTCATATGCCATCTCTTGCATAGCCTTCTTCTCAAAGTCAGAGAAAGATCTGCAAGAAGAAAGGAGACGGTTGCGGACCCACTTGCAGTGACACCTCCCCAGGGAGCAAGGCCTAGCCTTAGAAGGTGAACAAACTGGACAAGACAATGTTCTCGGATTTAAAATTGGCCACAACTTTATTGATTCCAGGTGTAGGTAGGATTTGCCTCAGATACTGGATGTATATTATCTCAGCCTCCAGGTAAAGGGCTGACACATGACAGGGTCGAGCCTGGGGTTAATGAGTTCTCCACAAGATGCAGGTCTACATGGATGGCCATCCCAGGCTGCTAAAGGAAGCTCTAGGGCCCATCTGCCCCATGCCTTGGCTTTTGGACAGAAACTTCCACCTAGCTCCCTTTAACGGGGTACTTTGTGATCACACAGTTTTGACGTAGGGGTGATGCACCACTTCACCCCTGGCCTGATGTTAGACTAAAAGGATACCACCTAATGCCTTATCGAGCCAAGTTGCAACTATTGCTATGGGGAAGGCAAAACCTGCAAATGGGGCCAATCTGTTTGCAAGCAAATTTCTTCCTAGCTCCGGAAATGGCAACCATTACTGAACCACAGGAATGCCAGTAAGCTCAGTGCCCTGGGAAGGAAGGAAGGTTGGCATACAAAACGCACAGCATCACTAAATGGGGTGGAGAAAGGGAGGGTTGTTCTTCACCTGACTGCAGTCCCATGTGTGGGCACAGCCAGCATTTCTGTAGGCTAGGGGCAGACGGGAGAGAAGCTTGCTCCACTAGGGTCCTCTTACAAGCCCCGCCCGCTCAGTCTGGCCAGATGGGCCAGAATTCAAATAATCAGATGGCAGGAACACCCGCCACTCCAAGCAGCCAGCCTCGGGATTCCCCAACTGCTGGCCACCTCGCCCAGCATTGCTCCCTGGGACTCGAGGCCCTCCGCAACAGGCCGCAACCACTGCCCATCCTGGGACTGGGTAAGCTGCCAATTCCAGTCCATTCTAAAACTATTGCCATCCATAAAATTGCCAGAAGGTGCTCCTTGCTCCCATTAGACAAAGGCTACAATCACACCATACATTTAAACTACATGGCTCTCGCAAAGAATCCAGGGAACTGTAGTTTGTTAAGGGTGCTGGGAATTGTAGCACAATGAAGAGTAAAGTACGGTCCCTAGGACTCTTTAGGGGGAGCATCATGTGCTTTAAATGCAGAACGTATGAGCTGCCATATGTCTGGATTTTCCCAGGCATTTGGCTGATTTCTGCCCAGACACTGCTGCCGATTGCAGTATTCTGGATATGTCAGAGAAAATCCGGACATATGGCAACCTTAAATTAACCCACACGAACACAATGAATTACTGCAGGACCAATGACACTAATTCTTAGCATATCTTTAGGACAACAGGACCAATGACACTAATTCTTAGCATATCTTTAGGACAACATATCTTTGATTAATTTTCTGGAAGTCTGAGTAGCTGTGTGTAGGGACCCTTCAGTGCAGGGATGGGGAACCAGTAGCCCTCCAAATGCTGGTGGACTACAATTCCCATCATCCTTGAGTATTGCTTCAGCTGAGGTTAGGCTTCTTGAATTTATAAATTAACCCCCCCCCAAAAAAAAAACCTCCCAAAAGCAATTTGCAACAATAATAAAATGCAGTGATAAAAATACATAAGTATATTCAAGACACAGCCAGAGTAAAAACATCCACTCGTTGGTGCTGCCCAAATGCACAGGGTGGGAGGGAAGAATTGCTGGGCACTGAAACAAGGACAAGCTGGTGCCAAGCAGGCCTCCCTGTAGATAACAATCCATAGACAGGAAGCAGCTGTTTGATTGATATACTAACATATCTTGCTAAATTTCATTCACACCACCAGGCATGGTAAGACACAATAGCAGACCACATTGCGTGCTTCTGTTCCTCCATTATTTTACCCTTGAAAATGGCAGTAAATAAGTATATGCTAGAATACCACCCCAAATTTTGTCAGATGGCGACACAATCCATGACAATCATGGGGAAATTATAGATCAAAATCCCCGTAATTTTCCAGGTTAGCAGGTAGCAAATAGATTTCTTTTCCTGTAGGAAATTAACACAGATATGAGCACTAAATTTCCCTGTGGATTCTGCTAGATTTCCACAAGTGGCTTTTATGTCATGTGAAAGATCACATAAAATGCAGAAATTATCAGGAAGATGGGAAATGCAGCCCTGGTTTGGGAAGTGCAGATTAGGTTGGCTTGCTTTTTAAAGCATACTGAATTGAATTCCCAACTCCATTCCTAATTATGATAGCCAATTCCTCCAATATGATGTGATTCCCCCCCGCCATCAAGGGGGGAATATGGACTATTTCCCTACAATAGAACTCTTTACCTAAGATAGCTGAAACCTGGTTCTGACCTTCTGGGAAGAAGGCTGATGACAATATAGCCAAAATGCCAGTTTTACTTTTTCCTATGTACCTTTTTGAGCCAGCATCCCCATCGCTGTCAAAGTGGGTGGGAACACTGTATGTTGCTCCAGAAGGAGTATCGGTGCTGTCCCTATTGAAAGAGCCAGCCCTATCAGAGACAGAAATACAGTTCAGTGTTAGATGAATATTCAGTGCCTGGATTTGCTGGTTTTCCTCTTCCAGCCTCATCCCCTTTTTCATTTGTATTGTGACTATTAAACTGTAAGCCCATGCGCAGGGAGCATGTTGCTGTTCTAAAGTCATTTCAGAAGCACTTTAGGTGCTGCTTGAATGCAATTGGGGGCCCTACTGAAGTTGTATTGGGAAGTTTTAAATGATTGATATTTTATTATGTTTTTATATGTGCTGTAAGCCGCCCAAAGTGGCTGGGGAAACCCAGCCAGATAGGTGAGGTATAAATGTTGTTGTTGTTGAGTTTGCTCCCCACTTTCCCCTTCCATGCTCACACAAAATCTGTGTGAATTCTGTGACTCGTGAACTCGGGCTCCCGTATTTGGCCTCCCTGCTGGAGCTTCCCTCTTTGTGAGCCGGGGCAGATCTGCCAAGAAAACATCCAGCGAATTTTTGTTACGCATGAAGCAACACGGATTGTCAATGGCTGCTGAGCATGACAACAGTATATTCTGCCTCCAGTATCAAAGGCGGAATGCTGCCACTGAATGCCGGTTGCTGGGGAACACAAGTAGGGGAGAGAGTGCTATTGCACTTGTCTCATGCTGCTGAGCTTCCCACAAGCATCTGAGTGGCCACTTTGAGAGCAGGATGTTGGACTAGACGGGCTTTTGGTCTGATCCAGCAGGATTTTCATGTGTGTTCAAGCATCTCATTTCCCTGTGTTAACTTCCCAGGTAAAAAAGGGAACAGGGAAGACCCAGTTTAAATCTTCACTAAGCTTAGGAAGCTCGTTTGGTAACCCTGGGCATATATATAGGGTGTTGTAGGGGTTAGAGCGTCAGACCTAGAGCGCTAGACTTAGAAGACCCAGGTCCATTGCTGCACATGAAATCCAGTCAGTGAAATTGGGCCAGATTCAGCTTTAACCTACCTGAGGGAGTAGGGAAGGGGTATAGATCAGTGGTAGAGCATCTGAGAAGATCGCAGGTTCAATTCCTGGCACCACCAGGTAGGTCTGGGAGGGACCCTGGAGAGCCACTGCCAATCAGTGCAGACAAGACTGAGCTCAATGAACTACTGGAATACTGTGAGGTGTTTCAATGTACATTCTTAGGGGTGAATTGGCAGCTGCTGAAATTGCAATTATCGTGCCTTTTTTTCAGGTGCAGGCTAATTTTAGGACCTTGGAACAGAGCGAGGTGGGGATTTCAGTGGGACGCGGGTAGCGCTGTGGGTTAAACCACAGAGCCTAGGACTTGCCGATCAGAAGGTCGGCGGTTCGAATCCCCACGACGGGGTGAGCTCCCATTGCTCGGTCCCTGCTCCTGCCAACCTAGCAGTTCGAAAGCATGTCTAGTGCAAGTAGATAAATAGGTACCGCTCTGGCGGGAAGGTAAATGGCGTTTCTATGCGCTGCTCTGGTTCGCCAGAAGTGGCTTAGTCATGCTGGCCACATGACCTGGAAGCTGTACGCCGGCTCCCTCGGTCAATAAAGCGAGATGAGCGCCGCAACTCCAGAGTCGGTCACAACTGGAACTAATGGTCAGGGGTCCCTTTACCTTTACTTTTAACAATGAAATTATGTGAATATTCTTGTCCATGGGAGGTCACTACCATGCTAGAGTTCTAATTAAACTGAATTGAAATGCTGTGGCAATGAGGTGAGTGGTGGCAGAATCCATGCCCGCCCTACTTTTAGAGAGAAGTCTTGCCACCACCTTTGGAGTCTGTTCAGGAGCTTTATGCATAGAAAAAATGACAGCACAGCCAGAGCTTCATTCCTGCTTCATTCCTGCAGGCAATGACAAAACTATCCCCGCCCACCCAGGAAGTTATCCCCACTACCCACCTTTCCAGCACTGTAAATGCTACCCTCTTTTGGGTTTCTTGGACATTTTTCAGGGCAGATGTAGTCAAAAAGTGAAAGGAGGGAGCAGGCTAGCTTTTCAGCAAAAATGTTAAAAATAGTGCCTGTACCTTTTGTCTCATTCTACAAATGCTAGAAGCTTTAAAATTAAAATTAAAATTAAATTGCAGGAGGAAGTATATCCCCCCCACAGGATACCCATGTGACCACTGTCAAAAATATCCATATGTTCAGTAATCAAAATATTCAAATAATTTCACCCATATCCCACTAAAATGAAGAGATGGCCCATACATATTTGGAATGGCAAATGTGAGAAGGGAAGGGGGTGTCCTGGAAGTCCCTGAACACTCTTAGTGCTGGCTGGACAGGAAAGGAATGAGGGGGCCAGAGCATGGACACCAGCCAATGTACCTGCACATCTCCCCCTGGCCACACTACTGCCCTTGAGCCCATGAGTCTCCTCAGGACTAGGAAAGTTGGCAGACAAACAGCAGCTATGGCACATTGCCACCTGCTTTCTTTTTGTGCATGTTTTCTCTGTTTGTAGTGGGGTTTCTTGCTGTGGATGGTTGTGGGCACCAATTCATACCACTCAGGGTGAGAGCCTGGATGGATTGGAGTGGGGGAAGAAAAGGGGTTAAGTTACTTAAAAGCCACAGAGTCTGTTGGCACAGAATGTGAGAGTGTCTTTGTGTGTGAGAGAGAGCAGGACTGAGTGGGCTGCTGTAAGTGAACAACAGAGTGGGAACTGTTGCTAAACCCACAGGTTATTTATTTAAATCTGCTTGAATGCCTTGTGTTTGCTTTTACCTAAGTATTTGGTTAAAGTGGGAATTTTAATTTTTGTTATTGTAGTTTTAAAGCTTGTTCACCTTATGACAGAATTGTTAAATTGTTGTTCATTGAACCTGTAATTTTTTTAAATTTTTGGTCTACTTGGTTTTTCCTCTCTTTATTTCATTAACTTTGCTCCCTGCTCTTAGATTGAAAATATTTATTGAGGAGCAGGCCATAAATACTGCAAATAAATGAATAAAGTCTAGATATCACAAGCTGGTGGAAGGGAGAGACATACCACACAGAATACCCTAACCATCTTGGAGGATGGTGTGATAAAAATGCAACAAGCAAATTAATCATTATCATCTAAAAAGAAGCCACTCTTTTACATTATCTTTAGACCTCCAAAGTTTTAGCCATGCCCTTTTACCTTGGGGAGCCAACATCTATGTCACGCAGGTGTTCTCCAGACATGGACTGAAGATAAGTCTCAGGTGTAGAGAAAGCATCTCTGGTTCGATAATGAGAGGTGGGCCTGCTAAGGAAAGTCCAATGAACCTTTGTGAGGACATTTGGCCAGACAGACTGTCAAATGTGACTAATGGTGATTTCCATACTTGGAAGTAGGGATGTATTTGGCCCAGTTTTTGCTGCAGTTAAGACGCTCAAAAAATGCTCATTGAAAGAGTTTTGTGGAAATGCATACAAAAATACATGCAATAATAACACATACAGTGGCGCATTTAACAGCATGTACAATTTTAATGTGAACTTTTCATGTAATCTCTCAAAGAATCCACACAAAACGGGACAGATTTCTGATTGAGCGCCAGCAAAAATGAATTAGGAGGTTCTTACCTCTTTGGGCTCGCCTCTGGGGAGATGACGATGTGCGGAGGTGTTTGACTCACAGTTGTACTTTGGGGCTTTATTGTTTCCCAGCTGTGGAGGGCAAGAGGGCATCTGGTTGATAAGAGGCCTACAACCACTGTTCCATTCTCAACCAGTTTTCTGTTAGTCCAGGTATCTATGCAGGAATGTTGGGCTGTGTATATTCAGAAAACTCCAACATTTGCGTGCCCGGAATACAGCTTAGTGAAGGAACAAATCCGTTGCTCCACCCTCTTGTTTACTCTGGCTCCACCTACCACTGCCATGCTATTCCTGGGATGTGGGAATGTGCAGTCTAAGAGTGAAAAATGTTCCCAATTTAGAGAGTGATAAAAAAGCCAGTATAAAAGTATAAAATTTATCAAGTGGATGCTCAATATGATTAAAGATACAATACACCCTATGCCTTTAAAGCACATGGCATCTGCCTCAAAATCACGGGAACTGTAGTTTGTCGATGGTGCTGGAAACTGTAGCTGTGTGAGGAATAAACTACAATTCCCATGATCCTTTGGGGGAAGCAACGTTGCATTAAATGTGTGTTGAATGTATGCTGTGGGCAACAACTTTCTGGGAAGTAAGCCCCACTGTACTACTGGGATTTACTTCTGAGTAGACATATATGGAATTGCATTGTTAATTTTGCATTTTTGGTGATCACATAGGAAAAGATATATTGACTGTATTGTTGTTGTTTTTCTTATATTCTGAACCAAGGAAGAAATTTACTCTCTGCTGAATAAAAAAATAGATCCAGTGCCAACCATCAAATCATATTTACACTATCTCCCTGAGATAAATTTGTAGCAGACTGAGGAGTAGGGCATTAATCTAAATATCAAATAAGCAGTGTTTATCTTCTAGGAAAAAAAGGTGTCGGTACTCATTATGAAGCTGTTACTGTGAGTGCTTTTTTTCCTAGGGAAAAAGAGGTGCCAGTACTGTGTGCCCTTGAGTACCCCCAGAATGAAACAGCACTGTAAATAAGTAAATACCTAGATATGCATTAGCTGCCTCAAAAACTTAGGGAAGGTTCATTGAGAGCAGCTTGATAAACTTCTAGTTTATTTTTTAAAACTTTGAGAGGAACGTATATTGATTTTAATTCTCCAAATTTTATACATGCTATCTTTAGTGCTTCTGATCCTTTCTGATATTGCATTTCTGCTTTAATTATGAATATAACCATGACCCTCATGGTTGGAAATATAAAATGCAAGTATTCCAGTTATTAATTACCGTTTGTCTAAATATGCATCCCCACTTTATCCTCACAACAGCTCTTGACAGGTAGATTCTGCTGGGGAATAGTGAGCTTTGTGGAGGGACGGGGCATTAAACCTAATTCTCAATCCAGCACTCTGACCACTATGCAGTGTAACACTTTTGTTGGGCACGTGGGTGGCACCTCTGGCCTGTGGGTCACACGTAGCCCCCTGGACTCTCTCCAGGTCATGCCCCTCACTGCCCACTGCTCTGTGCTTTCCTCAAGTGCTTTTACCTGGCTGGAACTGTAATAATGGCTCTTTCTTGCCTCGATGGGAAAGTGCATGCACACCTGGCTTTTGTGTGGCTGGGGAGAGTGATGTTGCATTTGGGTCCTGTTTGCGGGCTCCCCATAGGCACCTGGCTGCTGAACTAGATGAGCCTTTGGCCTGATCCAGCGGGGCTCTTCTTATGTTATATTATCTGCCCACTTTTGCCTCTGATCCTGCCCATCGGTGCCATGTAGCTCTTGTAAGGTTCCCCACAAGGGAATGCAGCCCATGGCTTGAAAAAACTCCTCACACCCGTTGAAAGTGCTGTTTTAAAAAAGCAGCAGCATTAATCGTAAACACACTTAGTAGAGGGGCAAGTAAACATGCATAGGATTAGCCAGTGTAAAAGAACGCAAGTGGAAATTACCCTCTGACACTGCTGTGCAAACAGTGTACATAAGCTAAACACTTTACCTCCACAGTAAATGTGGAAGTGAATTACAGGTGTTTAGGATAGAACAACACGAGGAGGATTACCTGTCCTCAGAAATAACGGCACGAGGTGTTTCAGCACTTCGTGTGGCCTCGGATTTTCGTTCATTCTTCTCACTGTGGAAATCAAAGCATAAGCAGTTGGAAATTAATTACAATTCATTTCTTTCTCACTCCTTCCAACCAAGAATGCCAGTTCCACCAGGAAGAGCAGTTCTCTACTTAGCTGCCTGTATTTTATGAGTAAATTAGGATTGCACAGATTATTACCTTCTACGTGAAGGAGATTCAGGAGATTTTGGAGCAGAGTTGTTCCAGGAAGTCATCTGATTACTCTCTTGATCCAGCTTGTTACTGGAAGAAGAAATTAGAATAATTATGTCCTCAGGAGCATATCTGGGCACAGTAAGCTAGAGCAAGAAGAAGGGATTTGAACTCTGCGTGTGGAAGAAATCTCAAAGGTTCTGCAGAACACTGACCCATATTTGGCACCCGTGGCACAAATGTATAACATTCACTGCAACCCTGAATATACAGGAAAACACTGAGTATGAATAAAACATGGTCAGTTTGTTGCAATTTATATAACTGAAACTGAGGCCTGGGCATCTATGCTGGAGAAAGAGACATCATTTCCACAAACTAGACTGGCCAAGAACTGTTCTTAACTAGGATATCTGTTTGATTTCTGCCCAGTCTGAGTCAATGTAGAGAGGAGCTTTGTTTACCTGTTTTCCAAAGAACTGAATTGTTTGAACAAGGATTCAGAATAGGAACTGGAGGCTTGGTTTCTGCTATTCCCTGAATCGAAGCTATGAAAAGAGAACAATGCAGCACAGGGCAAGTGCATTAAGGTTTTCTCCTTTTGAAACCCAGAGTTCCTCCACCCAGCTCTTCTCCCTCCAACACCACTTTCCTCTTGTAGATAAAATGGGCCTGATCCAGGTTTAGAGGAAGCCTGCCACTGAATATCAAGTTGCTGTGGAGCAACAATAGACCAGGATCCCACTTTCATATCTTGTTTTTGAATAAGGATGGAGAAGAAAAATGCATTTTCTTTTTTTCCCTCCATTTTGGAGCTGATTTGTATTTTTATTTTTGGAGAGCAGCATCACAAAATATGGGAAGTGTGCAAATTTCAAAGGATCGTTCTAGCCCCCTCTGCACTATACATTTAAAATGTATACCACTTTAAACAGTCATGGCTGTTTGGGAACTGACTGGGAACTGTAGCTTTTAAGGGAACTGAGAATCATTAGGAAACTCCCATCAATTTAATGCATTATGTTGCGGAAATGGCTAGCAAAAATATGTATATTATGCAAAATAGTATTCTAAATTATGTGTGTTGGGAGGAAGCGGCATGAAAATGTTATGTGAAGACATAAAAAAGGCAAAGGATTAGAAAAACTAAAAACTGAGAAAAAGCACGATTGACAGATTATCTGGTTCTGCTTGTGAGCTTTGCAGAGGCATCTGAGTAGCAACTATGGGCAATGTGAAGTAGATGAACCTTTGGTTTGATCCAGCAGAGCTCTCATGATTTGGCATCATGTGCTATATGTCCTATACCTTGCATGTTCCGGCCCTGATTTGGCTCAGTACCTGTCTTTCTAATATGGAATGGGGTGGTTACTGAACTACAGTTACCATTATCCTTGACCATGCTGGATGGGGCTGATGGGAGTTGTATTCCAGCAACATGTAGAGGGCCACAGGTTAGCAACCCCTGCTTTAATGGAGAGCTTGGTATAAGCAGTTTAGTAAGACTTGTTTCACACATTTCACAACAAACCCACATGTCAAGATCCCAGACTCCAGGGAGATGTTTCTTGAGTTACAGGTATTTGTGAGCGATGGGCCTCCTTCTCCCTGGTGGTTCTACAAGGGGCAATGAGGAAACTGACAGCTAATGGGCCATCCTCTGGGGCAATTGAGTTAAGGACACACTTGCTTATTTCTTAGGCTATTTTGGTTTTCACCACTTGCTATTCGTGTTAGAAACAGATATACAACCTAGGTGCCAAATGGCTCCTTAAACCAAGGTTACAGTTGCCATATTGGACTGTCTAGTTGCCATTTTGGGGCAAGACAGCTCTAAAGTATTATTTTTCAAATGATGGACTGGTTGTGATTGATCAGTTAAACATTTGGTTAGTTTAGCTGACAACCATGAACTAGGTTAAGAACACTTTTCTTTTAAGTCACTTTATCCAGGGACATATATATTGGCCTATTCCGGCCTCTTTTTCTTAGTGGTGACACAGACCATTCATAATGTAGGGATAGTCTTCACAAGTATGAGCAGGGCAGTGGGGTGGCATAAGTGAAGAACAGCGACAATCATTAAATATAACATTGTTCACTGCTCTTGCTCAGGCTGCACAGAATAAGCATTTGGGTTCCTAGAATTCATTCTGATTGTGAAGATAAAATATAACTGAATTCTACAGGATGTGGTTTTAGTGTGTGAAAACAGTCAAGATCCCAGGATCCCCAGGCATGCACCTCCAGGTAGTGGAGACGTCAGGTACCATCCTGGAATCTAGACACCTTCACTTGGTCGCAAGTGGCTGATAGCCAGGTGCAAAATGCACCTGCCGCTTGGCTAATTTCGAACATTGCTTGCTATAGTAATGCAGATTACACTAACCTTGTGCTAGAAGAAGCATTCACCACCCTTGTCTCACTTCGTGGGGATCCTGAAGTGCTTATTCTTTCCCCATTGGTGCTGCTGGCAAAACAGAGAAGGCCTAGTGGTTAGTCCATGGCATTATTGTCTTCAGTACACCAGACCCTCCAAGTCTCCCTATTTTCCAGGAATGTCCCTAATTTAGAGAAGCCATCCCAGTTTCTGATTTGATCCTGGAATGTCCCACTTTTCCTTAGGATATCCCTATTTTCATTAGAGAAATGTTGGAGGGTATGGAGTCTTCCGACCCCTGAGCCGTCTGAAGGCAATCCTATATAGGGAAGTTTTTTAAAAAAATGTTTAAAGTTTCATTATGTTTTTATATATGTTGGAAGCTGCCCAGAGTGGCTGGGGCAACCCAGTAAGATGTGTGGGGTATAAATAGTAAAATTATCCTTATGGAATTGGACGTCCCTATTTTCATCAGAGAAATATTGGAGGGTATGGTAGATGCTCAAAGTAGCCAATTCTATAGTAGCCAATTGCAGTTTGTCTTTGGAATGGTTTCTACCATTAATATCAGGGTGTAAATTAGGGATGGGTAATCAGCCCAAGGGCCGCATCCCTTCATGGGTAACCTTCTGGGGGCCACATGCCAGTGGTAGGCAGGGGGCCAGATGCAGAAGTGGAAAGAATAATGGATGTGACGCTTACTTTTCTACAGTACATTTCTGACAAGTAAAAGACAGAAATTACTAAACAACACACACAGCATCTCTCCACCTTCCTTCCGTGAAGGTTAGGAGCCTTATGACAATTCAAGGATCCATGTCAGTCAGGTGAAAGTATTCAAGGAGGGTGTGGCCTCTGAGAGGAGGTGTGGCCTACCAAGAGTTCCATGGGCTAGATTGCAACACCTTAGGGTTTCATTTAGTTTTCATGGCTTGGGGTTCCCACCCCTGGTTTAAATAATAAAATCCAGCTCAGCAGCAGGTATTTGGAAAAATCCAGAATCGGGCAACATTGTATAATTCAAGCTGGACTTTTTCCACATTTTGCTCTAACAAATGCAGGTCTTTTGTTTCTTTTTCTGTTTCGGAAGCTGCAACAAAGCTACTTGCTTCCTCACAAAACTATGCCATCATTTCCTAAGCTATTTTTTTATTGTTTAAAATACACGTCTAGCACTGCAGCACATAAACTCTATGAAAAGGAAAGGAAAAAAGAAAGGCGGGGGAGTTGCAGGCAGGCAGGCAGGGAAGAATTGGTGAAGGGTCAGGACAGCAGGTAAGGAAGGAAGGAAGGTGGCTGCCAGATACAGATGTCCTGATTAGGGATGGGAGAGAAATTTGATTAAATTCTCATTTAAATGTGAACTTGCTTAATTCGCATATGCCAAAATAGTACATGAACCAAAACACAGCCATCTTTCGAAACTCGCACTTCTCCATGCAGCTCTCCTGCTATGGAAATGTGTGCAACAATCCATATGCTAGGGTAAAGTGTCCATAAAAATGCATATATTAGTGCAAATAACATAAGCAATGTATTATTTATGGAGAAATTGCTTTACAAAATTGTGTACATTACACAAGATTGCATTCAAATATTTGTGCATTGGAAGAAGTTCACACTAAAATGCTGATGAATTTTCATGGTGGCTTTCTGATGTGGAAAGGGGAACTGAAGATTAGAAAACTGAAACTGAGAGAAGCCGAGATTTACAGATTTGCCCATCCCCTAGTCATGGTGAGAGATATCAGAGTCTAGCCATAAGGCAATAGGGGCCACTATCCAGAGATGCAATTGGGGGACTGTTTTCTCCCACACCAAATGGTGGGCATGCAGAGACATCTAAAGTGAGAATCACTTTCATATTGACCAAAGGGTCTTACCTCTTCCCACGGCGGCTGAACCATCCTGAAGCAGGCACTGTCTGACTTCTGGAGCGTGGGCCTGTGTCATCCTCTAGATCAATCCTATCAGGAAGACAAAAAGCCCCAAGTATAAGTTGCATTGTCCCTCTCTTTGCACACACTTCATTTTTAGGTTGTGAGGTGTGCCACGTATTTGACAGAGCTCTTATGTTCTCCTACCACCCACCCCAATTTGGTGTGTTTGTTTTTGAAAAGCAATTTCATTGGGGACATCAAAAAAATGGAGCAAAGCAGCACAAAGGCACAATTCCACCCGGCCTTGGAGACTACTCAATTTATTATAGCATAAGTTTTTCTGGGCTGGCATCTGAGAAAGTGGACTCCACTCCAGAGAAGCTTGTGCCATATAATACATTGGATAGTCAATAAGGTCCTGTAAGACTCTTTGTTGTCCATCCTCATCCGGACCATTGAACCAGTAGGGAGACAACAAGGGGCCTAACTCACCTCTTGGCCACGAAGGATGGTGGCTCTTGCGTTGGACTTCTAAAAACACACAAGTATTAAAACCCATCAGTAGGGTGAGTTGAGGTCACCATAACTTTCAAAAGCTCAACTGCTCATGTGTTTTTATTCATCGTTTTGTGAATAAAAGTGATAGGTGGCAATGCCACCACCACTTTCCTTACAAAAACACACCTCTGCCTGCTCCCTCATCCCATGCTGTTAGTACACAACCTTCAGTCAACCTTTCCTCTTCTTCTGCCCAACCCCCTCAAAGGAATCCTTGAAACCTTGTTTGTTGTTTTCCTCCCATAACTCCTGTGTAAAATCTAAAGTACAGGTGAGGAACCTATGGCCCTCCAGTTTGTTGTTGAATACCAACTCCTGCCAAGCCAAGCCAATATTGAGGGATGCAGGGGGTTGTAGTCCAATAACTACAACTGGAGAGCCATGAATGCCACTGTTAAATATAGTGCTATGAAGAGTAAAAGGTAAAGGGACCTCTGACTGTTAGGTCCAGTCATGGCTGACTCTGGAGTTGCGACGCTCATCTCACTTTATTGGCCGAGGGAGCCGGTATACAGCTTTTGGGTCATGTGGCCAGCATGACTAAGCCGCTTCTGGCAAACCAGAGCAGCACACGGAAACACCGTTTACCTTCCCGCCGGAATGGTACCTATTTATCTACTTGCACTTTGATGTGCTTTGAACTACTAGGTTGGCAGGAGCTGGGACCGAGCAACCCCATCACAGGGATTCAAACCGCCGACCTTCTGATCAGCAAGTCCTAGGCTCTGTGGTTTAACCCACAGTGCCACCTGTGTCCCACTATGAAGAGTACAACCTGACAAAATGTGTATGTACCGTATTTTTTGCTCTATAAGACTCACTTTTTCCCTCCTAAAAAGCAAGGAGAAATGTGTGTGCGTCTTATGGAGCGAATGCAGGCTGCACAGCTATCCCAGAAGCCAGAACAGCAAGAGGGATTGTTGCTTTCACTGCACAGCAATCCCTCTTGCTGTTCTGGCTTCTGAGATTCAGAATATTTTTTTTCTTGTTTTCCTCCTCCAAAAACTAGGTGCGTCTTGTGGTCTGGTGCGTCTTATAGAGCAAAAAATACGGTATGTGTTTGGTAGGGGTGGAGAGACTGGTCTATTTCCAATCCATGCCAATTTCTGGTCTATTTCCAATCCATGCCAATTTCAAATGAGTTAATTCAAAAATCCTGTCATAATTCTGCTGGCCTGTTTCAGGTTGTTACACCTTCAAATGTCACTAAGAACTGTTCTTTTGTTTCTCTTGTTAATAAATCCCCTTCCCTCCGCTCAAACTCACCCATTGCTTTTCTTAGCAGCTGAAAGGACATAGGAGCGCTCCCTGCTGGCTGTTCTCCTAAGCACGCTGCTCGCAGCTTCAGTCCTGTGAGGGGAAGAGAGAAAGGAAGTAGGACATGCCAGTTTCTACATCTGTAAAGTTTAATCACAGAATATACAGAACTGTATAGACTACTCTCATTAGGTTTGGTATCTTACACATTGCCAAAAGAGATGAAATACGTCACCACAAATATAGGACTAAAGAAAGATGACACAGGCCTGTATGAAATTTGCATATACTGATTTATATTTATAGATACATATTTGGAAATAATCACTGTGGCCAAGACTGACTAGGTGACTTGTATGCTTGCTCTCTCTGCTGCCTTGTTGGTGGGCAACAGCTGCTCCCTGTTGGTGGGCAACTTCAAAGCCCCTTCTCTCCTTTCTTAGGGTCCCTTACCTCTAAATCAGACTTGGACTGGACAGTCTTTCAAGGACTGTCCTCTGTGGTCTCATATGGCCACCTTGTACTGTTTGCTTCAGACTGCAGATGAAGGCTCTCTTGACTGAAAGCTCCACACAAATCAACAAATCCTTGAGCACAGAAAACTTGCTGGTTTTCTGTGCAGATGGAACTTTTCATATGAAGTAGCATTTAATCATGTGAGCCCACAGCTGCAGTTGGAAGAAGTGCAGTCAGACACACGAGAACCTGGTCTAACAGAGCAATCCAATCTATATGAACTGTTGCTAGGTTGCTGGTTCATGTGACTGAGCTGAAAGATGTTTGGAATTAGTGCAATTATCTCCCTCTCTCCCGCCACCCCCTTGGAATGCCCCTTTCATGGGAGGGGGCTATGCCTACTTAAGCTACCCTGGCATTGCAGCAGCTCAGCCTGGGTGGGAGATTTATGCCAACATAGCCCTGGCTAACCTTGCCAACAAAGGTCCATATAGTTAAAGCTATGGTTTTCCCAGTAGTGATGTATGGAAGTGAGAGCTGGACCATAAAGAAAGCTGATCGCCGAAGAATAGATGCTTTTGAAATATGGTGCTGGAGGAGACTCTTGAGAGTCCCATGGACTGCAAGAAGATCAAACCTATTCATTCTTAAGGAAATCAGCCCTGAGTGCTCACTGGAAGGACAGATCCTGAAGCTGAGGCTCCAATACTTTGGCCACCTCATGAGAAGAGAAGACTCCCTGGAAAAGACCCTGATGTTGGGAAAGATGGAGGGCACAAGGAGAAGGGGACGACAGAGGACAAGATGGTTGGACAGTGTTCTCAAAGCTACCAACATGAGTTTGACCAAACTGTGGGAGGCAGAAGTGCCTAGCGTGCTCTGGTCCATGGGGTCACGAAGAGTCGGACACGACTAAACGACTAAACAACAACAAAGCCCTGGCTCGGCTGGGGCAGCCCAAAACCCGCTGGATCCAAAGCTCCCCATTCTGGTGAGTCTGGGATTTGGATTGTACCGTAAATCCCCCATGCACAGCTGTACAAGAGCTCATTCTTGATGGTGCTCTCTCAGCTCCAGGGACTGAACTCTATTGCTTTCAAACATAACCCTCAATGTGCAGTCTGCTGCAGTTGTGATGAGGTACCTCTTTTGTTGCTCATCTGGGGAAACGGAAGGCTCCACGTCACCTGGTTCGGATAGCTCTCGTTTGATGTTATAAGGAGCCCTGGATCATGTATAAGAAAGAAGAGGTGGATTGTTATTATTTTCAGCAAACAGCCACAGAAGGAAGCTGTGCTTCAGCCTCACCTCTCTACAACAGCCCCAACCACAGTGAAAGACAGCAAAGTACACTTTGGATTCTCTAAAGCCTGCCAATACCTCCCTCTTGTGGCTACATAAGGATCCACATGCCCCTCTGAACTTTGGGAATGGGAGGGAATGATCTGGACTGTGAGATCATAGGATGTAGGGAAAGCATGTGAGATAACCAGCCTCATCTAACTGACATGCTTAAGTTTAATTAATGCATGAAGGGCTGGCCCAAGACATGGTACCTTCCTCCCCACCAGGGATGTTCTACATCAGGAACAAGGGTGGAATAAAGACCTACACTGAGATCTCCTGCCCTGTGGATCCTGCCACCTGGGGCAGTTGCCTCACCTTGCTTCATGGGTGGGCCGGCCTTGCTGCCTGTGCAACTTTCATGACCGATGTGTGGAAAAGCACATGAACCAGACCTTTGGAGAGTTTGTAAGGAAACCATTTGTAACTTACTTAACATGTGGTCTTCTCCTATGCTGGGGAAAGAGGGGACTGTTTTGGAACTCACTTGGAAAGACATATTTTAAAGGTCTAAATGGCCTATATTTCCACCCTTTGCTTTACTGCATATTTTGTGATTTTAAATCTCTGCTGGGATTTTCTCAACAAAGAGTACTTTCTCCTGAACCAATAAAGTGAAAGAAGGAGCATAGAGCTTGCTGGAAAGGCAAGGAGGTGATGGTGGTTAGTGAGAGCTGAAGAACAACCAGAGAGAGAAGAGAAAGGAAAAAAGGAGGGAGCAAAGCAACAAAACTGAGCATTGGGAAGATGAAAGATGGAGAGAGAGCGACTGAAACTAAAAGGCGCTTTGTGTCACAGGGTGTCTGACTGCTGTCCAATACTGACAGATAACTGCCATCATTGTTATGTAAAGTAACGGGAGTGGGGGGAATTTAGTTCATTTGTTGCCTTTGGCTTGGATTCTAGCTTCCATTCAGTGAATGGAGCATAGCTCCTGTTCCCAGAATTAGACCTCCCTGCCTCACCCTTCCATCTGCATCACCCTGCTCCTCCTGGAAATGTGATCCTGGGCTTAGGAGCTCCTTGAGAATGGCATGGTATATGGAGCAGATGGGCTGCAGGTGTAGGAGGGAGCTGAAAAGGATGTAGCTCAGTTGCAGAGCATCTGCTTTGCACACAGAAGGTCCCAGGTTCAATTCCTGGCACCTCCAGGTAGGGCTGAAACCTGGAGAACTGCTGCCAGTCAGTGTAGACAATACTAAGCCAGAGGAACCAATGGTATGGCTCTGTATGAGGCCATTTCCTATGTTACTATAAGAAATCTCCCCTGACACGAAAAGAGGAACAAAACAAAAAAGAATCCAAGTTTTTTTCTTCTTCTTGTTTTTATTTGTTAATTGTCAGGTTGTGCTGTTGTATTGTGGAAAGTGATAATGTTCAAGCAAATATGCAGTGTTTTATCTTGTGAACTGCTCTGAGATCTTGTGATGAAGGGTGGTATATGAGTCTAAATAATAATAAATGAACATTGTTCTTTTAGCAAGGTTGGGCTGGATGCATCCTTTTTATTCATGTTGCCGGATAAACACGTTTCGGTTTTTATTTTGTGCTTATTCTACGTACCTAGTTTTAAACACTGGATAAATAGTTTGATCTTTTAAAATGTGGGGCAATTCACTTTGAGGCTTTTTTTGTAAAAATAACACACACAAAACCCAGCATCAATCAGAATGTGTCTTCCTTGCCTGTGATTGAGTTCTGTTGAGCATTACATATGATGTGCCTGCCCGGACCAAGATGGGGTTTCTTAGAGGAGGGGAGCAAATCCCCTCTGGGTATACTCACAGTTTCTTGTACTCCTCAGTACTCATCTTGTGCCCTTGACTGAAGCGGGGCAGGCTGGCGCTCTTGGCACTGAAAGCAGAACACGCCCAGAGATAATCAGTGGTTTGAACAAACAGAAGTGATGTGTCTGCAGGGTTATATCCTCATAATATAACGGTGAGTGTGCAGAAGTTGCAGTGTCAAAGGTCTGAGGTTTTGTATCCACAGATGTCCCAGCCTCTTAGCCACCCCACTTTTCTAAATGTCCAGCTTTCTTTCTTTTAAGTAAGCTTCAAGATTTTTACTTGATACAGGATAAAGTGAGCAGCAAGACTATCCAGTTACACTCTTGGACACAGTACAATTTAATAATTTTGGGATTATACACACTTACCAGGGAGTAAGCCCCATTGAACCTTCCTGCATTGCAGGGGGTTGGACTAGATCAGTAGTTCCCAAGCTTTTTTTGGCCATGCCCCACCTAATCATCTCTAAAATCCTGGAACTGCCCCCGCCCCCCTGGACATATAATTCTTATTATTTTGTTGAATTTTCAATATTTTGTTGGAAGACCCCCCAGGGTGGCTGGGGAAACCCAGCCAGATGGGCAGGGTATAAATAACAAAGTTATTATTATTATTATTATTATTATTATTATTCAAAAAGTGAACTCCTATTCACATGGTAAAGGTAAAGGTAAAAGTAAAGGGACCCCTGACCAATAGGTCCAGTCGTGACCGACTCTGGGGTTGCAGCGCTCATCTTGCTTTATTGGCCGAGGGAGGCAGTGTACAGCTTCTGGGTCATGTGGCCAGCATGACTAAGCCGCTTCTGGCGAACCAGAGCAGCGCATGGAAACACCGTTTACCTTCTCGCCGGAGCAGTACCTATTTATCTACTTGCACTTTGACATTCTTTCGAACTGCTAGGTTGACAGGAGCAGGGACCGAGCAACGGGAGCTCATTCCGTCGCGGGGATTCGAACCGCCGACCTTCTGACCATCAAGTCCTAGGCTCTGTGGTTTAACCCACAGCGCCACCCGCGTGCCCAGATGTGGAGGAAGCCTAAAAGGCCATTAACTTGGTCTAACTCATTCTCGAATTGCCCCCCCTAAAAAATCAAATTGCCCCCCTGTGGGGAGGGTGCCCCACGTTGGGAACCATGGGACTAGAAGGTCCATGGAATCCCTTCCAACTTTATGATTCTACCATTCTATCATAACTACTTCTGAGTAGGCACTGTTTTTTAGACAAATGTGAGCTACCTGTATTTATATTCTGATGGTTCTGCAATGATTGCCCATCCTTAAACCACCCCCCCCTTATTTCTGGCAAGGGGTGTGCTTGAATTGTATGGATTTGACTTCATTGACAAAGCCATGTGTCTGTCCCAAGATCAGGGATTAATCAAACACACCTCTTTTGTGAGCCATTGGATGCTGTGTTCAAAGGAGTAGTCTTATCAATGGTCTTGGTGAAAACCCCTCTAAAAGAGAGACAGAGAGAGAAAAGATATAAGTAACTTCCAAGATCACGCAGCACATTACAAGCTTGGTGGATCTGGGAATGCTGTGAACTTTGTGTATCTTGATCTACATAAGGACATAGTGTAACTTGATTTCAAAGTCCCCCATGATATTCTTGCAGAGAATCTGGTAAAATGTGGGCTGGGCAATGTTAGGTGGATTTGTACCAGTTTGAAACTATACCAGACTCTCCTTAGCTTTGCAAATGTGCTGGCAATTTTATTGCTGCACCACCAGGAGAACACACTTAAGCAGGAATCACCAGCTGCACAAATATAAGATGGGGGACACTTGGCATGCCAGTAGTACATGTGAAAAGGATTTAGGGGTCTTAGCAGACCACAAGCTTCATATGAGTCAACAGTGTTATACGGCAGCAAAAAAACAGCTAATGCTATTCTAGACTGCATCAACAGAAGTCTAGTGTCCTTATTAAGAGACATAATACAGTGGTGCCTCACAAGACGAAATTAATCCGTTCCACGAGTCTCTTCGTCTTGCGGTTTTTTCGTCTTGCGAAGCACGGCTATTAGCTGCTTAGCGGCTTAGCAGCTATTAGCGGCTTAGCGGCTATTAACGGCTTAGCGGCTTAGCGGCTATTAACAGCTTAGCGGCTTTAAGAAAAAGGAAACAAACTCGCAAGAACTCGCAAGACGTTTCATCTTGCGAAGCAAGCCCATAGGGAAATTCGTCTTGCGGAACGACTCAAAAAACGGAAAACTCTTTCGTCTTGCGCGTTTTTCGTCTTGCGAGGCATTCGTCTTGCGAGGTACCACTGTAGTACCGTTGTATTCTGCCTTGGTCAAGGGTCTGGAAAGCAAACCTTAAGAGGAATGGTTGAAGGAGTTGAGTATATTTAGCCTGGATAAGAGGAGACTGAGGAGAGATATGATAGCCATATTCAAATATCTAAAGGACTGTCCTGCAGAAGATGGAACAAGCTTGTTTTCTGTTGCTCATACCATACCATACCAGGACCCATACCAATGGATTCAAGTTACAAGAAAGGAATTTCTGATTAAATATCAGGAATAACTTTCTGACATTAAGAGCTGTTTGTGGGTGGATTTGACTTTTTTGGTGGTGGACTCTCCTTCATTCTATGATTCTATATCCAAAGCAAAATGCTTTCCTTCTTTCCAGTCCCATCTCTCTCACCTGATGAGGTACCCAGAAGGTGATGTGGCACTGGGAGATCTAGGTAGAGAACAGAAATACATTATGGGCAAAAGGAGAAAAATATGCAGAGACAAACACTTAAGGTTTTATCCAGACTATTGGCATTGACATTTCCATAGAGAAGTACTGCAGTTGTGGGGAAACTACATTTGCCCCAGTGGTCAACAAGTTGTTGGGGAAATGTGTGTTTTGTTTTTTAAAAGCATTGGAAGAATCATTGGAAGAACTACATCCATCCTGTACAATTTATTTTTTACCTGAGAAAGGAAGGAACTACTGAGTTTGGGGCTGGGGAGGATACAAAAGGATGGTAGATATTGGCTGGGGAGAAGCTGCAAATTCTTCTCCAGCTCAGTTTTTAATCGAAGCCAGAGAAGAATTGCAGGGTTTTTAAAAGTTCCTCTCTCATTGTAAGGTGGGATTTACAACTGCTTGATGTTCATTTCCTAGCCTGGTTCAGGAGAACTTTGATATCTAGTTTTTACAGAGAAGTACAGTAAACACATACACAATCTGAAATTCACAGACTACAACCTGCAATGCCAAACTTTATCTAAGGTAACCATACACCTCTCCCCCATTAAGTGCTGTACTTTTTGCAGTAAAAGGGAGTCACTAACTTTTTGGCATAACTTTTTGGAGACTGTGGTTCTGCTTGGGAAGGTGGTTCAGCAAAGGCTAATCTGGAAGAACAGAAGAGAAATATTACCAGATGACAAAAGACAACACCATAGCAGGATAAACCATCACAAATTCATGATGGAATTTGAGTCCTATTGCATTTGGCTAAGGAAGAGCTTACTGTCACTTGACTTTTATGTAGACTGATGTTTGCCTAGTAGCCTTTGAAGGTAGCTGAGCAGTTGAGGCAACTGCCATGATAAGAAGTATATAAATTAAGGAAACTGTCTTATACCGTATTGAGTCAGATTCTTGACCCATCTAACCAAATATTATATTCTCAGACTGGCAACAGCTTCCCAGAATATCATGCAGAGGCATCCTTCCAGCTCTGCAATGTGGGTTCCTTTTAACTGACAAATGAACCTGGGACCTTATGCAGCCAAAAGAAGAGTGCTTATGTCCTGCACGAGAGCTTTCCATGAGCATCTGGTTGGCCACTGTGAAAACAAAACTAGATGGGCCTTTTGTTTGATCTAGCTTGGCTGTTCTTATGTGCTCTAACACTGAGAAAGGTCTACCATTCCTGTATGGGGAAGCAAAGTATATTTTTGGGTATATTTTGTTATTTTAAAAAAATCAATTCCTCTTAAATAAACATCAAGCTGTATAAAAGTCTATTATGTAATTAGCAATAATAATAATAATAATAATAATAATAATAATAATAATAATTTATTATTTATACCCCGCCCATCTGGCTGGGCTTCCCCAGCCACTCTGGGCGGCTTCCCAAAAAAATAATAAAATACTGTACTACATCAAACATTAAAAGCCTCCCTAAACAGGGCCACCTTCAGATGTCTTCTAAAAGTTTGGTAGTTGTTGTTCTCTTTGACATCTGGAGGGAGGGCATTCCACAGGGAGGGTGCCACTACTGAGAAGGCCCTCTGCCTGGTTCCCTGTAACTTGGCTTCTCGCAGTGAGGGAACCGCCAGAAGGCCCTCGGTGCATATACATTGATTTTTCTCTAGTGGAGGCTGGTCCACTAGGACAAATGTGGCACTGCTGCATCTCAAAATGTTCTAAGTCCAGAATGCATCTCAAACCCTACAAAGCCCACACAGAATCGCCAGTGGATAGATCCCAAAGGAAGCAAGATGTGTGAAGGCGGTTCATCAAAGGCACCTGCGAGTCGGTGACAAACTCTTCGGTGAGGCAGGAGATTTCCCAGTGGTGCCCCTGGTCCTCAATGGTGAATGCCTGTTGGACGGGAGAGGGGAAAAGAGAGGCAAAAGTGAGAAATCAGTGTGGTGGAAGCAGCCCTGGTGAAACAGGCTTTCCAGCTCTTTCAGTTATTATTATCAATATTTAAATCAATATATCAATATTGATCTCATTATATCAATATTTATTCATTACACACCCTTCGCCATAAAATCTGGAGAACCAAAACACAACCATCCTTTGAAATTTGCAGTTGTCCGAATGTTGAGATGCTATTCTCCAAGCAGGAGAATCATAATATACAAAAATTCACCATGTTACAGGAAGTCTTCTGCAAAATGTGTATATTGGTCAAAACTGCTTGTACAAAAATGTACTTATCTGGAGAAATTTACACTAAAATGCTGAAGAATTTTCATGATTTTTTTTTCTAATTAAAAAGATTCTAAATTGTTGCAAAATTTGGAGAGTGGAAAACTAAGAAAATGAGAGAACAGATTCCTCCAGCCCGAGACAATTGATAGATGGGCACTTCTCCCCACCTGGCAAAACTGACTTACAAGGGTGAGGGGGTTCTGCCTTGTCAGTATATTCCCCACAGAGAATGCACTGGCAAAGCAGCACCCTTCAGGATTGAACTCCGTGTTCACCAGCTGGTGAAGTGGGGATTCAATCCTTTTGTCTGCAGGGGTCTGCTTTGTCAGTGTATTCCCTGCACGGACACCAGCTGATAGACAGGCAGATGTAGTTTGGGAGAAATGGCTTTGCAGGACAACTTGTAACCTGGCTGGGCGATTGGCTCAGGGGCCGAAGGTTCCACCCTCTCCTGTGCTAGGACAAACATAAAACCTCAGACATACACTTGCTTACATATGAGATAGCTGACAAAGAATCTAAAATCCTAGTTGTTCCCTCTTTACAGGCTGCACCTTCAGAGGAAAGTGAATAAATGGATCTTTGGTGCTCTGGATCTTCAATTGCATGCCAATGTCTCTCAGTGCTCTGGCAGACACCAGCTGCTCGTCAACTGCCTTTTTAAAAAAAATACAAGGCTCTTCATATTCAATAGCACTGCACACAATGCAAAATCTGAAGTCTGATCCCTTGTGAACTTTTCTCTGAGAAATTGGGTGATGATTGAGATATTATCTTTTGGCAGCATTGGAAAGAGGACTGGGCAGATGGAGCAGCAATCTTGCAGGCAAGGCAGGTGAATGCCTCTACTCACAATGGGCTGTGGTTCTGCTCCTCCTCAGGGTCCGATCTCTGCTGAATCCAGCTCTTATCCCCTTTCAGTGTTGTTCGCACTTTCATCTGGGTGATGATCCTCTTTCGATCCTCATCGCTAGGTAGAATGACGCCATCTAATGAATGCACAAAGTGTTAGCTAAGTCACTTGCATAATGCAGACACTTGCCCTTCTTCTGATTGGAAATGTTCTGTTGCAGGGGACAAAAAATGCCGGGGGGGGGCAGTGAGAAATGTCCCTATTTTCATCTGAAGAATGTTGGAGGGTATGCAGCTTAAAAAAGAGACACGGGTGGTGGTGTGGGTTAAACTACAGAGCCTAGGACTTGCCGATCAGAAGGTCGGCGGTTCAAATCCCCCAATGGGGTGAGCTCCCGTTCTCAGTCCCAGCTCCTGCCAACCTAGCAGTTTGAAAGCACGTCAAAGTGCAAGTAGATAAATAGGTACCGCTCTGGCGGGAAGGTAAATGGCGTTTCCGTGTGCTGCTCTGGTTCACCAGAAGCGGCTTAGTCATGCTGACCACATGACCCAGAAGCTGTACGCCGGCTCCCTCAGCCAATAAAGCAAGATGAGCGCCGCAACCCCAGAGTCGGTCACGACTGGACCTGCATACCTTTACTATGCAGCTTAAAAGTAGAGCCCTGCAGAATGAGCTGCAAACTTCTAAACCCTTGGGAATGAGTAAGAATTACTCAGCAGTTCATTACCTTTCACAACGCCGAGGGACAGCATGGTTTGTGTTTCCTCCTTCCTCAATATTCAGAGTTTTGTACTAGCAGGTATAACTGGGAAGGGAAGAATGAAATCCAGGTTATTAATGAGACTGGACGAGTGGAAGTACTACAGGCATTGCTGAACTTTCTACAAAATGGACTCTATTTTTTATGATTCTTCCAACAGTTGCATTACTTACTGCAGGGGTGAGGAACATTTTTTCAGCCAGAGGGCCACATTCCATCCTGGAAAACATTCCAGGGGCCACTTGCTGCTGGTGGACAGGGCCAGATGCATAAGGGGGTGAGGCAATGAATGCAAATGTTATCTTTGCATGTGAGCTCATGTGAGCTTTTTGTAAACAGACTTAAATTGTAAAACACATGGGCACCTTTAGGCTTTTCGTGTAGTCCAACATCCTGAGGGATACAACCCCCCCACCCAATAAATGTTGTTTTGTAAATCCAAATGTTGTTTTGTAAATCCAAATGTTGTTTTGTAAATCCACCTTGGGTTTACAGAAATATGGGCACAGAGAAAAAGAACTTGGAGCTCTTGTGTTTAAAGAAATTATTAGCCCTAATGGTTAAAGAAACCTCAGTGTTCAGTGTCCCCTTCCTGATTGTTGTTATCTTGAAGGTGGAGTCCAGTTGCATACCAGCAAGTTCTGGTTGCACAATGAATGTGGTTTTGGTCCTTATGTTCAGTAAACCTGCTTCAAAATAAGTAAACAGGCCATTTAGAAGCAACCAATGGCAATGTTTCACTGGATACCAGTTGTTGGAGAACAATGGCTGGAGAAGCAATTTCATTCCTAGCCTGCTTACGGGGTTGGATGATATAGAGCTCTGTAACAGAGTACAGACTTTGCATGAAGAATTTCTCAAGTTCAGTCCCTGGCATCACTAGTTAAAAGGCTCACATAGGTAGCAAAGACCCTAGAGAACTACAACCAATAGATATCACAGTAGATAATACTGAGCTAGACAGATGAACAGATAGGCCCATTTGCTATCAGGCAGCTTCTTGTGTTACAGTCTTTTCAGAAGTACCTCTTTGGCCACTGTAGAGAAACAGGATGCTGAACTAGATGGATGTTTCTTTAAGCATTCTTATCTCAAGGTACAAGACAGGAAACATATAAATGTCAGGAAATGTACCATAAACTAAGGAAGTTGTTGCTTGGGTTCTACAGAAATCGATTACATTAACATTGCAGTACAAAAAAACAACAATGTATGAGAAATAAAAGAAGCAATAAAAATGCAATTAACAACAAATCCACGTTGTAGACCACCCTGAATGAACACATCCACTGGCAGTCGACATATGGAAACCCCTGTCTCACTCAATTAATTGCAGTGTGTGTGTGTGTGTGTGTGTGTGTGTGTGTGTGTGTGTGTGTTCCTAAGGTTTATGAGCTGTCAGCAAGATTCTACAATATCGAGTTCTACTGCTGGCTGTGCAGGTCTCTTGTCTTGATAGATCAAGAGTTGGTAGAGCTGCCTAGAAGAGTGTCTCTAAGGAGAGAGAATATCTAGGTGGGTTGCTGAGATCAGCATGCATTCTCCCTGCAGCTGAGCTGCTTGTGTTCCAAAATCCAGAGTGGGGGGGGGAGTCCTCTGGGCTCCTGATTCAGCAGCTTGGGGGGGGGGGGGATTTGGCAAGTGTGTTCCAGTATTCCACTCAAAAACCTTAATATGAGCAGAGAGAGGAAGCAACGGCTTATAATGTGTGGTGTCTGTGATATGACTTTAGCGATGAGCTAAAGCTTATCCTGATTGCAGAGAGAGAAATTAAGAATCACAAATAGGCGGGTCAGGGAAGGAAGAGGGAGGAGAAGACAGCTGTAGGGAGCCGCTTTGGAAATGCTCAGCTTTCCTCATATAACAAGCAGGATGGAGAGTCTGTGATCTTCCATGTTTTGTTTGACTGCTAACTCTGTTTGCCAGCATCGGTGAGGAGGAGAGTACCTATTCAAAGAGGAAAGGAGCCCTGAAGGCAAAACATATGGCCAGCACAACCCTTGACATTTTGAACTCAGCAATTCTAAGGGGATGTAGATTCAGTGACATCCTGGACACAGCTGTGGGAAGTAGGAGAAAAGAGGAGGAGGAGAGTTTTGATCATCATAGTGTTGACCAGTTACAAGATGGACGCACAAGACCTTGTTACTCTGGAGTGCTCTTGTTCAGGACTCAAGCCAGCCAGCCATACCCTTCCAAAGATACTCCATTCAGCTTCTAGCTCCAACCCTCTGCCCCACACACAACAGTCATTCAGCATTCCATGCCTACTGAGCACACTGTTTTCGGCCCTAGGCTGTTTTCTCGCACTTTTGCAAACCTTGGCTGCCACCCAAACCTGTTGTTACCACCCTTTTTTATGTACGTAAGGATCCGCCCTCAGAGAATGAGTTCACTGTTAGTCTATAAGATGGAAGGGACAGTGAGCCACTCCCGTTGCTTTAGGATGAAGTAAGCACTGCTACTTCCGCCCCCTGCCTAGCCACCGCTTGGCATCCCGGTCCTGTCATGCATATTTGTGCACTAGTTTGTTTCCTTACCACAATGCAATCCTAAACAGTAAATGTGTCAGCCCAGCTGTCAAGAACTGGTGTCGACAGCACTGAAAGCAGGAAATAAAAATTATTTCCCCATTACCAGAAACTTGCCTTGATTCCAAGGTGTTTGTTTTAGCCAGGGCACCAGGTTTGGACCCCACCCAGATCCCTCAAATATGCTAGTTTCCATAACAGCAAAGAACTGAAGTATCAGAGGTACTGAGACTACAGGCACACTCTCCAACATGTCACGGATGAGAAGAGAGAAATGCATGTTGACACCCCAGCAGCCATCATACCAAGGATGATTGAAAGCTACATTCATGCATTGGGGGTTCATCCCCAAACTGCTGGAGAAGTTGGAGCGCTCTGTAGAGAATATTCTGTGAAATGTACTACAAAGCCCACTCATGCAAAGCAAATTCTGTCACCAACCAGTGCCATTTTTCTAGAAGAATAGGTGCTGTAGCTCACCATGAACTTCTCTCATGTTCTCTTAGAATGGCAATGGCATCCACCTGAGACGTGCTGGAATTGAGCTCTGGTGAGTTCTGGCTGAAATAAAAGCCCTGCCACCAACAAATGGGGTGTCTATGCAAATATCAGGGACGCGGGTGGCACTGTGGGTTAAACCACAGAGCCTAGGGCTTGCCAATCAGAAGGTCGGTGGTTCGAATCCCCGTGACGGGGTGAGCTCCCATTGCTAGGTCCCAGCTCCTGCCAACATAGCAGTTCAAAAGCACGTCAAAGTGCAGGAAGATAAATAGGTACCGCTCTGGCGGGAAGGTAAATGGTGTTTCTGTGCACTGCTCTGGTTCGCCAGAAGCGGTTTAGTCATGCTGGCCACATAACCCAGAAGCTGTCTGCGGACAAACGCCGGCTCCCTCAGCCAGTAAAGCAAGATGAGCATTGCAACCCCAGAGTCGTCTGCAACTGGACTTAATGGTCAGTGGTCCCTTTACCTTTACCTATGCAAATATCTGGCTCATCTTGACTTTATAGAACCTCAGTAATGATGGAATCCACAGGGGGAGAAAACTTTTATTTTTACATATATTTTGTTATTTGTATGAGCTAATGCTTTATTATATATTTGGAACAGCTGTACTCTTGTCCCCCCCCAGGCTGTGATGCTTTATGGTCTACATTTTTTGATCCTTTGTTTTCTTTCTTTATACCTGCACATTTTTTTTTGTTAACAAATCAATAACATTTAAAAATTTAAAAAATGCAGTGACAAAGCAGGAAGGGAGGAGTGTCAATCTACAGAGAGCTGTAAGGTTTGCAGGAAACATGGACCACTTATAAACACCATCTCCAACTCAAAAGATTCCATCAACGGTGTCTCCGAAAAATTTTACACATCACTTGGGAAGACAGGCAAACTAATATTGGTGTACTGGAAGAAGCAAAGATCACCAGTGTTGAAGCAGTGATTCCTCAACATCAACTTCGTTGGACTGGACATGTATGGATGCCTGATGATCGTCTTCCAAAGCAACTACTCTATTCCGAACTTAAAAATGGAAAGCGCAATGCTGGTGGTCAACAAAAGAGGTTTAAAGACAGTCTCAAGGCAAATCTTAAAAAATGTAGTATAAACACTGACAACTGGGAAACACTGGCCTGCAAGCGCTCCAGTTGAAGAACAGCCTTTACCAAAGGTGTCATGGGCTTTGAAGACACTTGAACTCAGGATGCAAGGGAGAAATGTGCTAAGAGGAAGGCACGCTTGGCAATGTCCCCACTGTGGAAGGACGTGTGGATCCAGAATTGGCCTCCACAGTCACTTACGGACTCATTGTTAAAACCATGTGTATGGAAGACAATCTTACTCGGCTACGAGTGATCGCCAAAGGAGAAGGAGAAGGAACAGAAGTATGATAAAATTTCAGTGGATGGGGGAATCCTAAAGGGGCAACAGCTAAACAAATCCCAATGTACCTATGTTCAGTGGACATAGAATGCTAAGTGTCTCTGGGGTGGAACAGGAAAGATTCCTGTAAAGAGTGCTTGTACCTGTAACATGCTGGGAGGAAACTGTCAAGAAAGGGCAGGGCTTGCTACTGTTTCATGATTCATGGTTTGGGGAGGGGGAAATGAGCACCGGCAAAGGCTGTTTGTTGTTCCCCAAAGCCATACCTGCCAAGTGCTTCCAACCTGCCTAGTTCTGCATGAATCTGCAAAGCCAGAAATTCCAGTGCAACCTGAGTGTCTGGGATGAGCTATTCCAAGTTTAATTGAGAAAAAGAGGCAGTCTAGACCTGTTGATGAGAGAGCCTTGGCGTAGCTAGTACATACATTGTCAAGTCTCTGAAAAATTAGACGGCTGCTTTAGCGTGGGTCTGTATGAGAGACGGGACAGGATGAAAGTGCCAAGTTGCGTGGCCTCTTAGTGGTTTTATAACACAGCAGCTCAGGTAGGATGCCTCGCTTTGCAGAGGACAGCCTTCCAGTTTAGGGGTAGGGAGCCTGTGGACATCCAGATGTTTCTGGACTAGAACTCCCCCCATCATCCCTTACCACTGGTTGTGCTGGCTATGGCAGTGGAAGTTGGAGTCCAACATCTGGAAAGCTACAGGTTCCCCATCCCAATTCTAGTTGAAGGAGTCCTATTTCTGAAAGGCTGTGCAGTTTAAGCCTAGTTTAACAATACCCATAAGAAGGGAGAACAGTTTTCTTGAAGATGCCCTATCAACAGCGGCCTGGTCACAGGCTTTCCTTTTAAAGTGAACTGCATTGTACTGTTCTTTAAATTACAATAACAGGGTTGTATCCAACTAACTTTTTACTCAGAATGCACTCAGTGAAATTATTGGAATTAAGTCATGTCCTTTAATTTCAAGGGGTCTACTCTATGACTAACATTGGATACAGCTCATTGGGCCAGATTCAAGTAAACCAGTGTGCAAGGGCTCCCACTAGAATAATGGGGTTTCCTCTTTTCCACTCTCTTTGTGCCCCCAATCCACCCCCAAACTGGCTCTGGAGGGGGTCAGGAGAACACCCAGAACAGTGTGCAGGGGGAGAAAGAGAAAGAAATGTTTATACTGACAGAACGATCAGAAGAGCATGATGTTGAATCCCTCCCATTTATAATTTTGCATCTATAGTAATAAATTAACATATGCAATTCTTACGCCACTCTCTTTTTTGGCTATGCGCTTCCTGCTTTTTAGCAATGTGTACGCCCAGTTCCCAATGCTGGTGAGTCATCTGGAGCAAGAGACACCCCTGAAGACTTGCAGTTAGTATTGTTGTGAGTATGGGGGCTTAGTCTGCATGGGGTTAAAATCTAATGGATTGAATTAGCCAGGCAAGGACTGCATTACCACCTAAGTAGTGTTAACATAACAAAGACAGCTGCTCTGTGCCATAGGGTAAATGAGTGGGCTGGCAGTGAAAAAGACAATAGCTGGAGTTAGTGTGTGTTAACTGGGCAGGCAGAAGCCACAGAGAGAGTGCCATGGTTGATTTCTGCAACTCACTGCTGCCAACTGAAGACAACCAGCCATGCTCTGGGCCCCCCAACCTCTCTCAATGCCAATCAAAACTAATAATTTAATAGAAAGTGAACCTACCCACATGAGGCTGATACAAAAACCTTGCACATACACTACAGTGGTACTTTGGTTTAAGAACAGCTTACCGGTAGTTGATAAACAACTTGGATTAAGAACACTACAAACCCAGAAGTAGGTGTTTTGGTTTGTGAACTTTGCCTTGGAAGCAGAATAGGTTGAGTGTGTTCCATTTGTAAATTGAGTCCTCAGTTGCTGTGGGAAAGCATGGCTTGGTTTAAGAACGCTTTGGTTTAAGTATGGACTTCCGGAACACATTATGTTCGTAAACCAAGGTACCACTGTATTGTAAAAGAAAGAAAGTTTACTACCCCATCTCTCCCCTCCTCTCTTCTCCCCCAATTTTATACTGTAAACAACATTAATGTCTCATATCAAATATAACTGACCTGTAGAAAGGGCTTTATGATCTGAAAACAGAGATGATGTGTGTACTTTTGTAAACCAAGAAAAACCTTTAATAAAAACAATTTAAAAATAAATAAATGGGTGGCTATGGAAGAAGCAAGAATTTCAGATGTGTTAATGCTGTGAGGCCCTCCATTGTAGGTTCAGGTTGTATATATGTGTAAATAAATCATATATCCTAGCACACCATAGTCTCCGCAGTCCCTCATTCTAAGTAAACTGAACACTGGGCCTGGAACCCCTGGAATCAGAGTCTGGGGTTGCATGCAACATTATTCTTATAAGTGTGACCTACAACAAATTGTTGCAGCATGGATTGTTCCCCACTGAGGATTCCAGATGCTCCACCTAATTTTCAGGTTCCCCCAATGATCCCCATCAGCATTCCATTTATGAAGTTCAGTGTCAGCTCTGGCCTTCTCATTTTGCAGCACCCCGCTAGAGAGTGGGCTTTGAGCTCTGCGAAGCTGAAAGTTTCTAAGGGTAGGAGGTTATCTCTGGAGTTCTGACACAGGGAACAGTGAGTGGATCTGTTCTTCGTAAGAGTGTCAAGCTGTCTTCCTCAACCTTTGCTGAACTTGAATATTTGTAAGTGAACTCAAGCATCACAGAAATGTCATAAATCTCCAATGCTCTCTCCTCCAAAAACTCACCAATCCCAAGTAGCCAATCCACCTTCAGACATAAGTTGACATATAACCTTGCTGGCTTTATTTGTATATGATTGATATTTGTTGTATATTGTTTTTACATGCACCACTTTGGAATTCTATTATTATTATTAAGCAGTTTATAGATACTTATAAACACAACAAATAAAAATGTAACTTCTGGATATGCTGAGGAAGAAGCTGAACCAAGGCAACGATGCTAGCAACTCACACAAATAAAATTTTAACAAGGCATCCCTGAAACCCAAAAATAAAGGCAGAAGGTTATTTTCAATGTTGCTCGTACTCAAAGTAGCCCCATTGAAATCAACAGGAATGACTAGCTGAGGTGCATTAATTTCAGTGGGCTTAGCTGGATACAACCCTGAGTAGTTTACCAAAGGAAAAAAGTAAAGGACCCTTGGATGGTTAAGTCCAGTCAAAGGCGACTATGGGGTGCGGTGCTCATCTCACGTGGAGTCAGAAGATACTTAGGAAGCTGCCTTACGCTGAATTAATCCATTAGCTCAGCCTGTTCAGTATAGCCTCTACACTGACTCTCCAGGGACTCAGGCAAGGGTCTTTCCCAGTGCTTTCCCATGTTGTGGACTGAGCCTCCAACATCTCTCAGATGAAAATAGGAACAATCTATTCTACATCAGGAAGCTTCTCCCACATTCGATCTCACCGCACATGTAGATGTCATATACCCATATACATCTGTCACCTTGAGCCAATTACTATCTCTCTGCCTCACCTGTCTCACAGGATTGTTGTAAAGAAAAAATGTGAGAGGGAAGGGATTGTATAGGACACCTTCTACAGATAAATGGAATGAAATAAAATTTTAGCTATATGCTGCCTTGAGTCTCTCTCAGGGAAAAAGGTGAAGAAGAAGAAGAAGAAGAAGAAGAAGAAGAAGAAGAAGGAGGAGGAGGAGGAGGAGGAGGAGGAGGAGGAGGAGGATCAGGAATATACCAGAGAGTAAAAAGGTAAAGGTAAAGGGACCCCTGACCATTAGGTCCAGTCGTGGCCGACTCTGGGGTTGCGGCGCTCATCTCGCTCTATAGGCCAAGGGAGCCTTGATCGGCAAGTCCTAGGCTCTGTGGTTTAACCCACAGCGCCACCCGCGTCCATACCAAAGAGTAAATCCTATTAAACTCAGTGGGACTTAGTTCTGAGTAAAAATGCTTAGGATCATGATGTTAACACTGCACAGTCTTTGCCCAGTTACCTGGGAATAAGCTCCACTGAATACAGTGAGACTTAGCTTCTGAGTAGACAGTATAAGTCTCCATTTACAATAAATGGCAATATAACAATATGAATCAGCATCTTCAGAAACTGGCTTCTGAAGAATTTCGCCTCCACCAAGCATCATCCCTAAGTTGTGGCTTGTTGGTACCACTAGCACGCCTATAGAATGCATGCACGTTTCCTTAAAAATGACTGGCTGCTGGAGCGTTGCAATTAAAGAATTGAACATGGAATGGCTACATTTTCCTTCAAAATTATAGGAAGGGCTTTGCATGCCAGCTTCATTGTTTTCTTCATTTGATGCAGGTATTTTCAGTATAAACAGGACTCTGTTTTTGCACCTATACACAAACACACACAAACAGAGAGAGAACAACAGCTCCTATTTCCAAAAAGAACAGGAGCGGGGGGCTGATCTTTCCACCACTTTTAATCAAGACGAGGAGAGGAGGAGAAAGGAAATCCGGAACATTCCAGGATCAAATTAGAAACTGGGATGGCTTCTGTAATTCCAGGACTGTCCTTGGAAAAGCAGGACACTTGGAGGGTATGAAATAGGGGTGGTTGGATCAGATGTAGTAAGACCAAGAGGGTGGCATAGCTTTCCCTTAGACGAAGACCATAAACCCAGTGCTTTTTTTCTGGGGAGACGCAGGGGTATGAATACCCCTAAACATTTTTTTTAAAGAAAAAAAGCACTGCATAAACCTATTCCGCTAGCCCATGTAACAATCTTATATATCATCTTATATATCAGGGCTGGGAAATCTTTTTCAGTCTGAGAGCCACATTCACTTCTGAGCAATCTTCCAAGTGCCATGTGCCAGTGGAGGGAATAGTGAGTGCTCAGCAGAGTAGGATAGTTTTTACTTACTTACATGCACATATCCCGATCCTCCTGGCATTATCTGAACTCAGTGGCATTATCCAAGCAAATATATTTGGGCTACAAAGCAGAGCTGTTGAGGGGCTGCAGCCTGGGGCCAGACAGAGATGCTTGTAGGGCCACATACTCATAAATTTATTTTATTATTTTATTTATTTATGACATTCCTATTCCACCTTTCTTCTAAGGAGCTCAAGGTGGCATACATACTTCCTCTTCCCTCATTCTATCCTTTGCAAGGTAGGTTCGGTTGAGAGTAATTGACTGGCTCAAGGTCACCCAGCTTCAGGGCTGAGTGGGGATTTGAACCCTAGTCTCCCAGGACTTAAGGGACACAGGTGGCGCTGTGGGTTAAACCACAGAGCCTAGGACTTGCCGATTAGAAGGTTGGCGGTTCGAATCCCCGCGATGGGGTGAGCTCCCATTGCTCGGTCCCTGCTCCTGCCAACCTAGCAGTTCGAAAGCATGTCAAAGTGCAAGTAGATAAATAGGTACTGCTCCGGCGGGAAGGTAAACGGCGTTTCCGTGTGCTGCTCTGGTTCGCCAGAAGCGGCTTAGTCATGCTGGCCACATGACCCGGAAGCTGTACGCCAGCTCCCTCGGCCAATAAAGCGAGATGAGCGCTGCAATACCAGAGTCAGTCACGACTGGACCTAATGGTCAGGGGTCCCTTTACCTTACCTACCTCCCAGGACTTAGTCTGACATACTAACCACTAGACCATACCAGATCTCTCAGTGAGTGCAGTGGGGTAGTCTGCTGTCAGTAAAATGTAGGCATCTAGATATATAGTGACTGCCTGATCAATTTATATGGGCGTATTAAAAAAAACCTACATACCCAAGTGATAGAGATGTCAGCCTCTCTAATTATAGATTTTAATCTCAGGGTGTGCCTTTACACTTTAGGGAGCCAGGACAGGCCGTAATGGATGTTAGGGTGTGTCATTATAGGGGTGAAACTTGATTTTTGCAAATTTATTCAGTGGGAGGTCTTAAAAATATGTTTTTGGGTGTGAGGAATTCAAATCTGCTATTATTTTTATGGCTGGGCAACATTTAGGTTCGTAAGCCTGTTTTCAGAAAAGCAAAGAATTTAAATGTTACCTTCTGAAAATGACAGGTAATGCCAAATGATGATGATAATGATATAACTGCAAGTACTTAGCAATCATTTAATATTTTTAATTATTTCTGTGCAATTTTACACACATTTTGCTTATCAAGCACAACTTAATTATATTAATTTAATCAAAATACCTTTAGATATTTAAAACGGAAACAATTTGAACAAGCTAACAAGCCAGGGAAACTATTAGCTTGGCAAATAAAGAAGAAGAAGAAACAAAACTGTATTAATAGACTAAATGTAGCAGGTAAAGTTGTGGAAAATCCGAAAAGAAATAAGAGATCAGTTTGTGAGTTTTTATACAGAACTATATTGAGCCAAACCAAGTAATTTAGATGAAATGGGTAAATATTTAGAAGACAACAAACTACCTATGATACAAAAAAAAAAAAAAAAGACATTTCTGAATGCACCTGTCACAATGATGGAATTACAGCAAGCAATTTTACAGCAAAATTAGGGAAGACACCAGGACCTGAAGGACAGCAATATATTATAAAGTAAATTACAAGATTACCTAATACAACCTTTAAAAGATATTAGGAATATAACTTTGAATACAGGAGAGTTACCTTATTCTTGGAAGAGTGCATACATAACTTTGTTTCATAAGCAAGATAGTTCATAACCAGCTCTGTATCTCTATCAACCTATTTTGTTGTTAAATAACAATTATAAACTGTTTGGAGACATATTAGCTAATAGGTTGAAAACTGCATTAAAAGAGGTAATCCATGAAGATCAGGCCAGATTTTGTCAGGAAGACAAATGAAAGATAATATTAGAAACATAATTGATGTAATATAATATTTAGAAATAAGAAATAAAAAACAAGCAGCTTTAATGTTTTTAGATGCTGAGAAAGCATTTGACAATGACTTCTGGGACTTTATGTTTAAGGCTTTGGAAAAAACCGAGAATAAAATATAAAATACTGATAGATGTGAAAGAGAGAGGAGGTTTTTCCCTGTCGGATATGAGATTATATTATAAAGCATCTTCTCAGTGCTGGTTGAAGGATTGAAGAATACACATATTTTAGATCTGGAAGGTCATGATAATATTTTTGGTTGGCACACTTACTTGTGGTATGAAAAGGCGAAAGTACATAAAGGTTTTACAAACCATATAATCAGGAAAAAATTGTATAGAGTAAGGATAAGTATAAAAACTTGTTGGAGACCAAAGCACCACTATGGCTTTCACCTTTGGAAGCCATAGCAGTAAAGAAGAAAAATATGATGGAAAATTGGGCAACTTATAGAAATTTATTAAGAGAAGAAGGTGGAAAATTTAAATTAAAAGAATTTAAGTATTTATCAGAGGTGTTAACAACATGGTTACAATATCATCATTTGAATGAAGTATTTAAAAAGGATATGAAGTAGGGGTTTGGGGAACAAAAATCACAACTAGAAAGAGACCTGTTAAACTGTAATATTAAAGTGTTATCTGAAATGTATAAGATGTTATTGAAATGGAAGACAAAGGACAAACAAGTGAATCTTCAATTATACACTGGGCAATAGATATTGATCATAATATAGGAATGGGTGCATGGGAACATTTATGGAATGTGGATCTAAAATTTACAGCATGTTATAGTTTAAGAGAAAATTATATGAAAATGTTATATAGATAGTCCCTAACACCCAGTATATTGGCCAAAATGTATAAATAGAAATTGAATATGTGCTGGAAATGTAAAGAGAAATGTGGTCTTGTAATAAGGTTAAAGCTTACTGGGAAATGATATATAATGAACTGAAAAAGATGTTTAAGAACACATTTATTTTAAAAACCAGAAGCTTCTTTGGGGAATTATGAGATCAGACCTACCTAAACAGTATAGAAATTTATTTATGTATGCAACCACAGCTGCAAGAATGTTATTGGCCCAAAAATAGAAGGAAGAAGAGGTCTCGATGAGAGAAGAATGGATACAGAAGTTAATGGACTACGCAGAAAAGGGGAAACTTACTTGAAGAATAAGAAACCAAGATAACACTTTTAAAAGAAAGGAATGGAAATGGTTTATTGAGTATTTATAAACTGTAAACAGATTAAGACATTGGCAGGATTAATGTAAAAACCTGCAGTTTCAAAATATATGAGAGATACGGGAATAGATATATAAAAGAATATGTTGAGATATGCAGGGAGATGAAAAGAAATGTAAAGAAACACAGAAAGAGGGGGAAGGGAGTCAGAGTTCGAAATGTTAAAATTACAATTGAATAATTGTTGTAATATATATAAATGAAAATTAAAGATTAAAAAAAAGAACAAAGAGAAAAGGAGCCCAAAGGTTTGCAGAGCTACCAAAAAAAATAAACAAATATTTATTTAAAAACAACAACACCCCCCGCCCCCGGGAAGTAACAGCACAAGGAGGAATGAGTGAAGGTTGGGATGCAGGAAGACAACGCAGAGCACAGGAGGAAAGTAGAATGCCCTGCTGGGACACCAAACAGGAGAGTCCCGTTAAGAGGGAGGAATGTCCCTTTTCCTTAGGATGTCCCTATTTTTGTCAGAGAAATGTTGGAGGGTATGGAGTTATCTGACCCCCCAAACCAATGAGATAAGTGACTATACAACATTTAGAAGACATCTGAAGGCAGCCCTGTATAGGGAAGTTTTCCTTTTTAATGTTTAATGCTTTATTATGTTTTATATATGTTGGAAGCCACCCAGAATGGCTGGGGCAATCCAGCCAGATGGGCAGGGTTATAAATATTATTATTATTATTATTATTATTATTATTATTATTGAATAGGACGTCCCTTTTCTCATTGGTGAAATGTTGGAGGGTATGGAAGTGCCTAAGGCCCCATATGCAGAGGTGGAGTTAGGTTTCTGCAGTTCTGAAAGACAGGATAAAGGGAGGACTCTAAATATATACTCGGTCCTGTATACGTGTCTCCACCCCCATCGTTCTGCCCGGACACTGAGATCCAGTGCCAAGGGCCTTCTGGCGGTTCCCTCACTGCGAGAAGCCAAGTTACAGGGAACCAGACAGAGGGCCTTCTTGGTAGTGGCGCCTGCCCTGTGGAACGCCCTCCCTTCAGATGTGAAGGAAATAAGCAGCTATCCTATTTTTAAAAGACATCTGAAGGCAGCCCTATTTAGGGAAGTTTTTAATATTTAATGCTGTATTGTTGTTTTTAACACTCGATTGGGAGCCGCCCAGAGTGGCTGGGGAAACTCGGCCAGATTATTATTATTATTATTATTATTATTATTATTAATTAGGACTGCTGTTGCCTCCCACTCTTGACTGCTACCACCAGTACCTGATAGAGATTTGTTGCCTCTAACAGCTTTCTGACAGGCAGAAATTCCAGTTATTATTGGCATTTCTGAAGTGCCTCGCCCCACTTCAGCTGTCCGTAATTATTGTTGTTACCTATAATTAATTCCTAATGATTATTCAACAGATTCATCTACCTAAAGAGGATGGAGGCCCTGTGGCTGCTACAAGCCTGCACAGCCAGTTTCAGGAAGCTCCCCCAACACTGGAGCATCAGCAACACTCTAGAAATTGTCCTAAGGAGGTGCACTTGGATTTCTGCTTTGATTTCAGCTTCCTAGCCTCTGATGTGATAATTAAATTACATAATGCTTGATTTCATGTAAGGTGCCTTTTTGGTTCTAATTGCGATTCTGCATACTGCATAGATCTATTTTCATATGCCTGTACTATGGAAGTGAAATGTAACAGCAATAATAACAACAGCCACCACCTATGTGCTCCAATGGTAAATCACTGACCCTGTTTTCTGGGTACAACAGGGCAGGGCTTTGGAGCAGAAGTCTAGGGCCCCACTGTACAAGAGCCCCCTCGCAACACTTGGTGGGTTTCTGGATGAAACATCGGCTCTGGATCCATTCCAGTCCGGCTTCCGCGCTGGTCATAGGACCGAGACGGCTCTGGTTGCCCTAACAGATGATCTTCGTAGACAGCTGAATTGAGGTGGGTCGGGGCTGCTGATTCTTCTAGATCTGTCAGCAGCTTTCGACATGGTCGATCACGAACTTCTGGACCACCGCCTTGCCGACGTGGGGATCCAGGGCACAGTCCTTCAATGGCTGCGCTCGTTTCTCTCTGGTCGGGGACAGAGGGTGGCGCTTGGGGGGGAATTGTCATCGCGCCACTCCTTGGTGTGTGGAGTACCTCAGAGTGCGATATTCTCCTCGATGCTTTTCAACATCTTTATGTGCCCCTCGCCCAGCTTGTCCGGAGTTTTGGGCTGGGTTGCCATCAGTATGCCGATGACACCCAACTCTATCTGTTGATGGATGGCCATCCTGACTCGACCCCAGACACACTGACCAGATGTTTGGAAGCTGTGGCTGGATGGTTACGTGGGAGCCGGTTGAAGCTAAATCCTTAGAAGACAGAGGTCCTGTGGCTGGGACGGGACGATATGGGATTGGGGGGGCAACTCCCATCTCTTGCGGGGACGCAATTAGTGCCAGCACCATCCTTTAAGAGTTTGGGTGTAATCTTCGACACCTCCCTTTCCATGGAGGCGCAGATTGCAGCTACAACAAAGGCGGCATTTTTCCATCTCCGCCAAGCTAAGCAGTTGGCTCCTTACCTCTCTCGCCCTGACCTAGCCACTGTGATCCACACGACGGTCACCTCCAGACTGGATTATTGTAACTCGCTCTACGTGGGGCTGCCCTTGAGACTGACCCAGAAACTCCAGCGGGTGCAGAATGCTGCAGCGAGACTCCTTACGGGGTCTTCGCTGCGAGATCCCATTCACCCGGTGCTATACCAGCTGCACTGGCTCCCGGTGGAGTACAGGATCAGGTTTAAGGTGCTGGTTTTAACCTTTAAAGCCCTATACGGCCTAGGACCCTCGTACCTACGGGACCGCCTCTCCTGGTATGCCCCACAGAGAAACTTACGGTCTTCAAATAAAAACATCTTGAAGGTCCCAGGCCACAGAGAAGTTAGGCTGGCCTCAACTAGAGCCAAGGCTTTTTCGGCCATGGCTCTGATCTGGTGGAACACTCTGTCACAAGAGACCAGGGCCCTGCGGGACTTGACATCTTTCCGCAGGGCCTGCAAGACAGAGCTGTTCCACCAGGCCTTTGGCCAGGGCACAGCCTGACTCCCTCCCTCGGCAATCTTCGCGGAGCTCTGGCCCAATGGTTGCCAGTGGCTTGAATTAATTAATTTTATAATGAATGATTTTAGAATGTTGTTTATGCTGTACTTTTGTACTGTTTTATTGTTGTTAGCCGCCCTGAGCCCGGCTTCGGCTGGGGAGGGCGGGATATAAATAAAATTTATTATTATTATTATTATTATTATTATTATTATTATTGAAAAATGTGCTTTGCCACATTTTGAAGCTTTTTGAAATAATACACATCTGCCTTCTAAACAGGCAGGCTATAATGCAATTTGAAACAAGTGGAAGTCATACACATTACTGACTGGAAGCCCATTAACTCTAGAGTCTAAAATTACCCATTTGCAAGAAGAGTTTGAGGCTCCTGTAACAGTGCGAGGGTCTTTGTGGGAGCATGGGTGTACCCAGGGGTGCCATGCTAGCAACCCCTGCCCATGCTGAAGGTCCAAATAGTAAAAGGTAAAGAGTAAAAGACCCCGGACAGTTACGTCCAGTCAAAGGTGACTAGGAGGTTGCAGCGCTCGTCTCACTTTCAGGATTTAAGGATCATGGAGAAAATATAGTTTGCCTTTAAAGGTGATCCTGCCTAATTCACAACAATATGCAATCTGAAACATGGCCATCCTTCAAAATTCACACTTCTTTGAATATTGCAATGTAGCTCTCCAGCCAAATAATGTCTATGAAAATGTGTAGACTAGGGTAAAGTGTGCATTAAAAAATGCATATATTAGTAAAAATAGCATACCAAAATGCATTATGTTGGGGAAAATTGCTTCCAAAAATGTGTGGATTAGACAAAATTGCATAGAAAAACATGTACATTAGGAGAAATTTTATGCTAAAATGGGGAGGAATTTTCATTAGTACCTTTTAAAATAAATTTTGAAAATTGATGTGGAAATTTGGAGAACTGAAATTAAGAAATGAAACAGAGATAAACTGAAATTGGCAGCTTTGTGCATCCCTGATTGCAGTGTTTGGTGTGAAAATCTTTTCTTTTTACGCTGACTTTTAAGGCAAAGCCCACACAAGTTGGCTCACCTACTGTAAAAGCAACCACAAGAGGCAAGCTCATATATCATTTAAATAGCTTTAAGGAGAAGCTGAAAACAATACAGAGACCAGCAAAACAACCATTAACAGAAACTCCCTGCCCCCATAACACTTCAGTCAGGAAAGGCATTGGATGTGCAAGCATTGGATGTGTGTCTGGACACAGTCAAGGGCTGGATAAGAGGCAACTAGCGGAGTCTGGATCCTGGCAAAATGGAGGCATGTTGGATTAGCTAGTGCTGTAGCTCTGGGGAAGGGGAGCTAGCTGGGGTTTTTTGCCCTGGGTGAAGCCTCCAGAGGGGTGCCATTGAGGCTCCCAGGGGTGCCAAACTGGGTCTTTGATCCAGGTGAAATAAAGCCTAGTTTTGCCCCTGGATTAGCAGTTCCCATGTCTATAAAACAGGCCAGTTACCTGCTCCCGACAGTGTTGCATTTACTCTGTAGTCTAGGGAAATTCCAGCCTTGTTGATGGAGGCTCAGGTGTATTCAATACATAAAGTAAAGGTAAAGATACCCCTGACCATTAGGTCCAGTCGTAACCGACTCTGGGTTGCGGCGCTCATCTCGCTTTATTGGCAGAGGGAGCCGGCGTACAGCTTCCGGGTCATGTGGCCAGCATGACTAAGCCGCATCTGGCGAACCAGAGCAGCGCACGGAAACACCATTTTACCTTCCCACCGGAGCGGTACCTATTTATCTACTTGCACCTTGATGTGCTTTTGAACTGCTAGGTTGGTAGGAGCAGGGACCGAGCAACGGGAGCTCACCCCGTCGCGGGTATTCGAACCGCCGACCTTCTAATCGGCAAGTCCTACAGCGCCACCCATGTCCCATTCAATACATAGGGGTGCCTTTAACCAGCTTTGGCTAGTAAAACAGCTGAAACATTCCTGGTGTTCTAGGGTACAGTTCATGCATTAGTAACTTCGATGCTTTATTACTGTAATGCTCCGAACATGGAGTTGCCTTAAGCTTGGTCCAGAAGCTGCAGCTGGTGCAGAATGCAGAGAATGAAGAGACCTGTATCACTATCATGTAACATCTGTGCTGAGGGATCTGCACGGGCTGCCAGTAAGCTACTCTATGGATGGATGAATCTGTCAATTTCAGTTCCTCCCAGTTTTTCATTTTCCCAGTCTTAAATTCAATCCTCCACATTTCCACACCAGCGCATAATAATTTTAAAGTCATAACAAATTCATCAGCATTTTAGGGCAAATTCCTCCTGATACGCACATTTTTGCAAAAAAAATAAAAAATTACACATTTTATTTTAATGCACACTATACTCTGGCATTTGCATTTTTGTACACATTACTTGGTTGGAGAGCTGTGTTGCAAAATTCAGCAAAGTGCAAATTTTGACAGACAGCTCCGTTCTGATTCATGTACCGTTTCGGAAAGTGAGAATTAGGTAGGCTCACCTTTAAATGTAAATCCTTACTACTGGACCAGGTTATATTCTTTCGGCCTAAAAAGCCCTGAATAGCTTTGGAAAAGGGACGCGGGTGGCGCTGTAGATTAAACCACAGAGCCTAGGACTTGCCGATCAGAAGGTTGGCGGTTCGAATCCCTGCGACAGGGTGAGCTCCCGTTGCTCAGTCCCTGCTCCTGCCAACCTAGCATGTCAAAGTACAAGTAGATAAACAAAAACCGCTCCAGCGGGAAGGTAAACGGCGTTTCTGTGCGCTGCTCCGGTTCGCCAGAAGCGGCTTAGTCATGCTGGCCACATGACCCGGAAGCTGTACGCCAGCTCCCTCGGCCAATAAAGTGAGACGAGAGCCGCAACCCCAGAGTCAGCCACGACTGGACCTAATGGTCAGCGGTCCCTTTACCTTTGGAAAAGGTATACAAGTGCAATCATTGAGGTCACCAGGGTTTATACACTCTTGTAATGCCTCATGCCTCAGAGGTCCTGCTCCATGGAAACTCAAGCAGGGCTTTTCGTGCAATGGCCCCAGTGTTTTGGAACTCCTTTCCTGTGGTTATCAGACAGGTACTGAGCCTTTTGGGATCTTAGTGTCTATTGAACACATGCTTACAAGTGTGGGTGCATGTGGCCCTTGAGGCCAACCTTTCTGGCCCTTATAACTCTCCTAAGGCCACAACCCTCCCTGGCCTTGCTTCACATCCTGAGTGTATTTGCCTGGCTGGAATGTTCCTTGAACTCTGATCTTAACTTTCACTTGTCTGGTTGGAGAATACGGAGGGGCGTTTCTCAAAAGTAGCCTACTGTACAATGGTAAAATTTACCTGTGTTGCTTGGCCCACGTTTGCCTGTGGCCCCACCCAACAATGGCCTGTGGCCCCCAGAAGGCTGCCCAGAAAGGAATGCTGCCCTCACTCTGAACAAAGTTCCTCACCCCTGGTCTGTAACATTGATGGACTAAGGAGTAAGTCTGCCTCCCTCAAGTGGTATTCCGGATGGGCCTCATGCAAGTGTGTGAGTATTTGAGATGTTTGCCAGGCAGGTTACTTCCTCAGGACAGTCACCCCTGCTGTTGTTGTAGACTACATTCCAGAAAAGCAGGTAATATACAGTACAGGTCCAAACAAAACAAATGTGTCTAATAAACTCTTCATTAAAAGCCATCTGAGCCAATGGTAGTCGCGTCTTCGTATATGACAGAACTGCAAGTGTGGGTTATGCACACATCAGTGGCATGAAACGCAGTAAGGTCAACACACACCCCTCCCTTGCATTGCGGTTCGTATTCTTACACTGCTGTGCAGATCAGAGAGGCAGCAGGGATGTCTTCATCTAATGTGCGTTATCCGAATTGTTTTTCTATGCACAATAGCTGCCTGAAACGTATGCACCATGGCTTCTGTTCTCAAATCAGACGGAAGATGGTTTGAAGGAAAGTACTTCAAACAGGGGGATTTCTCAAGAAGCTACAGGATACCTATGAATGTGGCTATTGTCATGTGTACTCCGCTTCAATCACCAGTGGTGGGAGTGCGCTGGAGCTGGAGTAAGTAGCAATGTACATGCAGCCTTGCCCTGACAGTTGATGGGTTTGGGCCATAAGGAAAGTGGAATAATAATAAGCCAACTGATTAATAAATCAAAGTTCTCTGGTAGCAAAACAAATGATTCATACCCCACAATTTTATGCACATATCTGATCAAATCAATAAGGCATAAACTCTGTTCAGCATTAGCAGGAACAGCAATTAGAAGAGGAGTGCTACCCACGCTAGACTCAGCCTTCCATGCCAATTACAGAAATAGAAGAAGCGTTGGGAGGTGTGTGTGTGTGTGTGTGTGTCACTGGAAAGGAGCTTGCATAGAGCAATGGAGATTAGGTCCAGTCCCCAGCATCTCCAGGGGAAGTCTCATGCCTGAAATCCTGGAGATCTGCTGCCAATCAGTTTTTGTTTTTGTTTTGTAATAAACAGAGCAGAAGGCAGCTTATTAGATTCACTTCAGAGAAGTCACTGCTCAATGAAAAGCAACCCCCCCCCCCCCAATGCACAACTAGACGAGGGCCTATTAACTCAGTGGTCGAGCATCTGCTTTGCATTAAGGCAGCCAAGTGTCCTGCTGCGCAGATGATAGTTCTTGGTTTGAAAGCATCCTCTAAGGGCTCTGCAGTCCAAGAGCTGCAAGAAGGAAAACCTGCAGAGGCCTTGAAGTTGCCCATCCACAGTTGGTAGCCAAAGAGCAGACTTAGAAGGCGCACAAAGGCCACAAGGAAAGTGCCACAGCTCAAGGGGAGAGCACATGCTTTGCCTACAGAAGGTCCTAAATTTAATCTCTGGCATCTCCAGGTAGGACTGCTAGAGACCAGCATCTGAAACCAAAGAGAGCAGCTGCCAGTTTGTACAGACAATACTGAGTGAGATGGACCAATGATCTGGCTCCATATATGACCACTTCCTATGTTCTAGGCTAATATCTTTGAATACCAGTTACCAGAGAGTGCTTGCAGGTTTTCCACAGGCCTCTGGTTGGCCATTGCAGGAACAAGTTGCTGCAATAGATGGACCATTGGCCTGATCCAGCAGGACTTTCCTTATGTTCTCAGAAGTTCATATGGTCACATTCATGTCTCCCACTATGATGAGATGCATTTTAGTTCTACTCATATTAAAGAAGTTACTGTATTTCTAAATCTGTATCCATATGTAAACATTAGGACATTTTGGAGGGGAGTGTTGCAAATCACTATTATCCTCTTTTGTGGCGATGTGTAACTTTGCATGCTGGAGGAGCCCCATGCGCCATCACTGGCATCTCCGGAAAAGGATGTCCCATGGCTGAGAAAGTCACACACACCCTACAGACAGTAGGTACCAGAGTTACCAGAGCTAGAGTTAATATAAGACTGTTTCATATAATAAGTCTTAATATAAGACTGTTTCATAATATAAGACTGTTTCATATAAGACCATGAGAGAGTGGGTTGCAGCAAATGGGGAAAATTATAGTTGAGTGGTAGAATACATCACACAATTTTGCATGCAGAAGGTTCAGTTCCCTGGGATTAAAAGCATCTCAGGAGAAAACTGGAAAAGACTCCCCCCTGCCTGAGTCTTCTACAGAATCAGCAGCATTCAGAGCATGTCTGATATTGATTTACATAAGAGGTCGAAAACCTGTGAATCTCCAGATGTTGGACTCCAGTTCCCACCACCATCCCTGGCCATTATCTATGCTAGCTGGGGCTGATGAGCCCTTGGACTAAAATGGAACATCGGGTATAACGAAGCATAAAGCAGCATCACAGATCTGAAAGTTTTATTTGCCAGAGCTGCTCCAGCTCCTGCCATACACTTATCAATTCATTAATTTTGATAAGGTAACCCACTTCTTTAACCTGCATATATTGTACAGATTAACTATCTTTGCATATTTCTGTTTCTTGTGCATGAGATTATTCTCCACCTACAATTAGGAGAAAGAGCAGAGAAGGGTGGTACAAGGCACCGAGAGTCTACTTGCAAATGACTGGAAATCATATTCTGCTCCTCCCTGACCCTGATTTCAGAAATGCCAAGGTACACACACTCACACACTTCCAAGATTGCCCTACGTTTGGACACATAACACAATGCCTTCATTGAAGCTAAGCATGTCTGGACTTGGTTGGTGTGTGGAGGAGAGGCTACTTGGGCACCTCCGTATTTACTGCCTCTATGTTTACTAATATGTTTACTCTGTGTTTAAAGGTAAAGGTACCCCTGACCGCTAGGTCCAGTCGCGGTCGACTCTGGGGTTGCGGTGCTCATCTCGCTCTGTAGGCCGAGGGAGCCAGCGTTTGTCCACAGCTTCTGGGTCATGTGGCCAGCATGACTAAGCCGCTTCTGGTGAACCAGAGCAGTGCACGGAAATGCCGTTTACCTTCCCGCCAGAGTGGTACCTATTTATCTTTTTGCACTTGACGTGCTTTTGAACTGCTAGGTGGGCAGGAGCTGGGACCGAACAACGGGAGCTCACCCCGTCACAGGGATTCAAACCGCGGACCTTCTGATCGGCAAGCCTGATGCTCTGTGGTTCAGACCACAGCTATGTTTACTATGATGGTGGTGAGATAGATAGATGATAGATAGATGATAGATAGATAGATAGATAGATAGATAGATGATAGATAGATGATAGACAGATAGATGATAGATATAGATAGATAGATAGATGATAGATAGATGATAGAGGAAGCTGATGGATTCTTAATTATATTGAATTTGGCATTCAGTACCAAATGAGGCAGTCAGACAGAGAACATAGAGAGCCCTGGCTTGGGAACACCATCTATATCAGCAAGTTTTACTTTTGGGAGCACAAATGATAGTGGACTAGATCAGGGCTGGAGAATCTGTGGCTTTTTAATTTTTGAAGAGAGAAAAGTGCGGGTTTTCTGATGGAATGCAGAGGGTGCTATAAAAGAAGCCACTTCCTCACTCCTTGGTGCAACTATGGGTTTGTCTACATTTGAGCATTATTTAGCTATTAGCCCACTTTTCCCCATGTGAAGTAGACTGGAGTAGTCCACACCTGTGTGCATTTGAATTTGTATATGAGGAGCCACTTCAGTCATTCCTGATTATATGACTGGGCATTCCCTTTTGTGTTTGTTCCCAACATTCTTATTTGTTGATTTCATGATGTCAATTAAGTATCAACAGGGCATGTGTGCCGATAGTTGTGCATATTTTTTTTTTTACTTCCTGCATGAGAAGTGTCCAAAGCACACAGATATGCAATTGTAATATTGCTTGTGCATGCAGTTTCCCAGTTTCATGCATATCCGAGGGATCGAAAGGGGGTAGAGATTCCTTGAGTACAGCTGGTAAAGAAATGGAAGTATTGAGGAAGTAGTGGGAATGGAAAAGGCAGTAGCAGAAAGTGGTCATTTATTGCCTACCAACCCAAAAGCACTGAAACAAATAATCTGTGAACCAAGTAGGATACAAAAGGAAAACACTGAGATTGGTATTGTTGGAAGGTAATGCGGATGCTGCAAATTAAATTGGGAACACAAACAGATGCAAACACAAGGTAATCGTGGATGTGGACAAGGCCTGTTATTATGATACTATCACAACAGCATCTGTGCTGTTTGCCATTATGACAGTTAGAGGCCTGGGTGTGAGGACGGGAAGATAACAGGATTTGTGATCAGGTGAAAAACTGAGGCTGAGGGAGGGACTCTTCAGCACTGCCCATTCTATCATCTCCTCCCTTACTCAGACATTTCCTTCTTTCTTATTGTGACAGATTCTCAACAAAAATTTGATGGAAGAACCACCACCAGGAAGGCAGATGCACTTCTTAAACTGCAGCCCACTGGTGCTTGTTCGCCTGATTTCTACAACATTGTACAGTTATGAATTGTGTAATTAGAATTGTGCATTGTAAGCTGCCATAGGAAGATATTTACCTTGAAAAGCAACTTAAAAGATGTTTAAATACGCAAGTGAAAACTCTGAGCTGGAGAACCATTTTTTTTCCCTGGCAAGGATTTAACGGTGGCACAGCAGGCAGAAATCCCACAGAGGAAGTTCTTCATCACTGCACCCACATACTGAGAAGGCAGTATTGCATAATGGGAGTTGCAGACGCAAATCGCTACTCCGCCATAAAGCTCACCAAATTACCATGGAGTAGTCACACTCTGTGTTTCTCCAACCACACAGGAATGTTGTGAACATAGAATAGGTTTGAGAGAACCACGTACGCTACCCTAAGCACCTTGCAACAGGGTTAAAAAATGCCACAGATAAATGTTGGGTGAACTTCACCAGCTGAATTTCTGCCTGCTTTGTATCTGTTAAAAGGCACTGGAGGCCTGCAAAGAAATAATGAAAAATGAATGTTGGACATTACCAATTGAGGGATGTCTCTAAAAAGCAGAAAACACCTGACACCTACATTATTGCAGATCTCTTAAAATTGGCATTCTCTTCATGGGGTTACTGATGATAAAGTCCAGTGTCTATTTGGGAGCACCCCCACCCAAAGATATTCATAGAGCATCTGCCAAGGTGCCTTGGAGCCATAGATGCCAACTCCCTGGGGCCCTGGGTGCCCTAGCACCCACAAAATTCCCCATGAAGGGCTGGGCACCCACAAATTCTGGTGCCATGGTCATGCAAGCTGCATGGTGCTCACGGCCCTGGGCACCCACAGTTGGAGGCTAAGCAGGCACTCCTGCTTCCAGCTCCATAATTCTATCATTTTTTTGACCCTGTTGTGTGCTTCCAGCAAGGTGGAGGGCAGAGGACCCCTCAGCAAAATGATGCCAAATCCTTCTCCCACTTCCCCAGTTAAGCAACCTTTTGTACCAATGATGCTAACAGCTGTATGGCAGACAGACGTTCACAGTACTGTATATATAACACAGCAAGTGTTGTAATTAAGAGAAAGTGCTGCAGTGTTTTTGGCTCAAACGCCACCTCCTCTCCAGGACTTGCCTACCTTACAGGGCTGTTGTAAAGATCAGTAGAAATAGCAATGAGCACCAAGGAAGAGATTTGCATAAGAAATAAGAACCGCAGCAACATTTCACATCATTGCATCTGCATACTGGAGGAAAATATAAAGCTAACATTTCAGGAAATCTGCTGGGGTGGGGGGGTGGGGAGGGGAGGAAGTGGCAATTGTTAACACAAAGCAATGGACTATGCTAGCACCTGCCAAGCTGGATCTATAAAGAGCATAGTGTGGCTTAGTGGTTAGAGCAGGGGTCAGCAACCTTTTTCAGCTGTGGGTCGGCACATTGTTTCTCCCCAAAGAATCCTGGCAACTATGGCTTACCCTTCTCATGGCTACAATTCACCAGACCCTTAACAAACTACAGTTCCCAAGGTTCTTTGAAGGAAAGTGATGTGCTTTAAATATATAGTATGCCAGCCCAAATAACTGTTCAAAGCCAGGCCAGCTCATAGAATCGTAAATTTGGAAGGGACCATGAGGGTCATCGAGCCCAACAGGTGGCGCGTTGGGGAAGTCGCTTTCCAGAAGCTGTTGATCTGTGGTGGCAAACTGTCCTCCCACCTCAAAGAAAGGATAATCAAGGGAAGGGAGGAAAAGAGCAGAGGAAGAAGGGCAAGAGAGGAAACCCTCTCATCTTTGAAACCAAAAAGGTGGTACTTACTTGTAACCTCAGCGGCAGTGGGTCCCTTCTCCAAAGGTGTCTTCGAGCATTTAACAGGACTCCTGCCCTCACAGCTGTGGCTGGAGCAGTGCTCTCCCTGCTAGTCCTTATGCGCTCAGCGGCGGAGGTGTGGGCAAGCCAGAATGCGTCCCAGACAGCTCAGGCTGCCCTTGCCAAAAAAAGAGGCCCAGCCTTGTTATGGGAGGGAGATGACAATGTGGGTGTGTGTTTTTTTGCCCTTCAGGGGATCAAACAGGTTTCTCTTTCCACAGCAGAAAGTCTCCCCCTCCTTCTCTCTCTCTCCCCCCTGCACTTCGGCAAAGAGGTGCCTCTCCCTAGTACATTCCTTACATTCTCTGCCCTCTGTCACTAGAGACACCCAAGGCTGACAAGGAGAATTGGAAACCAAGTCACGGTAGCACTTTTTTTCTGCTTTTGCCAAATTCTGTATGGGGAGTAAGGCCTGGCGCTCAAGGAGGGTTCACAAACAGCCATCCTGAGAATCAATTTCCCCTTCCTGTTCTGTACAATTATTCAGCTGCTGTTAACCAAGGCCTACAAACCTAAACCTACAAACCATCAAGGGACGGACACATAGCTCTCACGAGAATCTCCACACCAAAAAGTTAATAAAACCTTCATAGACAGGGCTATTGAGAAATTAGCTGTCTTATTTTGCTATTTTTTTGTGGTATTTGAATACTTCAGGGAGCTTATTTCTGTAGGAACTTGGGAACATAGGAAGCTACCTCCTGCTGAGTTCGGACCATTTGGTACATCTAGCCCATTATTGTCTACACAGACTGGCAGCAACTCTCCAGGGTTTCAGGCAGGATCTCTCTCCTCCCGTAAACATACAGGAGATTGAACTTGAGACCTTCTGCAAGCAAAGTAGATGCTCTGGCACTGAGGTATGGTCCTTTCCTGAAAGACATATGAACATAGAAAGCTGTCTTATACCAACTCAGACCATTAGCCCATTTAGCTCAATATTGTCCACACTGACTGGCAGCAGCTCCTCAGGATTTCAGGCAGGGTTCTCTCTCAGTCCTACCTAGAGATGCCAGGATTAGAACTTGGAACCTTCTGCATGCAAAACAGGTGCTTAACCACTGAGCTACAGATTTTAATGCAAACCTAATTCGCACTTCCTGGACCAATATGCAAACTGAAACATGGTTAGCCTTTGAAATTTGCACTTCTACAAATTTTGTGATGCTGTTCTCCAAACCAAAATGTGCACACAAGAAAAGGAAAGAAAAGAAAAGAAAAGCATTTATTAGGATAAAGTGCGCACACAAAGTGTAAGTATGGATTTTCATGTTGGATTTTAAAAGTCCACAAAGAGGTGCGAAAAAAATGTGGTTTCCCAAAGAATGTAAAAATGAGAAACTAAGGAAAACATTAACAGCTGATTCTTAATGTTCATTTTCTCTCCCCGCTTCATTTTTCTGTTCACAAGGAAGATCCAGAAAGTTGATTTAAAATATGCAATTGCTGCCATTTTTAAATGGTTTTCCATGTACCTGCATTTTTAAAAAATATATATCTGCAGCTGTTTTGTTCCTATCTATGTAATTATTTTATACATGTTTTAATTGTATTTTAAATTTTTTTGAGATCATTGGAAACAGTTCATAAATCAAGTAACAACTACAGCACCAGCTGCACCAGCTGCTACTACTAAAAGTGTTGCTGGTCCCATGCTCAAACACTCTTCCAGCAATGATTGGGCAGTCATCCTCACTTTTAATTTTCAGGCGTATCTCGAAGACCTTTTATGCCAACAGATCCTTCTGTACCGCTTTTCAAGGTTTTTATTTTTAGGTTGCTATACCCTGCCCTGATGTTTTGTGAGAGGGCGGGATATAAACACGTTCATAAATGAAGCATGATGTCATTAAAGGTTTGAGAAAGCTTGAAGCTCACGTATAACAAGAAAAACCAAAGCAACCTCTTGACTCCCCCCTCCACAAATCCAAGTGCCAGTTTATGGCATGCCAAGTAAAGCCTAGTTCATTAGACATGCATAGAAGCCTACTAGAGACAATCCACTTTTCATTTGGCTGCCTTCCTGGAACTGGACAAAGCAGGTGAGCTGTCCATCATCTGGCCATTGGCAATGACATGGGTACTGGGCCCCATGTGACTTAAGGAGCCAAAAGTTTTGTAGACATGATTTGCAAAATGTAGAGATGCATATTCTTTCCTGATTTGTGCAGTTTGCTCTGCATGGGGGGGGGGGAGTTCATTCTTGTGTTTTGATTTGCTAACACTTATGCTTTGGTTATAAATCTTCAAGCTCTCTAAATGAGACTGATGAGCACAATTATGATTATTTGACCTCTCAGTGAACCACTATGGTGGCAAATTTCACAGGCTAAGTATAACATCAGGCAAAAGCCTAATCCCTTTCCAACAGCTCTATATTTAAGAGCCTCAGAACTTAATTGGATTCCCCGCTGTTTTCAGTAACCGTCAATCTCCCACCAGGCAGAAGGCAAGAGGCTGCTTTCCTTCACCCTCCTCTTTCCCCAAACGGAGTGAATGATGCTGAAAGTCAAGAAGAAGGGTGTGGAAGTCAAACCACCCATTTGATGAAAGGAAATCAAACAGGTTTTTCACGAGTCTTGCTCCACAGAGCTTCTATCCTCCTTAAGTGTGAGTGGCAGGTAGCAGGCAGCCCTCTTGCTAAGGCTGACAATCAATCCAAAATGCATTCAGTTTTAGCAAAATCAAGAAGAGTCTCGTGGAACCTTAAAGACTAACATGTATAATGGCATACACCTTTGTCAGCTACAGTTCCATGCATCAAATGCACAAAGCATTATCCTAGTGTAGGGGTGCTTTTAAACAGTGAAGTCAGAAGGAAGTGAGATACAAAAAAGGACAGGTGACGAGAATTACACTATTATCAACAGTGGCAATTCACAAAAATGTTAATAATACAAACAACCTGGCATCAGTAAGCCAAGTAATGCTTGTAAGTGTGATAAACAATCCTTTGTCCTGAGTTGATGTTACAGTCTTCATCTGAAATTGCTTTGGTTCCAGAGTGGCCACTTGTAAGAAGAGTTAGTGTCCTGGGAAGTTAAAATACCCTTGGGGTTGTGTGTCACTTTGTACATCGTAACTGAATTCCACCTGCCATTCCATTGCACAGCCAACTAATTTGGAGATAGCATTCTGGAGCTTCTAACACCACCATGAAATATCCAGAAATGGGGCACAACAGAATGGTTTCTTTTTGACACAAATGCAGTTGTTCTAGAACAAGCTTCTTGACTCCAGCAGCTACAAAGGTTGGTTCAACAAGTGTCCTGCAAGCTTCAAAGCCATTAAAATGACCCAGGTCCATTTCACTATCTTGAATCTTCAACTTTCAACTGCCTTCTAACACCGTTGTGCAATAATCTCTTTGACAGCTTTAGCATATGCCTTGTTAGAATTGTGCAAATGGTTAGGATTGTGCAAATAGTTTAAATGTCTCATTTGGATTGTATATTAAACTTGTTACTGCTTGAAAAGTTGCATGCTTTTAATTCTGCAAATAGTCTTCAGCAGTATTGTAAGCGGTTATTTTGATGTTGTTATGGCCAATGGGCAAAGCAAAGCAAAACCAACATATCCATCGATCCAAAGAAAGCACAGGAAATGTCTGCTATTTATTAGCATTGCCCCAGATTTCACAAAAGTACTGGCCCAACACCTAAGATTTGTGTTTTCATGATCCAACTTATTCCTGTGACTGCTATTCATTTTAATGGTTTTTAATACTGAGTTTTGAATTGTTGCAACCCACCCTGGAACCTGCTGGTAATAACAGCAGTAATACTCATAAATCTGAAAGGTCCGTCAACCACAGGACGTCGTCAACAAAATGGCATCATGTTCCTCCACCCCATTTAATTTGGATTTTTTTCCAATCGGCAAAAATGCGGGGGGGGGAGGGGGAGGAATCCAACATAAAATTGCATGTCACCTATCTGTGGATGTGCTGAAGTGCATTGTGTGGACAAACACTATTTTTAAATGTTTGTGTGGGTTTGCCATCTATTACTCTATCCCCTACTACTTCCATTGGTGAGTTGTAGATCTATTAATGGTTTTTTCTTCTTATACTAGACGGAATCATTTTTATGCTGCTTCCCACTCCCTTGATACCATATATTGTTTTTAAATGTACTTTTAAGCTGCCCAGAGAACATAAGAGCCCTGCTGAATCAGGCCAGTGACCCAATTATCTTGCTCTCAGTGTCCAACCAGATTAAAAAAAATGACTCCTGGATGGTTAAGTCCAGTCAAAGGTGACTATGGGCTTGCAGTGCTCATCTCTCTTTCAGGCCAAGGGAGCTGGCGTTTGTCCACAGACAGCTTCTGGGTCATGTGGCCAGCATGACTAAACCGCTTCTGGCGCAATAGGACACCCTGAACAGTGCCAGAACACACAGAAACGGCATTTACCTTCCCGCCACAGCAGTACCTATTTATCTAATAATAATATAATAATAATATATTTTTATTTATATCCCACTCTCCCCAGCCAGAGCCAGGCTCAGAGCGGCTAACACCAATAAAATTACAATAAAATATAATGGGGGGGGGACAAACAAACAACCCCCCCCCCCAAAAAAACCAGTTTATTAAAATATGGGTTAAAATACAATTTAAAATGCAGCCTCATTTTAATAGTAGCCCATAAATGAAAAATGTAAGGGGAGGGAAACATAAGGGTCAGACTGAGTCCAAACCAAAGGCCAGGCGGAACAGCTCTGTCTTGCAGGCCCTGTGGAAATATGTCAAGTCCTGCAGGGCCCTAGTCTCTTGTGACAGAGCGTTCAACCAAGTCAGGACCAGTACTGAAAAGGCCCTGGCCCTAGTTGAGACCAATCTAACCACCTTGCCACTTGGAACCTCCAAAGTGTTGTCATTTGTGGACCTTAAGGTCCTCCGCAGGGCATACCAGGAGAAGCGGTCCCATAGGTACGAGGGTCCTAGGCCTCGTAGGGCTTTAAAGGTCAAAACCAGCATCTTAAACCTGTACTCCACCGGGAGACAGTGCAGCTGGTAAAGCACTGGATGAATGTGATCCTTAGGCAAGGACCCCGTAAGGAGCCTTGCCGCAGCATTCTGCACCCGCTGGAGTTTCTGGGTCAGCTTCAAGGGCAGCCCCGCGTAGAGCGAGTTACAATAATCAAGCCTGGAGGTGACCATCGCATGGATCACTGTGGCCAGATCAGGGTGAGAAAGGTAAGGGACCAACTGCTTGATACGACGGAGATGGGAAAATGCCATCTACTTGAACTAGCGTACTTTCAAACTGCTAGGTTGGCAGGAGCTGGGACCGAGCAACGGGAGCTCACCCCGTCGCGGGGATTCAAACCGCCATCCTTCTGATTGGCAAGCCCAAGAGGCTCAGTGGTCTAGACCACAGTGCCATCCACGTCCCTCTAACCAGATTATCTTTGTGAAGCTCACAAGCAGGACATGAACTCAACAGCACTGTCCCCACCTGTGATTCCCAGTAAACACTCAAATAGCTATCACAATACCCATTCCACACTAGTAAGAAAGTGATATTTTAGTGTGGTAGCACCTACACTTTGGAACAGCTTGCCTATTGATATCAGGCAGGTGCCTTCACTGCACTCTTTTGATGCTGCTAAAACCTTTTTTTTAAAAAAAGAAAAAAAAAGAAAAAGGCAAGCCTACCCAGATATTTGGAATGCTGATGTGTTTATAGTTTATTGCTGGTTTTAATTGTTCTGAACATTTTAATTGTTTTTACCAATCCTTTGTTGCAGTATTCTTTTTGTAAACAGTTGAGGTATTTGTTTTCTAACAATCAAGAGGTATATAGATTTTATGAAATAAACAAATAAATAAAACAATGGGTATTGGGTGGCAACACAAACACACTGAAACAAGCAACTGCTGTGCTGATCTAGGACTCAGCAGGTCAAGGCGTGGAGGATGCAGCAATTATGTTGGTTTTGTGCCAATTTCCACCTGCAGAGAAAGATACAACACATTCTTCCACAACAAAGGCCAAGCCCCATCTCTGCCCTTTCTGCACCCAGGTGTGGCCACAACAGAGCTTTGGTGTAACTCTGACTCATGGGGAAAGACTGAATGGAATTCCTTAAATATAAAGTCCTGCAATCCCCCTTCTCTCATTCTTCAGTATCACCCAAGCATAAAACCTCAAGGTTTACTGTGATTAGCTTCTTTGCCCTTTGAGAGTACTTGGGGACAAGTGTTCACAGGAACTGCAACCTCCACATTATCTTTTCTTCTTGACACCATCCACACACTCATTTGTTTTTGGCAATCCAGATGCTTCTTCCAAACCTTTACCCAGGTAAGCACCTTAAAAAACAATAACTGCTGATGCTTTGCAACAATTTTGGGCACTCCCATCGCAATGTTAGCACAACCACTTCCAAATGTGATGCATCATCATTGATCTCTGAGATCTGCATTACAAGAATGCTTATTCTGCCCCCCCCCCCCCCAAATAGGCATAACTGGTGCTTTTCTTGCTTCTGGGCTCTCCACACACCTCACAACTATGCCTATGACACTGCAGAAGCTTCCTGGTGGCATGAATCCTTCACAGGCAAAGGCTGGCAAACTCCTAAGCAGAGCAGGTATCACCCATAACTTTGATGAAACACAAGGCAGCTCTGTTGTTATAGGGCTAAATAAGGTTGGCAAATATTTTGTCTTCTGTGTTGTTAGACCCCAGAGAACTGGATCAGTGTACAAAGGGGACTTCTTATGCCCCTTTCTGGCTTCCCTAATGGGAAGTTACTCCCGTCTGTAGTTCCTTGTTCGGGCGCGCTATAATTAAGGATGGGCAGATTTATCAATTTCAGATTCTTTTCATTTCTCATTTTTCCAACCTGAAGTTCAATTCTCCACATTAGTTCGAATTCTTTTTTAAGTCCTCATGCAAATTCACCACTGTTTTAGTGCAAGTTTCTCCAAATATGTATTTTGTATACAGAAGTTTGCCTAATAAACACTTTTCCCCCCCAAACCATTTCCCCTAATAGAATGCTTTTTAAAATGTTATTTTCACCAGTTTTGTACACATTACTTGGCCTGGGAAACTATATGGTGAACTTTGAAAGGATTGCTGCGTTTCAGTTCACGTACTGCTTTGAAGAATGTGGTAGGTTTCTCTTTAAAATGCAAACTGAATAAAAATTCCCCCCTCCCTTCTCTGAACCTAAACACTCAAATTCTTTTTTAAAAAACTGTTTATTTACAGTCCCTACAAAACCTTAACAAAATGCAGTCCCCTAGATTATTCAGGAGAAGCAATGTGCTTTGAAATGTATGCTGCAGCAAGTGTGACTTCAGGGTACGAACCTGCTTAAAAAGAAAGGAGAGCTTCTGAAACACTTGTGGCTACAAGAGGGCACTCTGGATACAAGAGCCTATTCTGGTTTAAAGCCAAAAGGCTTTGGGTGAAATAGATTGAGGTTGCTCTAATAAGGAAACGTATCTTATCACTGATGCTTCGGTACCAAGCCAGGTTCACCATTCCCTGCAATAGGAATGGGTAACATGGAGGAAACTCTTGAGAGTCCCATGGACTGCAAGAAGATCAAACCTATCCATTCTGAAGGAAATCAGCCCTGAGTGCTCACTGGAAGGACAGATCGTGAAGCTGAGGCTACAATACTTTGGCCACCTCATAAGAGAAGACTCCCTGGAAAAGACCCTGATGTTGGGAAAGATGGAGGGCACAAGGAGAAGGGGACGACGGAGGACGAGATGGTTGGTCAGTGTTCTCGAAGCTACCAGCATGAGTTTGACCAAGCTGTGGGAGGCAGTGGAAGACAGGAGTGCCTGGCGTGCTCTGGTTCATGGGGTCACGAAGAGTTGGACATGACTAAACGACTAAACAACAGCCACCATTGGCCCTGCAGCTGATATGGGACTCCAACTCCCATGAGCACCAGCCAACAATGCTGAAGGTTGGGAGGTGATGGGAGGTGGAGTCCAGCAACATCTGGATGGCCACACCTTGCTCATTCCTACACTCCATTAGTTAACTCTTGTGCACTAAAGGCCAGGAATGTAGCCTATGGCCCTGTAGATGTTAGATTCCAGCTCTCATCAGCCACAGTCAGCATAGCTAATGGGCAGGGTCAGGATAAGAAGAGCTGTGGTCCGCAAGCATCTGAAGGGATACTTTTTCATCTAAGAACTTAGGACTACATTGATTTGCAAAGGGGTGTACAGGCTTGCCCTGTGAAGACAGCATAAAGTAGTGGGATTTCACACCTCCATTAATGTGCCAGCAAACTAGATAAACCTGTGACTGCAACCCCTATTAATAAAATGTGGGAATGTCCTGCTTAACTGCAGTACTGTATGTGACTTGGCAAGAGGCCTTTACTTCAGAAATAATCAGCATCTATTGTATTGTACTGAGTTTTATCAATGGAACCCACAGAGCAACTATGGCAAGCGAGCACCACCTAGAGGCAGAAGTTGATGTTGCATCCAAAGGTTCTCATTACCGAAATCATTTTCTAATGGCAAGCTTATAAGCAGTTCTCACAGTGGAACGTGAAGGCAGGAGATACACTGGCCACAATGCTCACTCACATTCCATATGCCCTTTTTCAATTTATCAATGAACACAGATTCACACACCCCAACATGCATTTTACGTATTTCAGGAAGGCAGAAACTGTCTCAAGATTTAGATACTTCCAGAACAGAATATCCCAGTGTACTTTATTGGAAATTGCACTGAAATGCATTTTACCTTTTAGTATATAAGCAAACTCTTCCCATCTGGTCAAATGTACAGTGGCTGTCTTAAGAAAAAGAACCTGCAAAGTCACATTCTAGAAAGCTTGGGCCTCAGCTTAAGTAAAGGTAAAGGGACCCCTGACCATTAGGTCCAGTCGTGGCCGACTCTGGGGTTGCGGCGCTCATCTCGCTTTATTGGCCAAGGGAGCAGGCGTACAGCTTCCGGGTCATGTGGCCAGCATGTCTAAGCAGCTTCTGGCGAACCAGAGCAGCGCACGGAAACGCCGTTTACCTTCTCACCGGAGCGGTACCTATTTATCTACTTGCACTTTGACATGCTTTCGAACTGCTAGGTTGGCAGGAACAGCTTAAGTACACAAGTGCAAATCATCTTTACAGATTTCCCACATAATCTTGTTACAGCAAGCGGTGGTTCTGCTGATGTTGTCCTGATGTTATTGGGACTACAAGCACCCAGCTGGTGCTGATGTGAGTTGTAATGCAATATCAGCTCAAGATTTCCCACCTTTACCTTAACAATGACCAATATATTATTGTTATTATTTATTAAATTTGTATACCGCCCTTCACCCAAAGATCACAGGGCTGCTCACAGCATAAAAATTCAAAATGAGAACATGAAATACATAATAAAACAAGAACAAACCCATCACACACACCCTCCCACAAGGACATTTAAAAGGCCATGGAATGTTAAGCAGCCAAAGGCCTGGTTAAAGAGAAATGCTTTCTCCTATCACCTAAAAATATACAGATGGGTTACCCAGCTCTGGAATTTGCACACAGATCTCCCCAACACATAAAAGTGACTGTCCTGAAAAAAGAGTACGGAAAATTATGGCTCACCTGGACTACAACTCCCATCATCCCTGACCATTGGGTCATGCTGGCTAGGTCTGATAGGAGTTGGGGAGTCCACTGTGAAAGTCCACAAGCTCCCCAGCCTTGTATTTCACAGTTTACTTCCCTCTGAATAAGGTTAAGGCAAGTAAAGGCTTGGGAAACGGTGCCTGATCAAGCAGAATTAACGAACTGATCAGGTTTTGTTTCACCCTGTGCAGCCACCACTTCAGAGATGTTGGGTCACAGCAACTCAGCTGAGGCAACAGAATCAATTCAGACTGGGGTTCCTGCAAGAAGTGTTCTAGGGAAACCAGACTGAGAGACAGGAGCAGCCAAAGCAGAGTCTGTAGAGATTGTGGAGATGTTATCATGGGCCCCAGGCAGCTACGCAGCACGGTGGAGGTGGGGGAAGCTCTTGAGAGTCTTTGCCACGGCTTCATCCAGGCTAACCAGTGGCTTGTAGCCCATGTGCTTTTTGGCCCGCTCACAGCTGTAATAGTGGAACGTTCCAGCAAGCGCCACCCGCATGGGGGTGAAGGTGGGATGGACGGTGACGAAGGGGCTCAGCAGCGTAACCACCAGTGACAGGAGGAAGGCCAAGTAATAGGCCAGCCAATAGGGAATGCGGTATTTGGGAGCCTCGTAGTCCAGGCCCATCAGGATGCGCGACATAAACTCCCAAAAGAGGATTGGCTCGTCATTCGTGATGTTAAATGCCTGCGAGTTAACACAAACAGATAAGAAACAAAGAGTAAAGAATCATCCTTTCCCTGTTACCCCTTTAAAGCTGCAATCCTGAAGTCGGCAGTTGTGCTATTTCTGGTTTTTGTACACTATCCTTGGGATCCTTTCCAGCTAAAGCAGGTATGGGGAACCTTTTGCTCTACAGGTGTTCAGGAGCACCTATCATCTCCTACCATTGGCGATGCTTTCTGGGGCTGATGGGAGCTGTAGCTCAGCAACGCTTGGGAGGCTTAAAGTTCTCCACACCGGAGCTAAAGGAGTGGAGAGACAATGCTCTAAAAATAAGAGATCATGAACTGATCAGTTTGCTTCTGGAAAAACATTGGCAAGTGAGGGCATAGTAATAATAATTTTATTATTTGTACCCCGCCCATCTGACTGGGTTGTCCCAATCACTCTGGGCGGCTTCTGTGGATATCACAGTTGGGGAATTTCAAATGAGACTTGTGCAAAAAAACAACAACCAGCATTATGAGAAAGCTGCCTCTCTCATCCCTTAAGTGTGAAATATCAGGCTATGTAGCCAGTGACGTGAAAGAGAAGGGAGGCAAGCCAATCAGGGGGATTATGGGGTTGTCGCTGTTTTGGTTCTTATTATGCATTTTCTGTTTTTCAGATTGTTATTTTATGTTGTGAACCACCCTGACATCTACAGGTATAGGGCAGTATACAAACAAACAAACAAACAAACAATACTAGCTCCACCTTCTTGTCTGCCTCAGTGCTGCCACAAAGTAGGTATTTTCTAGTCCTGGCTGTCTCCATTCAATGGTGCTTTAACCTTTTGAAGCTAACTGGCCTAGCCAACTTCAAATAGTGGCAAGGTAGCAAGGTGAGGCATGACTAATATGGGCCAAAACCAAAACAAATTTGGTTCATAGTTAAGGTTTCTCTTTGTAAAAAAGAAAAAAAAAACAGTTACAAAAAAGAGCCTTTAAGGGACAGTTATCCAAGAAAATAAAAACCAGGAAATCACATCCTGCTGATCGTAGACGAGATTGCTTGCCAAGCCAATACTTACCAATTTCTGCCCTTCAGATCAGCTTATCTGCAGCATTCTCCTAGCTTATTTCTCTATAGAGCTCCAACCATCTTGTAAAACACTCCAGTGTTCCAGCTCTTAATGTTACATTTCAGTTCAACCAACTTATCTCTGTTTACCAGCTTCTCTTAGCCACAAAAGTTCTATTTCCCTTTCCAAACTATTAGCCAATCCAAAGGCTAGAGGAGTCCTGTTTAACCCTCCATTATGAATACCTGTTGAGCTTTTCTTTTCCGTCTTAGATTTTTAGGTTTCATTTCCTCTTAACTATATTAGGTACCTGGGCTTAACTTTTGACTCTGCTGTGAACTTCCGAACATCCAGGTCAGGAAAGAAAACCATTTTACAAGAAACGACAGAACATAAAATGAGGTAGCAGCTGCATTCCTTTACAGAGAAAAAGGAGGACCCACCTTTCCACACAGGGGAGAGTCTCTCTCAAGGTGCTCTGCAGCCAGCATGTGCCCATGGACCACATTTTCCACAAAGGTAAAATCCACCAAGTTCTTTCCATCTCTGTGCAGAGAAAAGGAAGAAGTTGAAGGTTAACACCAACATGCAAGGAAAAAACTCTTGGAAACAGAGAGCCAAGATAGATGGGGTGCTAGCTGTTAGGATGCAATTAGCATGCAAGTTTGTTTTGTTTTGCTTTGAAAGTACATTGGAGTTGCAGTGAGACCAAGTAGCAGCTTGAGTGTGGAGAGTCTAACCTCCCCTGCTGTGGTCCTGTCAAAAATACTGCAGTCCCCACTTAACCTCCTATTTACCATAGGGTTTACTGCAGTCCAGGAAGAGCATCATGTCAAGGGAAAGGCCAGCTTGGCACGACCCACCAGCCAGAGGAGGAGGAGCTGAAGGGAGCATCCCTTTCTCTTCCATGTGAGAAACATCACTTGGCTCCAAATGATGGTTGTGCTGGGACTGCAGAGCTGAAGGGAAGAATCCACTGGCCTCCATCCACCAGCTAAAGAACTGCTGGGTTATGTGCACACCCACATAATGTCCAATTTGTGGGATTTTGTGTATTACTGACTTGGACATAACCTGCGCTGGGAAACGTCACACTGAAAATTATTGTCTAAATCTTCAAAATCAGCTTAAATAAAGTACAGTGGTACCTCGGGTTAAGTACTTAATTCGTTCTGGAGGTCCGTTCTTAACCTGAAACTGTTCTTAACCTGAAGCACCACTTTAGCTAATGGGGCTCCTGCTGTTGCTGCGCCGCTGGAGCTTGATTTCTGTTCTCATCCTGAAGCAAAGTTCTTAACCCGAGGTACTATTTCTGGGTTAGTGGAGTCTGTAACCTGAAGGGTATGTAACCCAAGGTACCACTGTATAGTAGCAGGACGTTTCTTTTCATAGGCATTTCACATCCAATAAAGCCCAACACAGCATCACGCCTAACTGGGTCCAGAAGCTCAGTCACCTTTACTTTGATTCCTGCAAGACCTGCTCCCTGCTTTGCTGACCTATTTCCACCTGGTCTGGGAGGGCAGGGCAATGACTGACTCCAGCAATGAAAGCTGCTCTTACTGCTGAAGAGGCCAGAGACCACCTTACCTGTGAGCCCTGCAAGACCTTGCTGCTCAGGATGCCTGGGCGGAGTCCTTTTCAGGAGTTTATGTTGGGGTCAAGATTTAATTTTTGAGATGCTTCATTTCTGCTGTTATTGGCTTTATGTTTTTACATCTTTATCATTAGACATTATGAATTATGTGGGGACTGTTTGACGCTATTCTATACTCATTGACAAGCTTACATTTACGGTTCATGATTACTTACATTTTTGTAATTATGTAAATCTTTTGATGCTGCAAAAATCTACGCTTGTTGCAACAATCTTTGTGAGAGCCGCCCAAAAAGAGGTAAAAAGCTGCTGAAAAGAAATAAATAAGAAGGCAGCATTCAAACAGATGATGGTGATGCAGGCTCCTTACATGTTTCAGCTGGACCAGTCATAAAAGCAGGATGCAAAATTCAGAGCAGTTAAAACTTTCAAGGGGCTGGACTTTCCTTACCCAATCATGAACTTCATCTTGCCACTCTTGGCTGCTTGGATAATGACGGGAACCAGGTGAGGGTCTTGTGGGCCAAAGATGCCATGGGGACGAATAGCAGTGGTGAAGAAATTCCTCTCTGGGTCGTTGGCGCTCAGCACCTCCTACAAGAGAAAAGCCTGCGCTATCTGTCAATGCTCAGAGCCTTCTAAATACACTGGACATCTAAAATGGGGTAGTCAGTGTCACCTTACCCAAGAGGGAGGTTTCAATAGACTTGAGGTATCCTTAAGTTTTGCAGATATGGTAAAAACAGCCCCACAAAGATGGACAGAGAGGTAAAAGAATGACAACATGGTGGGAGGAGGAATGGAATGCCTGGAACTCCAAACAGAACGATTTCACACTTCGTGGTCGTTCTGTTTTTCTTTTAAAATAGACAGGAGATTGTTGGCTGTAGCCAACATTCTCTTTCTGCTTGTACAAGGGCTCTTGCACTAGCAGATGGGTGAATTGTAACATTGCACAGGAATACAACATGACAGTTGCATTAGCAGAAATTCGTTGCACACCAGATTGCACAATCTATAGTGCAAGGAAGTTAGCAGCAACCTGCTTGCGCATTCTCTTGTGTAGCAACATCTCACTAGCACAACACAGTTCACCAATGGAACATGTATACCACTGAGTCACTTGGATAGAGCCTACATTGGATACGGCTCCCTATGTTGTTTAGCACGTATAGGATCTGTTAGCCTAGTAGCAGCAGCGAAACAGAGGACATCCAGACCTTCTCCTGCAGAATCTTGGTTTCTGTATAGTAGTCAATGGGTTTCTTTGCGTAGGGGAGATCTTCAGTTCCGTGCTTAATATCTGTGCCCTCGAAGACCACACTGGCACTGCTAGTCAACACCAGTTTCTGCAACAGGAAGGGGGGGGGGGGAGAAGCACAATACATGGCGTTATACACGGAATGCTTTGGCAAGAACTGCAAAAATGTAATACTCCTACTGGATCTGGGCAAATGCCCATCTTGTCCAGCATTTCGTTTCCCACAGTGGCCAACCAGGGGCTTCCAGGGAGCGTAGCAGTGAGCCATGAAGGAAACAGCCCTTTTCTGCCATTTCCAGCCAGCAGGTAGTATTCAAAGGTAGACTGGACATTCCATGGTTGCTGGTAGTCACTGAAACACCCATTCACCACCCGTGAATTTGTCCAATACCCCTTTTAAATCTATCTAGTGGTCAAAAGTCCTATAAGTTATGTGTTGTGTGAAGGAGGGCACTCTGTACTGGCATGCATGGATGGTGCAAGGGGATTCTGACATACTCCCTTAGCCTCCTAGTCCAATGGGTTTCATGGACACACTGAGAAATCAAGGATCCACAAACGCACCCACCAGCTTGCCACTGGCAAGTGCATTTTTCCTCTGTGGAGAGTACAGAATCAAGGAGAATCCTGACATGGAACCACAAGGGGTTTCTGTGCTGCCAGGCTGACTTCAGAGATATGGGACTCTCTTAGAAGCTGCACTGAGATTTGGAAACATTTGAGTGAGGTGTAAGGACTTCCTGGTCTTTCCAAGTGTTTGCTTATCACAACGGGAACAAGCTCCCATCACTTTCCTCAGTTACAGAGGAAAGCCAAGGCTCATCCTTCCCTCTCTGTTCTGCCGGGTCTTGAGATCAGGGTAATGTCAAAGGGACACTGTTCTCTTCCTCTAGCTGGCTACCAAGGTGCACAAGGATTTGTTGGCACCCCTGCAACTTGAAAGAAACCACCCAAGGGAGAACAAAATACCTCCTATATGCACTATAGCCCACTGAGATCAGCGTTGGTAAATTCCTCCCCTACCACACACAAAATGAATTGGCCAGATTAAAAAATGTTTATAATATCCCTCACATTTATAATCAAAGTAGCAATTTATTTTTTCAGGAGACTATCCCACATATATTTGCATGCAGCTTTTGAGGCAGAGTGATTATTTTTAGAGCTGTCTCCCCACCCCTTCAAAATCTAAATAATGTAAGAAAAATGCTAATAAGTTATCGTGTCTTGTGATATTAAGTAACACTTTGATTTAGCTCTTTAAATCACACTAGCAGAAATTTATTCCCCTCCCCATCAAATTATTTCAGTTCAACTATTTTTGATTGGCAGAAAATAATTTGTACTGTTTTGAAATATTTGTTCTCTTGGTTTAGCTCCATTTTGAATGCTACAGCCGAGCTTTATTTTACTCTTATACTTTATTGCCCTCTTTGATACAAGTGTCTAGTTGTTGTTGGCTGCTAAATAGATACTGTAAGTAAGTAGGCTCTTGAAGACAAAATTCCAATTCAAACATTTTCCAGAAAGCCCACATCACTGATCAAAACCAACCCTGATTACTGTCTGCCTGCACATTTTCAGTAACGGTACTCACAACCATGGTACACACACAACACTGCATCATGGTTTGTTTAGCCTACCAATGGTTTGCTTGAATGTGTGAGCCCAGATCAGCACAGCATACTAACCGTGCTATCTTTTCTGCTTAGCAAGCCACAACATGAGGCCAGGGTTTGTTGTTGGCTTATGACCCATGGCTTGTTTTAACCATAGCTCATTATGTCCAAACCAACAGCCCTGTTTAACCATGGTTTGTTGGGGCATCCCAATCCCAGGTGCTCACCAAGGTAAGGTAAAGGTAAAGGGACCCCTGACCATTAGGTCCAGTCGTGACCGACTCTGGGGTTGCGGCGCTTATCTCGCTTTATTGGCCAAGGGAGCCAGCTTGCAGCTTCCGGGTCATGTGGCCAGCATGACTAAGCCGCTTCTGGCAAACCAGAGCAGCACACGGAAACGCTGTTTACCTTCCCGCCGCAGCGGTACCTATTTATCTACTTGCACTTTGACGTGCTTTCGAACTGCTAGGTTGGCAGGAGCAGGGACTGAGCAACGGGAGCTCACCCCGTCATCGCGGGGATTCGAACCGCCAACCTTCTGATCGGCAAGTCCTAGGCTCTGTGGTTTAACCCACAGCGCCACCCACGTCCCTCACCAAGGTACAAAGGCACAAAACAAGAACTGCAAAAAGAAAACTTTGGAGAAATAAACCATAGATTGCTTGCTCATCCTGTGAGCTAACCACTAACAACTTTTGCTGAAGGGCAATAATGCTGAAGGATTTAGTGTTATATGTGCACGCAGCCACAAAACTTGACCAGGTTCATTCAAGTTGCTTTAAGTTCCAGTTCTGCACTTACTTCAACACCAGCTTCCTTACAAGCCTCAATGACTGCTTTGGTCCCCAAATAATTGACTTTGTAGAAAAGATCTCTGTTGTGGCTGGAAGGTGACGGTGAGGCACAGTGAAACACAACAGTCACCCCCTGTAAAGCTGGAAGCAGATCCTGGAGGCACAGAAGAGGAGGTTAGAATCACAACAGCCACAACTGGGTCTAAGGCAGAGATGATGAACCTCCAGATGTTGTTGGGTTTCAACCTGCACCAACCTGGCCAGTGGTCAGGAATAATGGGAGCTGCAAACCTATAACATTGGGAGGAGTGTTCCACGTCCATAGTCTAAGGGCAGACTTTCAAGCACAGCTCCATGAGGAGAGTTAAAAAAAGGAAGCTTTAGTGCAGAGACTCAAATACCATGACACCTCACAGATTAGGGCAGTGGTCTGCTCTGCTGCCCATTGGGCAGGAGGCTAACAATAGGTGGCGCCAGAACCAATGACAGGTAGAGCCTACTATTTCTAGGTTTGCTTACATCCTTCTCCATGCTGAGCTCTACAATGGCAACACTGAAACTGAAGAAGCTGACAGCCAGGTCACCCTCATGTCTGGTTGTAAGAAAGCAGGCAGGCAGGGGATAGCTGTCTTCACTAGATTAGGGACAGAATCATCTTTGGCAGGCATAGGGAAACTTGGTCCTCCAGATATTTTGGGACTACAACTCCCATCATCCCTAGCTAACAGGACCAGTGGTCAGGGATGGTGGGAATTGTAGTCTCAAAACATCTGGAGGGCCGAGTTTGCTTATGCCTGATCTTTGGGATCACCCAGAGTGGTGGAAATGTGTGTGCACTTCCCTTCAAATTGTTCACACTTGCATGCATTTTTTAAAAAATGGTCAAACAGAACTCCAAGGGTAGTTTTATCATTTGGCTATGGGCTTGAGCTACCCAATAGCTCAGTCACACGGGTGCAGTAATTGGTCAGCAACAGGCATTAATAGGGTGAATCATACTTCTTCATCCCACTAGTTTTAAACACACTTGCATCCTTATGTATATGTCTTCCAAAAAGAACACTGGTCACCTTAAGCAGTGCCAAGCAGACCAAAGATCTCCAAATCTGAAGCATGAACAAGATGCAGCAGCGTGCCGACATCTCTTTGCTTCTGTGTGCACAGCTGTAGTTTTGGCTCATACCTTTTTGTTGCAGAGATCACCTAGGAAGAACTGCACCTTGCTGTTCTTAAAGCCCGCACGGACATCGAACACATTAACTGTGTAGCCTTTCTCTAGCAGACTTTGTACCATGTGCTGACCCAGGAACCCTGAGCCACCAATCACAGTGCATTTCCTTCTGGACTGTAAAGAAAAGCAAAGGGTAGGGTACATCAGCAGGGACCAATGCATTGCTGAATACATGTGAGTTTGCATGCATGATTCTTGGGAATGAGCAAAGAGCATCAGGAAATTATTCACTGAACAACAGCCGCAAGCAATGAGAAAACCAAGCAATGAAAAACAGCGCTACTTTACAGAAGATTCATAGAAAACAAATGTGGTGAAACATCTTAAGAGATGCTTTTTGAAAAAAGAAAAAGAAATGCATTTACAGTAGCTCTATTATAAGCTGTTTTGTGAGAATACTTTCCCTTGAAAAATCAAGTTATCAATAAAGAACACAAACCAGCTTACCTGTCTTAGTCGAGTTGCCATCTTTGGGAGCTATGGATGACTTTGTAGCAAACTCTAAGGAAGCACCCAATGAACACAGTGACTCCAAAACTTTCTTTCCTGTTGAAATACATATGTGAATCAAACAAGAGGCCTACCATTTTCATCTCACATAAGTAGGATTGCCAACTGACTAAGATAAAAATTCCAAGCCTGCTCTACTCTCTTTAACAGAAGTAAGATTTTGTCAGCATGTATCACACATTTGACTAGTCAACACCAATACAACCCAATACTTGCCTCTCTAAATCTGTCATAAGTCTATTTTTAAAAGCCATCTAAGTTAGCCACTAACGCCACATTTAGGACAGCAAAGTCCCACCAGTTAGTCCCACCATAAGATGATTTTGCAAGAGTGTACTTCTTTACACAACACAGCTTTTGCAACTCACTGCCGCAAGATGGCTAATTAGAACAATGAAGTTGAAAGGTAGCCTCCACTATTAGAAAGCAACACTGCCCGCTTGCTTATATATTCATTATTATATTGATTTAATAAGAGGAACTCCCCAGTTCACAAAGCAAAATAAAAATAAAAATGCAACCATTAAACGCTCGCGATATTAAAGAAAACCAAGAACTAATAAAAATCAGCTTAACAAATGCAAACACAATTTAAAACCCAGGCTTTCAGGCCCCGCATCTTCCACTTCCCACAGGGACAACAGCTTGCTCTTACCTGCAGGCGCCCCCCAACAGACCGATCCTGCCGCACGTCACGAAGATGCAGCGCTTACTCCCACTTACGCTGTTGTTGCTGCTGCTGGACCACGCCCACCTCTGCATCCCTCCAATCACTACCCGCTCTCCCGTTTAGCTCCTCCTTCCCGCGCGGCACCACGCTCCCCGCCCCTATGCCGATAATCGGCCGAGAGCTGGACCGTTCTCCCATTGGCTCTGCGTCTCTCCAATTTCGATCCAATCGGGCTCTGCCAACCGAAGCCCCGCCTTGCAGGGCTCGTCGGCATATAGTTCAGCCAAGTGGGGTTGGATAACAGCCCCCGCGCGCGCCCGACTCGCCGGCCAATCGCGAGAGCGGTTGCTTCCACACCACCGCGTGAGGAGAGGAGCCAATAGGGAGCCGCGATATTGAGTGGGACCGCTGTTGTGGTGACAGTTGAGCTCGCCGCGGTTTTTTTTTTCTGTTGTTCTTCCCACGCCTCCTGCCGCCTCAGGACCGGCTCGGCTTCCGACGGTCCCGGCTCGGGATGGTCAGTGCGGTTATGACTTAAGCGGGTGGGGAGGAGGAAGTGAAGGGAGAGGCCGGCGCGGCTTAGTGGAGAAGGGCCGTTAAACCCCGCCTCCCTCGCAGGGAAGGCAACCGTCATGCAGATTTGTTTATTCCTATGTTAATTTATGCAAGTGAAAGCCCAGGTTGGCGTCATAGTTTAGGTCAGCCTTCTCAATTTTGGAGTCCCCAGGAGTAGCTGGACTACAACTCCCAATCCCTGACCATTGCCCCTGCTCGCTAGGGATGCTGAGAGTTATAGTCCAAAGATGTCTGGTCTAGGTCCTTGTGATGGACTCGAGGGTTGTCCCCTCCTTTTTTGTTTGTTGATGGAGGGGGGTGGTGAACATCTCGAGGTGCTTGTTTTTTCGGAGGCTGTGCTGAGGGTCAGCCTCTCCCAAAGGTAGCAAATCCATCTGGGCCGCTGCACCAGTAGGGACAGCTCCTGGTGGCCTTCAAATTCATTACTATAATGGTTTTCTGTCTATATTTAAATCCCTGTGCATAGAAATGTATGATGTAAGGGAGAAGCCTACCTGCTCTCTCATAAGCAAACTTCCTAAGTGGAGCGAGGTGTTGATGGCGGCGGGGGGGGGGGGGAGTTGCTTTAGTTTTGGCATGAAGCAGCATTCATCTCTGTAATCCAGATGTGGGAAGCCTTTGCGGGGGCAGATGTTGCTGAGCTACAACTGCCATCAGCCCCAGCAAGCATGGTCAACGGTCAGGGGTGGTGGGAGTTGTAGCTCAGCAACAGCTGGAGGGCCAAAGGCTTCTACACCCCTATAATCCAGCATAGGCACTTGGTAGCAAGACAGTTGAAGCAGTTTGACCATTTCAGTTAGAAACAGGATTGATGTACTGGGTGGTGGGGAATCCCCCAACCTGTGGATGACAGCCAAACTACCCACAGTCAGCATAGGACTGCATCCATGTTATCTGAAGGGTCACCTACACTTGTGTGAGGCTGTCCAAGCTTTATTATCAGCATCAGAGGTTCTGCCCTCTGGCCTGCCAGCAAAAGCTGTCAGGCTGGTGGGTGCTAAGGATACAGTTTCTTCAGTGGTAGCCCCACACTTTGGAACTACCTGTCCAGGGAAATATGTATGGCTTCAAAGTGTGTTCGTTGCATTTCTGCCAAGGCGCCCAGGGCTGTTTACAATTTTAAAATAAATGGGGTAGGGTATTCAACTGGAAAGCCCCTGATGTTTTCTTTGCCAGCCCCCTCTTGGCTGGTCTTACGTAAATGGTCTTCAGAGCTGTTGTTCTTTTAAAGCCTGCATTTAACTGAATTCTGCTGTGCTTGATTAAATCTTCAGCTGCTTCTGGTTTCTCTCCCTTTTTGCGTGGATGGATGGGGGAAGTATATTTTAATGTGTTTTAGAGTCATGTAAGCTGCCTTGTGAAGGCCAGATGCCTTGAAAGGCAGGTTAAAATACTTTAAATAAACACTGCCCCTTTGGACTGCTGTCCTAAATACACTTTGAGCCCAGTGAGACTTAATTTTGAGCAAGCTTGCATGGAATTGTACTGTGAAAACCTATTTAACTGTTATGGCTTCTCCCGAACAGTTTTGCATTCCTGACACTTAATAAGTAAATAGTGATTTATAATGTTCAGTAGAAGCAACACTCACCTTGATGATCCTTACAACAACAACAACCAAACATAACAGTTTACTTAGGCTGTTTATGGAAGAACCAAGATTTCACCAGGAGTTTCTAGTTCACCCTTAGTCATTCATGTACTCTTGGAAATCATAATCTTTGTAATTCTTCTGTGCTGTAAATAGCCAGGTTTTAAAGCGTTGCCCTTAAATGTAGGAAATCAATCTTTAATTTCCTGTTGAGGAATGAGAGACACTACTTGGCATTTGTCTACCTCAACCTCACCTTATCTCAAATGGGGTAGAACAAGAATTCCATGCTTTGAGCTCCTTTCAGGGAAGACAGTACACAAATGTGATCATTTGTTTGGAATTCTGAAATATTCATTCATTCATTTGGTTGACTAATGTCTCCTAAATGTTCAGGAAGATTAAAATCATGTACTTGTGTTTTAATGTTATCTTTTTCTTTTTTCTTTTTGGTCTTTGATATATGTTTTAAGGCCTCCAGCTACAAGAAAGCACCAGTGGGGGCTCCACCTCAGAGGAAGAAGGCAGCTCCCAAGACTGAGCTCACTGAAGAGCAGAAACAGGAGATTCGGGAGGCCTTTGATCTGTTTGATACTGATGGCACTGGGAACATTGATGTGAAAGAGTTGAAGGCAAGCAGAAAAACATGACTGAAATGTGTCTTAAGATTGTAATCATAAGGCCCATTGAGCCAGCGGAGCTTACTTCTAAGTAAACATATAGAGGATTATACTTTGTGGAGCTGACTTTAGCCCAGTGTTTCCCAAACCTGGGTCTCCAGCTGTTATTGGACTACGACTCCCATCATCCCTGACCACTGGTCCTGCTAGCTAGGGATGATGGGAGTTGTAGTCTACACACAGCTGGAGACCCAAGTTTGGGAAACACTGCTTTAGCCAATGAGAGCTGTAGTCCAAAACATCTGGAAGGTACCAGGTTGTTGAAGTCTGAACTAAAGTGATAGGGTGGCTACTGGAGAAGGGTAGTGTCATTCTATTCCATTGTTCTTCATTATACTGCTTTTGTCTACTCCATCCTACTTTTGCCTGTGGCTTTATTTGTATTGGGAAAATACCCAAGAGGTGATATTTCAATGAGGGAATCTAAAAGGACTGGAATAAACAGGAGATAAAGAGTATAAGGTTAACCTTTCCCCCTGAATGACAAATTCAGCAGCTAAAGTAAATACAGCCTGAAAAACTCAGTGGCGTCCAGATTTGTCTTAGAACGGCCTTGTTGTTCAGATTTCATTTAATGGAGTCAAGTGTCTTTGTTACAGACATGTGCCTTTACAAATTTTCATCCAATCTTTATACCATGGGTATACAAAGGATTACTTCTTGTTAGGAGCTACAGGAGGATACTTCCATCTTCAACCTTTCAACAGTACAAAATAGAATACTTGGAAGTATTGTAATCTCTGTGATTCCTGATGGCAGAAGATACTGCTAGTGTCACTGTGCTGGCATTGTCTTTACTCAATCCAGGAGTCTCTCCTATTATTGAGACTTCCACTTCCACTTTGTGTGACCTCATCCCTGTCTCCAATACGAGGTTATTTTCCCTTGGGAGACTGGGATGGAATATCAGGAAGCAGAGAGAATCAGGCTTCTGGGGCAAGCACAGGGCTCCTTGGCCATCGTTACCATTCATAATCTCATTTCTCATAGGAAGATTTCAGCTTTTAAGAGAGCAGAGATGTTAAAAAAGAGCACAGGTTTCTAGATTTTCTAGACTTGATTGTTATCTTGGAAGATGAAGATTCTTTGTGTGAGGCTTTGGGTTTCCTGGCCTGGAATCTATTTGCATTGTTAGTGTTGTTGCCATTGAGAAAAAATATCCTTAGTTTGCCAGGAATTGCCTCTCTCTATCTTATCTGGAGGTAAAAAAACAGCAAATAATTTTGTTCTAGTTTTTGAGTGGTATTGGGTTGTTTGCTTATCCAATGAAGAGTTGCATGAGCTGATTTGCCTTCTCTCCAGACTTTTGGAGGAGTACATTGTTATAATGCCAGTTCAGATGACCCAGTATGCTCCATTCCCAGTTCCATTCCTACCTTATGTAGCAGTGGATATTCTCAGTATTGACCACTAAGTATGTTAACAGCAAGGGAGCTCTGTCAAAGTTACACCATTAAGACAAATTTACTTTCCTTTCCTACCCATAGTCTTGACACTAGTACATCTCAAAGTCTGCTGACAAGAATGCAAATATATAGTCTTTGTCTCAGATGCAGAAATTCTGCTTCTATGGTGTACAGTTGAGGTATTTACTATTCCTTTTCCTGCTGAGATGCCAGTCTGTTTCCATTGTTTGCAGGTTGCCATGAGAGCACTCGGGTTTGAACCTAAGAAAGATGAGATCAAGAAAATGATCTTAGACATTGACAAGGAAGGAACTGGAAAGATTACTTACCATGACTTCTTAGGAGTGATGACCCAGAAAATGGTAGGTTGATCTAAACAGCTGCCACAAAATCTGGCCGTTTTCTGAAGTCTATGAGGGAGGGCTAAAGGGACCTTGTTATGATATTTGCATCTGTGTGTGCTAAAATTGTGATGGAAGTGAGACTCTGTCCTGTTGTAAGGCACCAATTCTGGGGTGTGTGGGAGATACACATTTGCTTACATCAATTGCTTTTAAGGTGACTGGGAAAGCCACATAGATGTCAGTCTCTGGCCTTTATTGATTGGATAGCAGTGGTTGGATTCTTTGAAATAAAATAAAAGTCCTCTTACAGAGGTCTATTCATTCACCACAACCAAATGAGGATAGAGCGTGCCCTAAAAGGATGTAGTACTCTCTCTCTCTTATTTGTTAAACCTTGCATCTGCAGTAATGTGGCTATATAATTATACCCAGAATTTTGGTGGCAGTTCTTTAATTTACTTTTTGTTATATTTATATATATTTCTTACACGGGTAGAAAAGTTATAGCAGTTTGCCATTTCAATAGCTGGTTGTTTTCATGTGTAACAAACAAATGTCTGAAATGTTACTATTTTACTTATCTTTATCAAAAAAATAAGGCTGAAAAAGATTCAAAAGAAGAGATTCTGAAAGCCTTCAAGCTGTTTGATGATGACGAAACTGGCAAAATCTCTTTCAAAAACCTCAAACGTGTGGCCAAAGAACTGGGGGAGAATCTTACAGACGAGGAGCTACAGGTTTGGACTGTGTGTCTGTTTGCATGCATGCTTAAGCCACTCAATGGAATGATTTAGCAAGCTTGCATTTACTAAGAGTGCTCTGAATCACCTGCATTCAAATTCTGTAGCCTGTCAAGCATCACAAATTTGTACTTAAGTTGGAGCTAAATGGAACCTTCGCTTTCAATGGTAGTACGTTTCTTAAAACCTGCAGGCAGGCAACAGTAGGGGAAGGGCTATCACATTCATGTCCTTTTTGTAGGTTTCATGGGAACACCTGATTTGCTGCTTTGGGGAAATTGAACTGGATGGACCTTGTTCTGATCCAGGAGTGGTCTTCTTATGATGTTAATATTTGAAATAGGTGGGGTGCTGCTTTCCCCATCAGCTCTTGCAATACTTTGGGGACTTTCAAAATAATTGTTACAGTTACCTGCAACAAGCAGTCTGAGGAATTCCCCTGGCACGACTGATTCACCTAAGTAGAGTATTCAACACCTTGTCTACCTAAAAGGAAGAGGGACATGTCCTTTTTATTGAGAGCCTTTGTGGTATAGCAGTTAGTTAGTGTTGGACTTTGACTGGGGAAACCCACTCATTCACAAAGCTTACAGTGTGATTTTCATCCAGTCATTGTCTTGAAGACTAAAGCATATGAAGATTTTTTTTGAGGGGTGTGTGGGATATGTCCTTGAAAGAAGGTTGGCATAAAAATCTGATAAGGATGTCACTTTTTGTACTGACCCAATCCTGTGCCTTTAACAACAGCCTGACATGCTGAAAATAACTGATGAATATTTTCCCACTATCACCATGTCAGGAAAAACTACCTGTTTAATCTCCATGTTTTATGCTGCTGTTAAAAGGATAAGTGTTGAACCAATGCATATGATGGAAACCCTATTTACAAATTATTATTATTATTAGGAATAAATGGGTTTTTTGCTTTCAAGAGAAAGAAACTATAGTGTTCTGCAACTACTGGTATTGGTGAAGTTCAGCTTATTTGTAAATGAACTGAAGTTGATTATGATTAATGTAGTGAAGTTTGTCTAACAATTTATTCAAGATGCTACACTCCCAGGCAAACTGTCAAGTGTTCTAAAGGGATCTCCCCAAACTGAATGCCTAGGATGCTTAGGTAACAGTATGTTAGATGAAAAGCTGCTGGTGAACAAACTGATGTATTTTGAGGCAGAATGAGTGCCAAAGGCAAAAGTGTATTTTCAGTCCCCTTTGGAAACCTATTGCAAGAAGAAGATGCCTCTTCCTTCCCTTCCACAACCATCATTTAACTCACTGGGTTTGGCCTTTGATTCTTTGTCATGTTTCAGGAAATGATTGATGAAGCTGATCGGGATGGAGATGGAGAGGTCAATGAGCAAGAGTTCTTACGAATCATGAAGAAGACCAGCCTTTACTGAGATGCTTGGCATCTTGTGTGTGCGGTTTTTGTTTTGTTTTTTAATCTCATCATGGTTTTGTTACCTGAGTTTGACCTCCGTGGTGCTTGTTCTGGAAGGGATCAGCAGCAGCCCAAATCTCACTAGCTTTGTGAGATACCCCTCACATTTTTTATGCTCATGGCCTTCTCTATTGACTCCATCACCACCATCTCCTAATGTTGTGCTTCAGATCCATCTTTTATATTTCCAACAGTAATGTGAAGTGGCTTCCTTGGTTGAGCTGCCTTTTGAAGGAGGTTGTGTACTTGCACACTGGACTTACATGCAAGGAAGTATTTTTTTATTTTATTTTTGGCAGAGACAATTTAGGTATTCTCAGAAACAAGGATGTTTCTTTTTAAAAACTTGTTTTAATTATCTGAAGCTTGCATTGTATGGCTCTTGGTACTTGCCAAAGTGAAAAGATGCCAAAGAGTGGATAGCTCCAGTTCTGCTTCTGCACCTACTCCACATTGGTCGTTCCCTGCCTTCTAGGAGGTGACTTGATTCTGGATGTTGAGGTTAAAATGCAGTGCCTGCAGTATTTAAGCCTTGATTTAAAATAAAACAGTGTACTTACTTATTAGCCTTTACACTTTTTCAAAAAGCATTGAATGTAAAATTGGTGTGTTTTGAATCCCTGAATTGGCTGGAAAGAGCCTGTAACAGTTCTTCCAAATGCTTATGGTTTGTGCTGCTGAAATTTAAAAGATGACATAAAATAGTTCATGACAGCGAAGTTGTCTGTATTCTTTATTACACATTACATTGGCAGATGGCAGGAGGCACCTCCAGTTAATTATCCTGTTGCTGATGCTGCAGTGGGAAGGCTCTCATCCAGTGTTGGATTGTACATCCAATCATTGCAAGAGCAGGAAATGGATTTCCTATGGAGTTTCCTGCCCTGTTTCCCTTGTCATAAGTCTTTACTTTCTGTACCCTCAACTAAAAACTCATTAGTGGCTCACACTCTGGAATCTAAGAGGTAAAGGCTATGCTAAGCCCATCTCACCACTATGCATTGGGTGGTTGGGATTTTTTGGTGTGGGTTTTGTTTTTTTTTTTGGTATGTTACAACTATTCAGCAGATCATGGAGGGAAAGAAAGCCCATTTTGCACTGCCTGTGCTGACTGCACAGCTTGTACTCCAAGGTCCCACAAAGTGCTATCTCAGCCAGCAGCTCAAACATCTGGGCCACTATTAATTTAATACAATATTAAGGTAGGAACTCATACGTTTGAAGTCAAATGAAAAAAATCAGCAGACCATAAAGGGTAAGGGTGTGTGTGTGTGTGTGTGTGTGTGTGTGTGTGTGTTTGTAATTTAAAATTCTCCTATGGAAATGAAAAATTTAACCTCAGCACTCTGGATATCAGGAGACTGAAGCTACAGCCAGGATATTTATCAGCAAAACAGAGATTTATGCTCTTGCTTTTATGGGTTTAAATCAAATGCCCCACCACTCCTGTCACCTCAGGGTCACACTCCTGATCAGTTCCACCAAAGAGGCACCCCTATTTCATTTTTTGGGTACTCATGGGCCACAGGTCAAAGCCAGATATAACTACACACAGTGCTGAATCCCCATCTCATTTGTTGCGGCTCTAATAGAAATCTCATTAGAATACATACATGTTGCAGTGTGTCCAGATGCAAGAAAATTGGGAACTAAATGAATTAAGGAGGGTGACAGGACTTGAGGAACCTAGGCAGCTTTTCTAATGAAGATTGTTACAAAAACACCTAAAGTAAAAACTCCTTAATCCATTTGTTAGGGCATGTGTGCAAGACGTCATTCAAAAGACCAAACCTACCATTTTCAAAGTGAGATATCTAGTGATGATGATGATGATTTATACCCCAATCATCTGGCTGGGTGACTTTCAGCAAAATATTAAAAATAATAAAATATCAGACACTAAAAACTTCCCAATACAGGGCTGCCTTCTGACGTCTTCCAAAAGTTGGGTAGTTCTTTATCTCCTTGACATCTGATGGGAGGGCATTTCATAGGGCGCCACTGCTGAGAAGGCCCTCTGTCTGATTCCCAGCAACCTCACTTTTTGCAACCTCCAGAAGATCCTTGGAAGTGAACCTCAGTGTCCAGGCTGAATGATGTGGGTTGTGATACTCCTTCAGGTATCTAGTGAGGGTACCCAACCCAAACACACAACCTGAACTTGATTCACTTTTCAAAACATTGCATAGCATGAACTGTCAAAAGCTGTCAGCGCAGGAGTAAACTGCATGAAAGGACAAGTCCCTACTCTGTAATGGTGATTATCTGCTAACTCTGCTCTCGTGCAGCTAATTCCCTTATTTTCTGAGAAACCACACAAAATAACCTGTAGGGGTGGTCACAATCATGGCTAGCGTGCTAGAAGCCACATGCCAACATACTCACTAGGCATTCATATATCCCATTTCTGTGGGACATTCTGACCCATTATACTGAATGGGAAGCTCTTAATGAAACCACAACTCATGTTTCAGAAATTAATTGTAAACAATAATATCTTTCTGTTGGTTACAATGGTATATCTTGGTGTTGACTTTGAGGGAAATCAAGTGTTTTTATAAGACAACTTTACACCGTATAGAAATCCCAAAGCAGTTTAACAATAAATCGCTCTTTCCTTGGACCTGAGAATTGTAGTTCTGTGGTGGGAACAGATGTCACCTAACAACTCATAGCACTCCTAACAGTTCCCGATTCTTTGGGGAAAAGCCATGCCCTTTAAAAGTGGTATGATACTGCTTTAAATGAATAGTGCAGATGGGGCCTTGCTCTATAAAATATTTATAACATGCTTCTTAAAGAAGAAATTCACAAAGGGTATACAAATAACCAGTACAAAATCATTAAGAATAACCACAGTTCAAAATTATATTTAAAAACAATCCAGCACAGCAACACAATAAGTCTTCCCAAGCCACCAGGCATGTCAAAAAGTAAGAACAGTATATTTCCAAGGACACAGACTTCAGTTAGGGCTGGGCGATGTCTGGTTTTCAACATTGTGACATATCACCAGCTAAACATTGTGATATATCAATATATCACGATGTCTGAAATAAGGATGGAACTATGTAGAGGCAACGGGACGCAGGTGGCGCTGTGGGTTAAACCACAGAGCCTAGGACTTGCCGATCAGAAAGTTGGCGGTTTGAATTCCCGCGATGGGGTGAGCCCTTGTTGCTTGGACCCTGCTCCTGCCAACCTAGCAGTTCAAAAGCACGTCAAAGTGCAAGTAGATAAATAGGTACTGCTCTGGCAGGAAGGTAAACGGTGTTTCCATGTGCTGCTCTGGTTCGCCAGAAGTGGCTTAGTCATGCTGGCCACATGACCCGGAAGCTGTACACCGGCTCCCTCGGCCAATAAAGCAAGATGAGCGCTGCAACCCCAGAGTTGGCTACGACTGGACCTAATGGTCAGGGGTCCCTTTACCTTTACCTTATGTAGAGGCAAACACTTTCCTCTGTGTTTGAGTCTCCCCCCACCAAAACCCATAATATTTTAAAGTTAATAGAAAAAAAGAGTCATTTCTATAAATTACTGATCAATGGAGATTAATAAAACACATTTCCAAATGAAACTTTTACCAATTTATTATTTCCCCTCTTCTGGTCTGTTTCAAGCTATGCCGCTAGGGGGTATCAAAATATTTTTTGTGGGAAAAGAAAGCCTGTTTAGTAAGTATTTTCATTGCATGTCTGCTCTTCTAACAAGTAAAGTTGAAATCATGCTACTAAATGTTATTCTTCCTTCCTTTCCTCCTCCCAAACCAAACCATTTCATCCTTTGTTTCCCATGCCATCAGCAATTTATACATTTTAAAAATTAATTTCTCATCGTATTCACATAAACCTACTTCAAAGTTTGACTTTTGCTCTGTAAATCTATTCTTTAAATCCTTTTTATAGATTTTGTTTAATTGATGTTATTGGAACCAGTTACCCACTAAGTTTTGTATTTCGTTGAACTTTTGAAGCTTACATTCATTATCCTGAAAACTCAATAAATCTCTATAGCCCATAAACATCTGGTTGGACATTGTGAGAACACGATGCTAGCCTAGATGGGCCACTAGCCTGGTCCGGAAGCTTCTTCTTATGTTCTGAGAAAGTCAGTAATGGAAAAGTATGACAAAATTTTGCATTTCCGAAAGAAAGATCAGAAATCAATACAGAAATGGCTTATAACCAGAGTATCTGAAGGACCATATTCTCCAATACAAATCCTATTCATGTATTCATATCCACAGCATAGTCTCTGACAGGGTCTTCTCAATGATTGTGCCCCATTTCAAAGTGTTCTGTCTGGCATCCACACTTTTAATTTTCTTTTTTTAAGAACCACACACCTGCCTTTCCCCTTAAATCATGTGGATGTCTTTTGTTATCATTTCTGCTTCCTTTTGTTATGCTTCTGTTTTTATTGGTTTACCAGTTTTGAAATACATTGTACTAAATTGAGGGTTGGGGTGTTAATTAAAAAATCAAGTTGCTTTGAACGTGGAAAGTGGAAAAGTAGGTAGAAGTGTGTAGAACAAACACTCAAGTTAATAAAGCAAGCTGAAAAATCTGCAGCATGGACTCACTTCTCCTAAGCTGGAGGTGCACTGGGTGTTAATTTGTTTCAAATCTCTGCATATATTTTGCATCTCATAGAATTTTTTAAAAATATTATTTGTCAAGTGGGACCTCTAGCAAAATGCTGCAGTGTGAAGTGCCTTCCCAAATTGGTCTGTTTTATGTCTGCAGTTTTTAATCCTTGCTGGCCTTTTAAAATCATTTTTAACCCTGTTTTATGATTGGTTTTCTGTTCTATTTTATTTACCGTACGTACACTGCTCAGGGATTCCCTACAGTGTAGAGCAGTTTATAATTGTCTTATACAAGTGAGTGAGAGAGTAAATAAAAAGTGCTCCTGTTCAGGGTGCCAGTCAGCCATGCGTTTTTCCATGATGCTCCATTTCATACTACGTACCAGGTTTTGAGATCACTACCATCACCTCTTGCAATAGCCTGAGCATCCTCAGTCCTCACGGAACTGTTTTTGCTTCTTCCAATACCCTTGTCCCACCCTAATTTCCCCTCTTGGTATGATTTGTCCTTCTGCAAATCTTGGGGTTCCTCTCCATGCCTGCTGATATCTCTTTTATGTATGGATTGTGCCATTTAGGGAGAGAGAAGAATTTGCCTTTAGTGTTGTTAAACACCACCTCAATCTGCACAAGATTCCAGGCACTCACCCAGGGTTGTGTTTCCACTGCAAAATCAAGGCACAGTGGATTTTGCTGTGTCTTAGAAATGTGGTTTGTTCACACACATTTACACTTAAAGCCTTCCACAGAAGGGGCGCAGAACATGACACCCCAAGAGTGTCTCTTGGACTCAACAAGCTTGGGTCCCAAACAGCAGCCAGCCACGGCCCCCAGCCTCTCAGAGCAGCCTCTCCCAGCCAGCATGCATGGAGTTCTGCCCACTTCAGGCTGCAGAAAACAATTCTTCCCCTTCTGCTTCCAGCATCCCCTCTGTCACCCTGGCAACCTCCATTTCAAAAGCCTCCTGCAAAAAGCACTTTTTTTACTATGGTGACATCTTGCCCCCTGTAACCCTGGCAGCCTCCCCCTTTCTTGTCCGATGCTGAATGCCTCACCTTTTGTCAGGATAGTGACTCTGCTATCACCCCTCTAAAGAAGCCTAGCTCCTGAGGAAGCTGGCTTGACTTCAAACCCCATATTTACTAATTTCAGAAAATATGGGGAGAACCTCGCACCCAGGAATTTTAAGGGATCCTTGCCCCCTGCAAACCCACAACAATATATTGGATTAGATGTTAGATAACAACTTGCATGATTGCTACTGTTCTGTTAGACAGGATTTCTTCCATTTTAAAGTTTTCTATTAAATTTTCATTATATTGCAGACCATTGCACCTATTTTATGACTGCTGTGTTACCTAGTTTTTTGCATGTGTGTTTGTGTGTGTCTCTGTGTGTAAATTACAGACTAGTTGTATTTAATCAATCTTACAAACAGTATTCAAAGCATTTAACAACAGACAAAATATTTTCACAGAATCACAGACTTGTATAGTTGGAAGGGACCATGAGGGTCATTTTGTCCAACCCCCTGGAATGCAGGGATCTTTTGCCCAACATGAGGCTCGAACTCACAACCCTAAGAGTCTCATGCTCTACCAAATGAGCCAGGGGTCAGCAAACTTTTTCAAGAGAGGGCCAGTCCACTGTCCCTCAGACCTTGTGGGGGGCTGGACTATATTTTGAAAAAAGAAGAATGAATTCCTGTGTCCCACAAATAACCCAGAGATGCATTTTAAATACAGTGGTACCTCGGGTTAAGTACTTAATTTGTTCCGGAGGTCCGTACTTAACCTGAAGCTGTACTTAACCTGAAGCACCACTTTAGCTAATGGGGCCTCCTGCTGCCGCTGCACTGCCAGAGCACGATTTCTGTTCTTATCCTGAAGCAAAGTTCTTAACCTGAAGCACTATTTCTGGGTTAGCGGAGTCTGTAACCTGAAGCGTATGTAACCTGATGTACCAATGTAAAAGGACACATTCTACTCATGTAAAAACACGCTGATTCCGGACCGTCCGCGGGCTGGATTTAGAAAGCGATTAGGCCGGATCCGGCCCCCGGGCCTTAGTTTGCCTACCCATGATTATTGAGCTATCTAAGCCCAACTTTTCTTGCCCCATTAACATTTGGTGCACTTTCTACAGTCATTAAGGAAACATATGTCTCTATCAATATAAGGAAATTGAGAACATGTCTACAATTGTGCAAGTAAGTCCCATTGAACTCCACAGGTTTTACTTCTGGGTAGGCATGCATAGGCTTGCACTGCAAGTCTTGAAGTCCTTTAGCACTATAATGCAACCTCTTTACCCTTTTTAACCTTCACATATTTTATTTCACTTAGCAGCATCTCACATTGTTGTTCAACTGATGTGTGTGTGTGTGTTCTAATCTTTGAAGTATTTAGATCTTTTGAATTATTTTGGGAAGCTTTCTTGACTGCTTTATCTCCCATTTCATTTCCTTTAATACCCGCACAAGCTGAGATCTATACAAAAATGTCATTGTTGCTGTGACATATTACCATATTAGGGACATCAATAATTTCCAAAGCCAGACCCTCTTTGGTGATTGAAATTTCCAGGATGATATCAATGGCACTTAAAAGATCTGGAAAAGTGACAGATTGTAAAGGTTGCACTTTAGCAATCTAATTCAGTGCCATCAGAACGTCAAATAACTCAGCACTGAAACCTGATAAGTAATCTAACAGCCCAACTGCCTGAATTGAAATTTATACATACAGGGTAGGTGAATTGTTCCAAATCCAGGACACATGGACACACACACACACACACAGAGAGAGAGAGAGAGAGAGAGAGAGAGAGAGAGAGAGAGACTGGTTCACATGTATGTAGATTCAACACTTGGTAATTGCAGTTTTAAGTGTCCAACTCAAGTGTGTGAACGATTCACACATGCAACAGGATGAGCTGCCAGAATAGACTGTACCACTTCAAATGCCAATGGGGAAGTCACTTTTCTGAATACTCTCACTTAAAAACTTTCTGCAAGTATAAAATAACATTCTTGGGACTGGGTTGAGATAGGGCCTTTTCCCTTGCTGTGATAGGTTGTTTTTGTTTTGTTTTTTCTTTGAAGTACGGTAGTTTGGTATTTTAAACTGGAATGGGGAGAGCATACGATATTGGCACACCCCCAGTCCTTCAGTGAGAAGTGGTATGATCCACTTTGTCTCTTAAAGAGTCACAAAGCACTTTCATACAAGGTGTTTGTTGAGGTCTGTGTACACACTAGGGCTGGGCAATATATCAATATATCATCCAAAACTGGTTTGAAGTCCATATTGCGATATCAGTTTCATAATTTTTGACCTCACAGTATATAGTGAATTGTGTGTATGTGTGCTATGCAAAAAAACACAATGTGGAGGAAATCTGTGAAGCCAGCCAATGCCTTGACATAGCTCCATCCTTATTTCAGATTTTGTGATTGATACATTGGTATATCATGATGTTTAGCTGGTGATATATCCCGATGTTGAAAACCAGGTATCACCAGGCCCTAATACACACCATACATTTGAAGCACACAATTTCCCCCAAATAAACCTGAAAACCATTGCTTAAGGGTGCTTGGAATTGTAGCTTTATAAGGGGTAAAGTATAGCTCCTAAGATTCTTCAGCAGATGCCATGTCCTTTAAATATATGGACTGCATGCAGCCCTAGTTTTAAATGGGTTCAGTTTTCACAGTTGCAAGCTGTCCAGAGTAGGAGGGGGCAGAAATGCATTTGACATAATATATCATTTGGACCAGCTTGCCAGTAGTTTCCAAGGTATTAGAGAAAACCTGCAGTTGACCCTGTAACCTTTTACAATCAAGATACCAGGAAAGTAACTTTAGACCAGGGGTGGGAACATTTGGCCCTCGAGATGTTGCTGAACGTTCATATCCAGCCACTGGCCATTCTTGCTGGCCCTGATGGGAGTTGCAGTTCAGCAACATCTGGAGGGCCAAAGTTCCCCTACTCCTGCTTTAGAACTTGGGACTGGCGCTTTCTCAGTTGTATGACCATCCCCACTCATTTCAATGGGGATTTATTTTGCAGGCGGACCTGCTTCTTCATTCTAGAATGGTTGCTTGAGATGAAGGGTACAATGGCATCCCCCTCCCTCCCAAATACTGGAGTAGCAGCTGAATCTAATCTAGTTTAGGAAGAGGCCTTATACTGAATCAGGCCATTGGTCCTTCTAGTTTATCTGCACTGACTGGCAGCATATCTCCAGGAATTCAAGCACGATAGTCTCCCAGCCTGTTGAGATGCCGGGGATTAAACCTGGGACCTTCATGCAAAGCAGATGCTGTATCACTGAGCTACAGTCCTTTCCCAAATATTGATGATGGAACAAGCATCTTCCATCCAACAACAGCAAGATGAGTTGAGGGTGGAGGGCAGACTGAGTAGAACACACAGCTTTGTCCTCTTAACATTTCACTTTCTAAATCCCCCAAGCATCTACCACCTAAGGTAGTCATCTCACTCTGCATATTTGTAGGACCAAACCAGCCAGCATATTCAAGAAGTTTGGATCAGGGCAAAGACCTTCAGTTTCTGCCTGTGTGTTAAGCATTCAGTATTATATTAGCATTTGTTAACCACAATGGAACTGCCAACATTGGGTGCACATTCTCGTCCTTAACTAGAGTATTATACACTCAATGCTGTAAAATTCTGAGTCACAATGATCTAACTACTCCAAGCTTTATTTTTCAGAGGCCATCAGTTAAAACTAAAGTATGTTCGAGTCTTTTCCCTACTGTCTATAAATACAACACATAAAAAGTCCTTATTACAGAATGCTTTATTAACATCAGCAGACAGTCTTACAGCGTGATCTATGGATGATCGATTTGCCTGAAAGCCACTTTAATATGGAGGAAGAAGATTGTTCTTCTCCAGAAAGAATGACAGCCGGCAATAAATCATCTCCTCCATCATCTTATATAGCAATGAAGTTGGGGGACAACAGATCATAAGGACCTAAATCAGAATATGATCCTATTTTCTTTTTGAAATTGAAAAATGAAAAAAGATCTTTCAACCATTCTTGAGACTACCAAAACTACAAATATAATTATTACAAAGAGCTGAGCCGAAACTTCGCCCAGTTTCCCACCAATGTATTCAGTAGGTTAAAAAAAAAAAGCCTATCTTTTTGACGATTCTTGACTTTCCTTGTGAAAATAGTGGCATATATGTTTCCATTGCCTTCACTTGCTCTTGTGCAAATCGCTTTCATTTGCTGTCTGTTTTTGGCACTCCTTCTGATAATGGTCAACAATTCATTTGCATTGTTTTCACTCTGTTATTGTCACTTGCCCTCATTGACATCGTGACACAGTCAAACTTGATCTTCATAGCAATCAATTATCTCATTCACCACATTATCCCCGATTCTGTCCGATCACCCATGTGACTATTCCAGGAAGGAGTAAGCTGTACTATTGGAAGGTGACATCACTGAATATGTACTATCCAAAGAAACCCATAACACCAAATGCCATTTTAAAAAGTAAGGTAAAGGTAAAGGGTAAAGGGACCCCTGACCATTAGGTCCAGTCGTGACCGACTCTGGGGTTGCGGCGCTCATCTTGTTTTATTGGCCGAGGGAGCCGGCGTACAGCTTCTGGGTCATGTGGCCAGCATGACTAAGCCGCTTCTGGCGAACCAGAGCAGCGCACGGAAATGCCGTTTACCTTCCACCGGAGCGGTATCTATTTATCTACTTGCACTTTGACGTGCTTTCGAACTGCTAGGTGGGCAGGAGCAGGGACCGAGCAACGGGAGCTCACCCCGTCATGGGGATTCAAACCGCCAACCTTCTGATCGGCAAGTCCTAGGCTCTGTGGTTTAACCCACAGCGCCACCCGCGTCCCTTATTTTAAAAAGTAAATCTTCACAAAATTAAAGTGTACACTGAGATAAGCATTTCTAACCCACCAAAACCACTAGTTTCTACTGGAAAATCGCAGTGAGTCAAGGGTAATGAGTGTTGTGCCCTCCAAGTGCTGCTGGTCTCCAGTTCCCATCATCTCTGACCATTGACCAACAACATCTAGAGGGCATTGGGCTGCCAACTCAGCTTAAGTTATTACTCATATGTTGAGCTACGCAGAAGTTGCCAAAGTAAAGCAGCATTCAAGCCATGTTCCCATAGCTTGCCTGATTCTCTCTCAAATATTCCCAGTTCAGTTTAGGAAATAATTTTCTGGGCTATGTCTTAGAACCTAGTTGGAACACCTGGGGAGATGTTCCCTCGTTAAATCTGCAGGAAGGAATACCAGGCTCTTTTGTGACAAAAAGGCACTCCCTACTGTTTTGCTGAAGTTCTATAATAAGCAATATATTTAGGTTCTGTTTAAGGCTTTTTTTAAAAAAAAACACCCTTTTACTAGATTTATCACACTAAAAAGCGTTATTGAGATTTTGATTTTCTTCATATCTTAATGCAATAAAGCCACTTAGCATTGCCTTATCAAGTGCAACTAATTAACAACAAAACAGATATTGTTAGCTATAATCATCCTATGATCAGCTATATGAATGCTGAATTGGCTTTTCCAAGTCTCATTCAATACTCTCACTTTAA